CCATTGGTCAACGCATGAAGGTCAGATGGTCGGACGGTGACGTTTACGACGCCGACTATCTCGGAAAGATCGACGTCTATATTTATATGGTGAGTGCGCACTCTTACACCCTGGTTGTCTTGCGCTGGGCGCTCTTTGGACATGCTACCATACATTTTTTTATTCCAGGTTCATTTCGAAGACGATTCAAAATTGGAAGTAACCAGAGAACATATTTATTTAACGACTGAACCTATTCCGAAGCGTATTGCCACCAAACTGGTGAGTATCGGTTGATTTTTTTTTTTGATTTTTTGTTTATTTTTTCCCTTTTTCTATATTGTTAGTCGTATGCGAGCGACATGAAAAACAGGGATCATTTGTACGATTTAGAGAAACCGCTCCCTGAAAAGAGACCTGTCAAGAAAAAAGTAGTAGACGAATAAATAACTAACTTAAATGTATTAAGCAGAATTAAAATTTTGAATTATGTTGGAAAAGACTGAATGCTAGAGATTAAGGTTCAGCTTTGTTAATTTTTTGTCCAAATCTTTTTTAGTTTATTTGTAGCTTTTTTTTCTTAAGTGAAAAATTAATTATAATTAGTTTTATTCGATTCAATTTTATTATGATTTGTGTGTGATAAAAATTATATTTATTTATATGTAAATAAGTAAATAAAACGGTCGTATTTCTAGTTATAACCATGTACAATGAGTAATTGTATAAAATAGAAAAATAAATTGTCACTTCTACATTATTATTTTGTTTTATTAATAGTACCTTTTCTTTCAGCTTTCAAACATTTGAAATAAGCATATTTTATGAAATTTATGATTTAAAAAATATTGGTTGATTATTTCACACCTATATTTATTTAAAACAATTTTTTCGCCCAGCACATAAATATAAAAATGAATCATATCAAACCTAAAAATATGACCGAAAATAATATTTATTGTCTCTAGGGTCGGTAAACTCATATCGTCCCTAGGGCCGCTAAAGTTGATTTTTGTAGTTTTTCACAATCTAGAAACCTTTCACTGACATTTATGTATTTTGACATTTGAGATTTTCAGACGTTTGTGTAAATCAAAATAAAAACGGACAACAAAAGTATAAAATAACATCAAAACCTGATTTAAATTTTGTAATAAAGTGAAAATGAATGGTAACTCGGACAATAACGAAAAATTTACGAATACTTGACCAGATTTGAAAAAGAGGAAGCTAGCAATGTTTCTATGAATTAAAAAAAAAATTGTTTGATGCTAGGCGAAAAACAGATGTGTGTCACACGTTCAGAAAACGCATTAGCAGCCCTTAGCTATCAACTGCCCACGCTTCGCTTCGCTCGCTCGGGCATTTAATAGCCGCGGGCTGCTTAAGCTAGTTTTCTGCCCTTGAGACACAATATACTATGAAATGACATCTTAACTACTTTTGGTTTTATTGCATTATGAAATAATGAAGTTATCTTTCCGCATACACTCACAGACAGAGTGTGCGCATGAGCATTTTGCGCATTCGTAGGGTACTACTGACAGACGTTCTATGCTTCACACCCAAAAGTTTCACTTTGACATTTGAATACCATTAATTAAGGTTATCTATCTGTCAGTTTAACACTAATTCTTCCGAAAATTCTACTGTTAAACCAATCAAATGACAGGTCACCATGGCAACACAATGTGTTGAACACATGTATTTTTGTGGACATTTTTTTTGCTTGGGTGGATAACCAACAGGGTTGGGTATCTACCTACATTTTTGTTTTCGACATGTAGAAAACCTTTTTCGACGTTTTCGACGGTAGAAAACGTAAAAAAGTAGAATACTGTCAAATATCAAAAAATGTGAGGTTATGCAAGTTTGTTGTTTATTATGATTTGTTAAAGGTTGTGAAAAATCAGACACCTACCATAAATTTGAAGTTATTTGGAGTTTTTTAACATTATTATGGTGGGAAAAAAAGGGCCACGTTTGGTTGGGAGACCCCAACATAATTTTTGGCATGAGGGCAAATTTTTATCAATTATAGAGAAGTGGAAGGAGAAGGTCGAATAAGGTAATTTACGTAGGTAGAAAACCCTATAGGTTTTCGACGCAAGTCGAAAACAAGTTTTCTACCCTTTTCTACCAAGGTAAATTACCTAAGGTTTTCTACTGACCCAACCCTGATAACCAACAGCGAATTAAATCGGAATTTGTTTGACATAATCGAAATTTTTTTTTTGGCAATATTAGTTTTATTTTCTTTATTTAATTTTGATACATTTGAATTACCTACATAGTTAAGATGTTTTTTGTATTCTTCTGCCACCTTTCTTCTTAAAAGTGAAAAAGCTGGACTTGGAATCAAATCAATTAAATATCTGTTTGATAAAATATATATAATAATTTGACACCCTTTTATTTACCATTTTTCCATTTAGTACTTTCAATTTGAAGTAATTTAAAAGCAAATATATAAGTATACTTCTGAACAATTTAAAACAAATTTTCTTCCTTCAAATGGCAACCACAATAGTCTTTTTCTACGACCACTAAGTATGTAAAAGTCACATTTCGTATTGGCATCGTTGCTTAGAAAATGAATCTTTTCATTGGAAAGGCAAAACACGAATGTAAAGTGACATTTCTGTGTGAAAAGAAATTGACAGCATCGTTTGACATTCGTTTCAAATTTAGTATTTTATTTGTACCTATGTGTTTGTATAATAAATTCTAGTTTTTAGTGCCTTAAATAAATAAATTTATTTAAATTGAGAAGGTATAAGTTGCTGAAAATTACTAAACTTATAAGTTTAGTAATTTTCAGCAACTTATACTTTAAAAATTAAAAGATGAAAGAATTTTAACAGCTGTCAAACACGTTTTTAGGTTATTTTGGTTTGTATTTGAATATAGTAAAAAATAAAAGGGTCGGAGAAAAAACATTGTGTTTCACTTGTGAGAAAAGCTTTCTTCAAGCTCGTGTTAACTTAAACACGCATGAAACACTTGTAAAACAAATAACTATTTACTGTGGTTAAATATTACATGGCATGATGATTAATCATTGCATCAGGCTATTTTTTGCATAATTTGCATAGGTACAGCATGATTTTCAAATCGATTCATTTTAAAAATAAGTAAATATATAGTTGTTCGTTTTTACTGCAAAATATTCTGTTTACTGTAGCTACAAAAAAAGGATATTTTGCTGACGTTTTGTTCTCTCAAAATATGATAAACAACTAGTTGGCAGCTGCCTCCTTCAATTACGATGAACACAGCCCCCTATGATGTTCGCTGCCGCTGGTTATGCAGTGCATATGTTCTGTGGTGCATAATATGCACGCCATATAAAGTATACATATTAAAAATTAAATAAAAACGCAAAAAAGCAATAATTAAACTCTTGTGGTAGGTATTAGTAATACCTACCACAAGAGTTTAATTATACCGTATTACTAATGAAAATAATACAATTTACGTATTTTTTTGTGTATACAGGTATAATTTAGAATACAAAAAATACATACCTATACACGTATTTTTTGTATTTATGTATCGTGCTCAGCACTTTGTGTTAAAAACCATGACTTATTTTATTTTAAAGTTTGCAAATTTCCCGCGTAAATTTAAAATTCCCGCCCAGTTCTTTTCTGTCACCGAACCTGTATTTTTTTCTATCTATGAAAAACACTGAAGGTAAGTAAATTTAAGGTTAATTTATTGTTTAAGGGTTCATATAGGTTTTCTATTGTTTTTACAGCTTGCAAAGTATTTTAGAAGTTAATTCAATCATTAAATATAACATATTATATAAGTAGTAGTTTCCATAGGGTGACGTTCACAATATCGAAATTCATTATATCGAATTCAAAATATCGAACACTTTTTATCGAAAATCAAAATATCGAAAATACAAAATGTCGAAAATCAAAATATCGAAAATTAAAATGTCGAAAATGATAATATCGAAAATTAAAATGTCGATTTGAAAATGTCGAATAATTAAAATTTCGAAAATTAAAATGTCGAAAATGATAATATCGAAAATTAAAATGTCGATTTGAAAATGTCGAATAATTAAAATTTCGAAAATTAAAATATCGATTTAAAAATATCGAAAATTAAAATGTATGATTAAAATCGAATAATTAAAATTTCGAAAATTAAAATATCGATTTAAAAATATCGAAAATTAAAATGTATGATTAAAATCAAAGTGTATATGTACAGAGGCGCCTCTGTAGATAAAGTTACGGTTATGCACCGAATTATCTTGGCTCCCTGGCTCCTAGAGATGCGCGTTTTATAGAAATGTACTCAAACTCAACAACACAACCCAACCGACCCCGCCCCATTGGCCCCCCCCCCGCCCCATTGAGTAAAAAACCCAACTAAAATGGGCAAATTCATGTTACGATAAAAATAAAACACTTTTTAATTACATAAATTAGCCCATTTTAGTTGGGTTTTTTGCTCAATGGGGCGGGGGGGGGGGGCCAATGGGGCGGGGTCGGTTGGGTTGTGTTGTTGAGTTTGAGTACATTTCTATATCAGAGGCGCCTCTGTACATATACACTTCGGATTAAAATAATATGTCGATTAATTGAAATATTTAAACAAAATATCAAATTCAAAATAAGAAAATATGGTTTAGTTTCACATTAATTGTAAAAATAAATAATAATAATAAATTGAAAATTCGATTAAATAAAATTTCGACATTTTGTATTTTCGACATTTTAATTTTCGACATTTTGTATTTTCGATATTTTGATTTTCGATAAAAAGTGTTCGATATTTTGAATTCGATAAAGTGAATTTCGATATTATGAACGTCGATATTTTATTTTCGATAAATTGAAAATTCGATTAAATAAAATTTCGATATTATCATTTTCGACATTTTAATTTTCGATATTTTGATTTTCGACATTTTGTATTTTCGATATTTTGATTTTCGATAAAAAGTGTTCGATATTTTGAATTCGATAAAGTGAATTTCGATATTATGAACGTCACCCGTTTCCATACACTATGGAGGAAATAGTCGTTAAAGAAGAACTGGTCGACGATTACGAAGGTGATATTTTGATAAATTACAGTAAACCAAGTACCTTTGCTGAACAAGAAATGCCTTCAACTTTTGGAATAGCAATAAAACAAGAAATCAAAGAAGAATTGGATGATAACGACAACTTCATAGTCTACGATGAAACGGAGGTAAAAGAAGAATCAGAAATGTACACAAATGAAGTAGACGATTTTGATGGTGTAGAGGAAGTCGAAATGAAATTCGAAGCCGAGGATGAAATTTTTCTTGACAAAGGGTAAGTATTTATTGCATTATCACGATGGGTGCATTCCTAAAATAAGAAATAAGATAAAAAGTTAAAACAGTGTAAAGTAATGGTTGCGTTTATGTTCATGAAAATATGAAATAAGACTAAAGATAAATAACTTGGGTTTTTATTTTTGCGTATAAAACTGCGCAAAAGAACATAATAGGTCTTTGAATTGGTTTTATATTTTGGCGATCGCGTTGAGTGTCGCTCAGAGGTGGAGAACTATCGTTTTTTTTAATGATACAAATTCGTTTGTTAGAAATTCTGTCAGAATGACAGTTTTTGATGTTTGGCAACATTGCACAGCTTAAAATCAGTTTGGCAACCTTGTCTCTGCTGCCATAATAACCTTAAAAAAATGTATTCTTAAGTAATCCAGCCAAAGAACTTTGTAATCCAGCATTCTTAAAGCAAGCAAGCTTTGTTTTTCTCAGGGTAAAATTTCAATACTCGGGCTTTTGTGAAAACGCGGAAAAAAAATTATGTAAATGGCTCTAAATGGTCCAATTTTAAAAAACTATGGGAAAAAAATTGGGGCGAAGGTGTTTTCAACAATTTTATTTTAATTATAAATAATATAACGAACGTAGCCTGCATTTTTTACACAGTGCACTGTCAAACACATAATAAGGTTAGAAAATGTCTACTGTCAGTGACAGTCTGTCACGCACATATCCTAAAGGTGCCGTCACGCAAGAAGACTAAAGCCTGATTTATAGATTGCCTTCCTCCCTTTCTCCTGTAAAAGATAAACAAAAACCGTGATACTGTTTATAGATTCCCGTACGGTATTCTATAATCTATTATAGATTATCTATACTGAAGGAAGGCTTTAAGCCTGATTTATAGATTGCCTTCCTTCATTCCTTCCTTCCTCCCGTAAAAGATAAAAAATACAAAACCGAAGTGCTGTTTATTATAAACAGCACTACGGTTATAATATAGATTACCGTAGGGGAATCTAAAAACAGCACTACGGTTTTCGTATTGTTTATTTTTACGGAAGGAAGGGAGGAAGGAGGAAAGGCAATCTATAAATCAGGCTTAAATGTAGGTGATAAAACTATTGGATTGGATATTTTTGCGAAAGCAAAATGGCTTGAATGGCACTTTTGAAAAACAAAAAAAATCGTAGGTGTTTTAAGAAAAAAATTTACAATAAATAATATACTTAAATTCATGTAGAATACACTGTCAAACTTGCAATTAGTAGAGATGTAAAAGTAACGAAAAAACTAATACCCGCATGTATTCGTTACTTTGAATGTGACTATTCGTTATAAAGTATTCGTTACTCGTTACTTTCGTTACTATAATACTTTAATTATTATTATACATGCCGCTGCCTAAAGAAAACATAAATTTTGATTACATTTTATTAAATTGGAGGATGTAGGTATAATAACTATAAATAAAAACTTAAAAAAAAAAATTTATTGCAAAAATAAAAACAATATAATCAACACAAAATATTTTCTTTCGTAAGAAAAATTAACAAAAAAATAAGTAAGTTTCTAAACATAAAATAATAATAATGTATGTAAATAAAATATATTGCACATTTATTTGGAAAAAAATCTTTGATTTATTTGGAGAAACAAAATTTTTTCCATTCGCGCGGCATAGATCACCTAGTCTATGGATCAGCTGATATATTTGTCACAGAACATAAGATATTTGTGTATCATCCACAGCGTACACACAGTGCTGTGAGCGTACGCAGTGTTGCCAGATTTCTTTTCAGCGCATGGCCGTACGTATCGTATCGAATCGAACGAACGCTGCAGAGTACGTAGATACCGGACGAAATTGTGAGTGGCGCAAGTAACGAAACGATGCGAGTAACGAGACGTATTTTAAAGTAACGAATCGGTATTTCGAACCTCATCCAGTACCCGTTACTTTGTACCGAATACATACGGTTCGTCACATCTCTAGCAATTAGGTTAAGTGTCAAGATATTTAGGTTTAGGTTCGGCGTGTGTGTACTTTAAAGGTAAATAAAATAAAAATCGAAAGTTTCTAATTAATTAATATTTTTAGTTTTTTACACTCAGCGCTAAAATGCCTTTTAAACTTTGAGGGTTTTTATATAGAGGATGCGGCAAAAAGGTTGCCCCATTTTCAAAGGGTCATTGTTCCGCTCTTGGGGGGATAGACACAGATTATAAAGATAGAGCAGTGCGCGTGGTTGCTTTAGCATGCCATTTTCAGTCGTCATAATGAATCTGTCAGAAATATTTGGGATGTCAATAAAAATCAAACTATGTAAGAAAAAATCTTTTTATTTTTAGGAAACACATAATATGTATGATATAATATTATTATATCATACATTTCATGTTTTAATAATAATGTCTTTTAAATGACCGCCGTTATTGTCAATGCACATTTAAAGCCTATTACGACAGCTCGTCATTGTCTTGCGAAATTGCGTTGATTTCGTGCCTTTGGATTTTCCAAATTTTGTGGACGATTTTTAAAAACTTGTGATTTTAGATACCCCCACAAAAAAAATCGCAAGGGGTCAAATCAGGCGAACGCCTAACAATGCTCTTAGTTTAATTTAACTTTTCATTTTTAAGTAAACATGGTCACCTACGTCAAATCTAATTTTTTTTAGCTTTATTATTATTAAATTTAGACTTATCATGCAATAGAACACTTTTTATATTTTGACTTGCGCGATTTCTTACGTCAGAAATATTAATTTCGGATTATTTATCCGCAACAATCATTAATCAAAAAGGCCTAGCTATCTTGCTAGTCAATAGTTCAAAAGGACTGGCTTTAGTGACTTAATTTAATTTTACCTGTAGTTATAACTACAGGTAAAATTATAAAAATTATAATTATTAAAGGTTTTATTATCTGAGACATATTTATTTGGGTACAAATTATCGAAAATATTATGCGAGGCCAATGAACTGTCTCAGCTGAGAGACGTTCTCAGGATCAGGTAGGTACATTTACTGTAAGTGCTTTAATTTTTCGACAATTACGTCAGTGTTCGCTTGCTTTAATTTCATAACCAAGATACTTTGTACTATTTTTGAAGAATTTTGAAGTAATAATCCTGCTCTTGTAAGAACTTTAAAGTCTAATTAAAGAATTTAAAATGCATCCTGTATTGTAAGAGAAACTATTATAATATCGTCCATATAAACAATAACAAAATAATACGCAAGTTGGAAAACAGATGGTGTATACTTAAAACCGAATGGTTAGATACAGCTATTGCCCATCTGGGGTGACAAACACGGTACCTTTAGTCTGGGTAAATCGGCATCTGATGGAAACCACTTGACATGTCTAAACTATAAAACTATTGGGCGCCACAAACTCTAGCAATTTGATCGGCAATAAGAGGCAGTACTGTATTATTGTTTAATTCGCGATAATTTATGTAAAAACGATCAGATCTATCTTTCTTTTTAACTAATAAGATTTGGCTAGCAAAAGTAAATACGAGCCTTTCACATTTTATTTTATTCTTTACTATTTGTCGCTTATCTGGGCTTAAACAATATGACCGTCTCTGAAAAGTTATAATAGTATTAATTAGACGTATTTTAATCTCATCGGTGGCGATCTTAGTAAATTATAGACAATAAAAACAATACATCCAAAAGACAAAACCTTAGTAAAACTACAAATCTAGGATATTATTCCTATTGGACGTCAGGTTATCATGAAAACCTTGACAAATAATTTCACAGCCAATCGTACATGATATGACATTACAATATCACTTTGCAATTAAGCATGAGGTCTTACCTCAAATATAATTTCTAAGGTATAATTGTTAATGACTATTTTAAACAGTATTTGTAGAGTGCTATGAACAGTAGTGTTCCCAATGCCTCTCAAAACATTGAAATTCTTAACTCTTTTACATGAGAACTTGGAGGTTACAATTTCTTTAATAAGGGAATATTGGTAAACAAGTCAAAACAGAATAAATACGACTCACCAGATTGAATAAGCGAGCCGGCACAACACCTGATGCACCTTACAACAGATTTATTTAAGGCGATGCACTAGCACTGGACTGATGGATTCCAGATGTGTTTTCGCTTTCGTTAATTCTAAAACGGCATTCACTTATTTTATGACCCACTTTTCCACAAAACTGACACTTTATTGTAGTTGGTAATTTATGTCCTTTTGCATAAGATGAGGTAGAATCTTCTTAAGTTAAAGCGGCTTTTCGCTTACCATACGAGAATGCCTTTAACTCACTTTGCAATTGAGCCCTGGTTTTTATACTGGTGGTGAATAATAATCGCTTCAGTCGATTATCAAATTGGGCCATGTGTGCTAATACGGCCGATACCGTTATTTCTTCGATGCTCATTGACTTCCATCTGCACGTAAGAAATGGAGGCGGCTATTATAGGACAAAAGACTTTGAGACGACCGTTGAACATATTAATTAAAGTGGCAGCCGAAGTTTCGACACCGTCGTAACGTTCCACGAAGAGATCCTTGACTTGTGGCCAGGTAATACCAGGGAAACATACCTGTGACAGTCATTCTTCCAGTGCTTTACTAAGTGCGATTATAAGTGCACTAACTTCCAATGGATTTTTGGATGAACACATATCAACAGTAGAAAACCAGGAAATAGGTCAGCACTTGGATCCTCCGGGTTAAACTTCGGTAATGATACTCTGGGTACACTAGCTGGTCTAGTTTTAATTGCACTTATTAATTCCATCATATTTTGGTTTTGATGTTCCATAAAAAGGCACTATTGTTTCTGTGATACTCCAGGCTCTGGAGTCGATCCCGCTTCTGAAGTCGAATCGGTGTTTTCGGGGCCGCGTTGCTTGGACTTGGACATCATTCACAACAATCAAACACTGATTCTCGACAATTAGTACATTTAATTACGATTATCTAACTAGACAAAACGATAGACGTTAAAGATTATACGCACAAAGTAAATTAAAGTATGAAACTAACGATTATAACGAATCCGCGGTCTCCAGGTTTACACGCGTCTTTACTGTCTTATTGCCCGATTAAGAATAGCCATCTAACCCCCCCGAGGGTTGGTACATATCCACCTTTTTGGATCTTTATCTCTACGTTCCCATGAGACCGTGGCTACGTTTGGTGATCGTTACTCATCACCTTCACTAATGCATCCTTATCGGACCGCAGACATAATAACTGTTCCTCTAAAATCTCTTTCTTAAGTCTTATTTATGATAAACAGCATTGCTTATTTTACCAAATTGTTGTTTATAAACACGCCAATCAAATTAATGTCTATTTTCCGACATATATATATAAAATTGTTAAAAACACCTAGAGCCATTTGCACATTTTTTTTCCGCGTTTTCGCAAAAGCCCGAGTACGGAAATTTTATCCTCGTAAAAATTGGCTTGCGTTTTATAATGGGAATTATTCTCTCATTTTTATGACATTTATATGTGGAAGTGTTTTCACCAGACTGATTAATTTTTCGCCCATCACAACCAATTTTATAGATTTGCAAAACAAATAGGTTTTATTCTCTTCACAGGGTATATGGATAAAATAATAATTATTGTATTTTATTATATTATTATTATTTATTTTATTAACAATTATTGTATTTTATTAAAATTGGTCCAGCAATAGCACAGAACATAAGCAAGAGGTTATAAATCACATTGACAGACAGCACACATCAACCTTAATTTGAATCCCATTGGTTGAAAATAATCGGTAATCTCTTAAACATGAAAGTTGGCGAACTTTTCGTTACGATGATTATATACAAAAGCATTGAAAATAAATTTTTAAAGAATAGTGGTTAGAGAATAAAATTAGGCTTATTGTCATTATAAACCATCCATAACATACCACAAGGCAAGGACAGGAGTTTATGTCAACTAGTAGACCAAATATTAATTTGTTTACAGTTAAAACCTACTAAAGCACTTTAAAAGCCTAAATTGGGATCTGACAACCCAGGATTTGTACTGCAATGTCATCTTCATAAAAGTCAAGAACTGTGAAATGTTGCTTGCAAATTTTGAACAACTTATTTTCTTAACCAATTAATAGATGAAATTTAAACAATTCCTGTTCCAATTTGACAACTGAAGAGTATGAGTTACAAAGGGTATAAGTGCCAATTCAAATATTTTCAGTTATACGTGTAAAAAAAGGCCTAATGAAACTGGAAAGTTTTTAAGTAGACTTTTTCTGCATGTATAACTAAAATTATTTAAATTACTTTCTCTTAAAAACTTATTCGGAATTTTTGTCATAATTGTCATATTATAATGTCATCGTGCATAAACAATGTTTATATATACTTTTATTTGTGTTTTCTTTTACAATAACCAAATACAACCTCTGAATAATTCTGGATATTTATTTTAATCGCTATAGTTACCTAATATTTCTCTGCTAAAAGTCTTATTAACTCTTCCAGAAGACTCCCAAATCTGGCTATTAGTCTGACTTACTAAGACTTTTTCCGACTTAATAAGTCTTATTCAGAGTTTTTAAGAGAAAGTAATACTTTCAAAACCCTTATTTTTACTTATTGAAACTTTTTAAGAAAAATTTACATTTGAAAATTTTGGAACTTTTTTACCTTATAATATATATTATATATATTGCCTATATTATATGCAGGTATGAAGTGTGGCTAAACGGCGAAGACATCGGTCCGCATCCAGAGGACCCCGACAGAAAGGTCGCCGCACCTTTACCGCCTATGCAGGACATTCTGTGTAACAAGAACAACACTTCCCTGCCGCAATGTTTTCTGGAGGCGTCGAAAAAAGGACATGGACCAATGAACTACTCTCAGTATGAAAGTTTTCTTATTAAACTTCAATGTCTCTCTCCTCAAAAATGAAATTTCGTTTTTAGAATAGTGTTTTTTTTTCAGCAGGTTTCCAGAATTTCCTGCGGAATTGCATCTGGAACTCGTGGAAGAAGACAATATGAATTATTCTGACGATATTGCTCCTGATAAGCAACAATTGGAAGTTTTGGAGGATACTTGGTTAAAAACTGGGGAAATAGGTAAAAAAAACTTCAAAAAATTCAAATTTTATATATAAAAAAAAATTTCACATATTTTCTCTGCAGAAGCTGAAGACGCGACGATCTGCAGCGCAGGTTACAACTTAAGAAAGCGTCCCGTGCCGAAAGACGCCGCCGTCGCGACGTCGTCTTCCGGCGGCGGCAAAGGCCGACCCAAAAAGGCCGCCAAAAAGTTCGAAGCGGATGAATTGATCGGAATTTATGCGCCTTGCGATGGTAAGAGTAAAAAGGTGAGTCAATTTTTTAATTTCGATCTTGATGAAATTCTGTAAAGTATATAATTTGCGACGTCATTAAATTTTAACTAAGCTTGGTATTATTTTAACTTGTCTTTTTCATTCATTTATCGCTAATTAAATTTAGCCTGTCATTTAACGTTTCTGACGGTCCGATTATCGTGGAATATCCGACCCAATAAATATAAACAAACAACATTTAATTCACCATAATAAATACTTTACTTATGCATTACGTTAATTATTATATTATCGTGAATTAAAATACTAAAACATTCATAAATTTACGAGGAAATCAAGAACTAAATTTTGTCACACATAAAACCAAAATAGGCGAAAAACGAATACTTACAGAAGGCATCAAAATATACAACAAATGAGATCAAACTAGAGATGTAAAAAAACTGTTTTTTTTCAGATGTGAAAAAAAACATGAAAAAAACGGTTTTTTTTGTTTTTTTTTTAACCATTAGAATATGATTATTTCGTTATAATTCTTCCCATTGCTTCCTAATTAACTAACACCCCAGTGACTGGTAAAATACCTTTTGCTAACAATTATGAGTATGTTACAGATTAGATAAAATATAATAAAGTAATTTAATAATGAGAGCAGTTTGTTTATATTAAAATAAAATCTTCAAACATAGGGTCATTTAATTTTAAAATTGTTCATTATTTCCTCCGAAATTAGCATCTATGAATATTAATACCTATGCTTGTAAACAAAAAATCGTGAGCTAAATATCAATAAACTATCCATAACTAATCATGCCTTAACTATTAACAGTCTTTTTCTTTCGATGTAGTTTCCACATTAGAGACCAGTAGCAATGTAAAACTTCTACATCAATACAAAAAATTAAAGGATAAAAAAAATTGTTTTGCGATTCTTCGGATAGCTGTATCTTTGTTAAAAATGGTCGTATTGGAGCCGTAAAAAAAGCAATTTGAAGCTTGAAGTTTCTAGTTTTGAGATTTTTAGATGAAAAATGTGCAATGCTCAATCCTAACAAATACCGTAATAAAAAAAATCTATTTTTTTGGCTTTCTGGAATGTTCTACAAGAATTTGCTATTGTTTTATTGAAAAAAAAATTCCATACTCTACATGAATTTGAAAAATCATGAAAAAAGTGCTTTTGAAAGCTTTTTGAAAAATCAAGCGCTGAATCAAAAATATTATATGTAGTTACTTTTTTTAGGACCAAATCAAAACAAGCGCGGCCCTTATTGGTCAATTCGGTGGTGGTGGCGCGTGCATAGCGCGAGTCTGTATTTACATTTACTAATTGTCATTTAGTGGCTAATTTTAGTCCATGAAACCTAAAAAATTAGGCAAATGGGACTAATCTTGAAAAAAAAACCTAAAATGTGAAAAAAAAACATTTGAAAAAAAACAAAAAAAACGGACCGTTTTTTTCAAGTCGCATCTCTAGATCAAACAGCAAAATGAAATAGAGTTTGTTAAGATAAGAGCATCAAGCAATATTTAGTGTACCAAAGACAAGAAAACTAGTGTACATAGGTAGATACTTGTTAGTTATTTATAAAGATTTAATTTAATTTATTCAACCAAGGACAAGGATTAGTGTACATAGCCAACTTCAAATAATTTATAAATGACCCATGTATGATTTAATTATTTATTGCTAAATGTTAATTTTAAATTTATTTGAAAATTACATATCTGTCAAAGCCCATTTTGGCTAATTGGATATTATTTTTCAATAAAAAAAAATACAAAGCAATGTCTTGAAATAAAGACCAAGGGGCGGATTAAGCAACATGGAGGCCCGGGGCTATTTGATATTTTGAGGCCCTTATTTTCTTGGTAAGAAGTAAACATTTTTTTAGCGTCGACAATGAAACCCTTAACCCTTAAAACACAATGCCAAACATATTGTGCTTTAAAATTTATCACCTTTGTCTTTAAAGTCTAAATTATTTACCAAATCGGTTTAAAAATCAGCTGTATTTGACCGTTTTTGTTTTTATTATTTAAATAAAATTTTATACATAAATCTAGGTAACAAAATATTTTTATGATGTTTGTTACAAACATTTTTACATATTTCAAATATTCAAAGTTAAATACATTTTTAAATATCCTTTTATGAATTTGTCACCTAACCGTTTTTGTTTTGTTTATTAAACAAGGTATAAGAAGTCCCTATTTTAATAAAAAAAACAGGTTAATTAGTACTACACACGTTCGTCCTCTAAAAACTCATTTGGAGTCAGGGATATATTTTTTAGACGCCTCGTAGCACAAATTAAACTAAACATGTTTGTTGTTGGGGAAACAAATATACAAACTTTTAACTAAATTCAAATTTTGTCTTATCAAAAAAATGCATTAAAACTTTGAATTGTAGGTCTGCGGTCCTATAGTAGCGCCTCTATCGATTCTTGAAGACGCTAAAAACGAACTAGTGAAATCCCTTGTGGCGCAAGAAACGAAACACGTTATGGCGAAAAAGCAAAACAAACACAAGGACCGAGACTCCGAGAAAAAACAGAAAAAACGTAAGTTTTTGTTTATTTTTTTCACGTTCTCCCATGCTAGCCTATTTTCCGGACTCCTACTGAAACTTACCATTTCCCATCCCACACATCAAATACTAAATAGCCGTGCCCTTTTGTGCAGGCAAACACCACCATGACACCACAATTTTACCGAAACATGTTGAAACTATCAATACAGTGTCAAAACCAAAACCTGTTTGCACCAGTGTATCTAGTAGCGCCAGTACTAGTTCTAGTACTAGTAGTGGCACCGTGATTAAGTACGAGAACGCGTTCCTAAACTTACTCAGCCAGAAGGAGGCTCGCAAAAAGGACAAACAAAAAGCCAAACAAAGAATAGTTAAAAAAGATGACGCAAACTCTGTGATAGCAATGCCCGAACTTAGTTTCCCGCTAAAAGAAAAATGTTACGTTAATCGCAACGAAATGCCCGAGTTGGCGGCCATGAGTTTGCAACAAAATGATGTGTAAAATTTTGCACAACAAAACGTGCAAATGGAGCAACAGAAGGTCTTAAACACGCCACCTGAGATTTACGTTTTAAACCAAAACGACAATTTGCAAACGAACGCTCCTAACAATACAGGGTGTCACCAATTAAGTTGTCATCCTTTAAGGAGATGATAGTACACGCCAAAATAAGAAAGTTATTCCTCTATCATTTTTGCATTAGTGTAATTTTTTTTTATAAAAAAAATCATTAAAAATATTATAAGTAAATTTCGGGCCGCCACTGGTTGTTCCTGACCTACGACAACTGACGCAAAATTTGCTTGCACAGTAGGCAATAATCTACATTCATTAAGTGTTCTACAAAATCACTACAAACCAACATTGAATAAGCTTAAAAGTTTGCTTGGATGAATAATATTATTGTTTTTAGACGTAAACAATGATGATGTATTGGATAGGTCAGTGACATCCAGTGGCTCCCTGATTTTGTCAAAAAAAATTCACATTTTTTTTAAACAGCAAAAATGATGGAGGAAAAACTTTCTTCTTTTGGCATGTACTATCATCCCCCAACAGGTGACAATTTATTAGGTGACACCCTGTATTAAAACGAGGACACTAAAAGATCAATACAGAAAATTAAAGGAAAAAATCCTAGACCACCAAAAAAAAATCATTCTACTGCTACAATATTCTGCAATAAAAACGATATTACGTCCGTATTTGGAGCTCAAACGTGATAATTTGAAGCCCATGGAGGTCAAAGTGTCAGTTACCCAACTGTATGCAAAAAAAGAGATGGAGGAGGAGGGGGGGAATAGTTGCTGCGCCGTGGTGGTCGAAAAAGAGGCTGTTACCGCGCAGTGGCGATAAGGATGTCAAAAGAGTAAGTTGTTTTTATTAATTTTTTACTTATGTCAAAAGAAAAAGTGTGCTTACTATTTTTAAAACAATCTACCAAAAACTGACATTTTTGTTTGGATTGTGCCATATTCCACAATCTAAACAACAAGGTAAAGTTTATTTTTTTTATTTGGACTCGTATTTTTTTTATTAAGTTGGTAGCTTATGTCAATTTGATTTAGTATTTAAAAAATTGTACTTCTGCTGAAGACCTTAATTAAATAATCTGACAGTACAATATTTATTATTGATAATTTACTTGTTAATTATTATATAATACTGATATAAAAAGATAACTATGCCAAAAATAATATCATATTCTAAAGTAAAAGAACTTTTAAGGGCAAAACTTTATTTTGATGAAGTTATGCCAAATGCCTCAATGGCAGAAAAAGTACATCGCCTTATAGACATTTTTGGAGTAAAAAAGTAACGTTTTTGGTTTTACAAATATTAAATCACACATTATTTCCAGCTAAGCAGATCAAAAATTTTTGAAATTTTAAAAAAACAAAATAAAAATTATTTGCTGTTAGTTTCAACCCAATATACTTTAAAATTTTATTCCTCGTTTCGATAATTAATTTCAACGGCGATTTCTCGGAGGGAAAATATGTTGGAAAAAATGTAAAAAGCATTTTGAACGGTTCTCTAAAATAGTTATTTTTGGTACAAGTAGGTACCTAAAACGAAGTTTTTCAGGACGAATCATTGTTGTTTCCGGACGAGGCGTTCGCCGAGTCCGGAATAGCAGATGAGTCCTGAAAAACTACATTTAGGTACCTGTGACAAACAATATTTTTTGTCATACGCTTTTTACAATTCTTCAGAACGCTTAAATTGGCTAATTTTCCATAATTTTTAAATCTAATGTTTTGTTAGAAAGTCACATAAATTTTAAAATGTTCCAAAATTCCAAATATATTGCTAATAAGGTCCAAGAAATCGTGTTGAATTTACTTCCTGTGAAGTCTCGTGCCATTTACCATAAAGAATTGAATGGGAATACGAAAATGTTTGTTGTAAATGAAAATGTATTACTAAATTATTTACACGAAAAAGTAAATAAACATTTAAAAACAAAATTGTTCATTACATTGTCATTTTTCCAAATATCCTTTATTAGTTATATAATTATTAGATTATTTGTTAGCTTTTGATATTGTTAAAATAAATAAAACAATCAAATGATGGAATTTTATATGGTGAGTGTGCACTCTTATACATTGTTAGTCTTGCACTGCGCACTCTTGGTACATGCTACCATACATTTGTTTATATTTCAGGTTCATTTCGAAGACTAGTCAAAATTGGAAATAACCAGAGAACATATTTATTTTACGACTGAACCAATTCCTAAACGTATAGCCACCAATCTGATGACTATGGGTTGATTTTTGTTTATTTTTTTCTTCTTTTTATGCATTGTCGTATGCGAGCGACATGAATAACATTGATCATTTGTACGATTTAGAGAAACCGCTCCCTGAAAAGAGACCTGTCAAGAAAAAAGTAGACAAATAAATAACTAAACTAAAAATAATTTTTTGTACATTTTTTTTTTATTTTAATTTGTAACTTTTTTTTCAATTTTTCAACTTTATATTCAATTTTATTATGATTTGTGTGATAAAAATTATATATTTTTTTTAGTAATTTTATAAAATAGAAAAATAAATTGTCACTTTGACATTACCATTTTGTTTTAATTAAAGTCCCTTTCAAAACATTCATATGATCATGTTTTATGAAATTTTATCGAATCATGCATGTAATCCCTGAAACCCAATAACAGTATAAGAGCTTATAATATACAAGGACAGTGGAGTATTAGGAATAAAAATTAAACGAATTATTTCTTTATAATTTGTATTATATATTTAGCTGTTTTAATTCATATAATCAAATGAATAATATTAGTTTAATTGATTTTGTTTTTGTAGATGTCCTTGCACCCATTTGAATTTTTATCATTTGTCTATAATAAAATTAAAGCACGTCCAGTACTTTTTTTAAATTCATTTAACGCATGGAACACAATTTAATAGATGGATAGATAAAACCATAATATAATAAAATATTAGTTGCAGTTGGATTCTCAGTGTTTGCATTTAAATAATAAATATGGAAAAATAAGTAGATTTTAGAAAGTGCTATTATTTATAACTGTATAAAGTTATTTTTATCATTATAATCATTTTTCGCAATAGATGTATCTTTAATACCTACTTATTGGTGCACTGAGCCATAGAGGGCGTTATTTTAAGTATAGTACAAATAGTTTTTGAGTTTTAACCGTGTTACCGAGTTTTTAACGTTTAATAACTCGAAAAATATTCAAAATATGCTTCTCTATGGCCCTATTATAGTTTTAATGTTTAATATTCCTTCGAGAATGTTAAACATCAAAAGTACATGCAGAAAAAAACTAACACTCCAAAATAAAGTAAAAATGATTCCCGATTTCACTTTTACGAGAAAATCCAACCGCGACCGACAAATATTGCACGCCACAATAATAATAATAATCATTTTAACCAATTTCAAATTATTTATTATATAAACTTAATTTTTTGTGTTACCATACGAAACAATATCGACTAACATTCCTGCTGTTTTGTGGCCTGATTTCTGAAGCCAGGCGGGCTGCTGATGGATGTGTTAATCTCGCCGCCGAACCAGTTCAAGTTCGGCTGAGAAATGTGTGAATAATTGTTGGAATAGCTCGGCTGCGTTTGCAGCTGAGACGCGAAATTCGAGAACGCTGTGTTGTTAAAGTCGAAATTTCTGTTGCCGTTCTGTTGTTGCTGTTGCTGCTGCGCGCCGTTATAAAGGTGGCTGTGTTGCTGCTGTTGCGGCATGTTCGCCGCTAGGGGGAAGTGGCGACTCGACGTTAAAATCGCAGGATCTAAAACTTTCCAATCGTTACACGCGTTACTAACATCTGGAAAAGAAGAGAGACGGTGGGGGAAGTCCCCGTTAAAATCTGTGTCGAATGCCTCGATTTAAGTCACTACAAGCAGGCTAAGCTCATGGGAGGGGCTCAAGTGCAAACAAACGAACGGTGATTGGCTGGTTCGAGGAGCGACAGTAGGTCAAATGTCTCAACCCAAGAAAATTTGATGAACAAAAATGCGTACTACGCTATAAAAACCAAAACTAAACATGCACTATGAAAGAACGTGTCAAAACCATAAAATTAGAGAAAATAGAAGAGCATAGAACACAAAAGCACGAAAAAAGCGAAAATATAGTAGTAAAACTTACTTTTATGTTGTGGCATTTGTTGGTGTGGAGGAGAATTGAAATTACTAGGCCAACCGTTCTGTTGTTGTGTTGAACTATTTGGAATTTGTGAACTGTTATTTGACATATTTAAAAAAGGTAATATTTTGCTCCCTGTAACAAAAAACATTATAATTAACATAAGAAAACTGTATTTATTTTTTTAGGATCTGTTTACAAGTTTTATATTTTACTGCTAAATTAAATTTATTACCTTTGCGAAAAAGGCCAAAACTAAGCTTGATTGGATTAATACAAGAAAATTAAAAAAAAAACATCAAATTTTATTTTCCATGAAAACCGCAGTTACATTTTTAATAAATACCGGATGACGGTTAAATCAATTTTTTTATCAGTTAAAAATCGATTTTTTATCCTGTCAAAAAAATCGTTTTATCCAAGCTGTGAAAAACTGCATTCTTTTACCAGTTTTTAAGTATTTTGCAGTGTTTTATGAACCACTTTAATCACAAATTTAAGAACTTGATCGGCGAAATTTTTAAATAAATGCGAAACATAAACTAGTTGTTAATAATTATAAGTATTAAAAATTTTAGGACATTCAATTTTAATAAAATCATAAATAAAAATTTACCACCAAAGTATGTATTTATCAAAGTGATTGTATTTTTATTAAGAATACACTTTTAAAAAATCGTTAGTTTAGTTCGTTACGCTGTTTTTGAGTCTGGTAAATATAACTAAAAATATTTTAGAAATAGGAAACAACTCTTATATTCTTTCCCATATTTGCTACTAAAAGGATTTTTATTGCTGGTTATATGGGGTTAAATTTTAAAATAATCAGAAGTCGTTTAAAAACTGGTACAGGGCTCCCACGGCTAAATTACACTTTTTTTTTAGGAATTTAGGAGGTTTTTTGGATAATTTTAGGAGAATTTTAGGAGAAATAAAGTATGCAAATGAATTTTTGTAATTAAATAAAAAAAACTACATTGTACTTAAAAAAATAGGAAAAAAATAAATAAGTATTTTTACAAAACTATAAAAAAATATATCTTTGATCCCCTATAATGTCCCCCCCTTTTAACTATTTTATTTTAAGTGTCTCAAAAAAATTTAAAAGTGTGGTTATGTAGGTACTGAAAAATACTTTTTTTATGTATAAAAATTGGAAAATTGATCAGTATACAGGAAAAAACAAAAAGTTTATTTTTTCTCAATGGATCACCCTATATATGAAATTATTTTTCGATTCCTTGTAAAATTCTAAGCATAATTCTTATAATATACCATAAACCTAAATACAAGCGTTTCTGAAATATTTAAATTATTTTTTAGATAATAAGTTAAAATATTTTGTCTTCTTTCTCTGTCTAAATACGGCATTTTTACTTACTTACTTACTATTTTAATAAAATAAATAATAAAAATTTAAAATCGAATACAAATCTGTAATATTTGAATTTTTTAAATAAAATTTTAAATTTGTCGATAAATTATAGTAGATAATAAATTGCACCACTTTAATTTGAATAATCTTAAATAGGGGGGCCTGGAGGCGGGTGAGGCACCAGGAAAAACTAACTTTTTTTCGCAAACTTCAATTTAAATTCTGTTTGCGCAAAACTTATTTATTTAATGTCATTATAAACTATTATAAATTTGGTTTGGGTCCCATGTCTTATAACTGAGATATTGGTATACCCAAAATCCACCAGCCGCCACTGAAATAATGGCATTAATGCACAAAACATAGGCGGTAATTTACTGTTTTAAGTTCAGCCACGACACGATATTTGACAAAAGTTCGTGTTCGGCTACAATCGGAACCGCTTCCACCAATCAGGCATCGCATTCCTAAAGAACGAAAGTACCTTTTTTACATGTTTATAGATTTGAGCGCCTCTTATTTTTGACAGTCATCACGTGTTAATAATTACTATCTTACTTAAACAGTCAGTTTCATTAATAATATTAAATTTAAGTAATTAAACAGTCAGGTTGGCCTATTAATATAAATTTATATTAAATTTTTAGGAGTTTTAGGAGATTGCCGGCCATTTTAGGAGAATTTTAGGAGTTTTCAAGACTTAAGCAAAATTTTATGAATTTTATGAGTTTTAGGAGGTGTGGGAGCCCTGCTGGTATAAAAACCTTTGCTAAAATTTTAAATAATACTTTACTGCTAAATTAAATTTGTTTTCTTTGCGAAAAAGGCCAAAACTATGTTTGATTGGATTAATAAAAGTTAAAAAACAAAAAAACTTTTTTTACTTAACATCTATAATTGCTGGGACTGTCATAAGTATTCGGATGACCGGTTTTTATTTTCCATTAAAACCGCAGTTACACATTTAATAAATACCGGTTAAATCAATTTTTCGACCGGTTAAAAACGTTTTTCAAAAAATTAAAGAACTGGATGGATAAATTTTAAACTTATTACTAATAATGAATAAATGCGAACCCTTAAACGAGTTTAGTTATTAATTATAAGTATTAAAAATTTTAGAACATTTTAATAAAAAAATAAAATCATAAATAAAAATTCACCACCAAAATATGTATTTATCTAGAAAACAAGTTTAGTTCACTACGCTGTTTTGAGTCTTCCTGTATTATTAAAAATAGTTTAGAAATATGAACCATCTTAAAATATGAAACAATTTTTTTTAACTCTTATAGTACTAAACACAATCCACACAACAAGGTCTGTTCTATCTCATACTACAAATACAAAAAATCACTGCAACACTGCACAGTTTAACGGCGGCCATTTTTGTTGTTTGCAATTTTTGTGCTTTGGGTTTGTACAGATTAATAATCGTTTTAAACGTTGTGTTTCTCATAGTAAGCCTTAAAAGAGTCCTTAAAGTGCTAAGAACAACCATTTTACTCATATATTGTAAAAAATAAACTTTATTCTATCAGGGCTGTCATAAAACTGTCAAATGTCAATTTTAAGGTTAAATTATAACCCACAAATTAACCTTCAAATTGTCATTTGACAGCCCTGATAGAATAAGGTATATTTATTATAAAAGAGGAGTAAAGTGGTTGTCCTTAGCACTTAAATGCCTTATTTGAGGCTTACAAGTGCCTCTGTAAGAAACACAACGTTTAAAACAATTATTAAACAACACAAACCCAAAGCACAAGAATTGTAAACAACAAAAATGGCCGCCGTTAAACTCTGTGCAGTGTTGCAGTGATTTTTAGTATTAGTAATGTAAATTTAAATTTTTTTTTAAGAATGTCAATTTAAGGTATTTTAGGGCCCGGTTTGTGAATTGCAATTAAAATTTTATCCAAGCTTAGCTGTTTAGTTACAATTAATATAATAATGGCAAAAAATCGATTAACCAAATCATCAACAACCAGTTATTCGGTTATGTAGTGTAGTAAGGGTTGCAAACAAGGAAAAGTTTGGTCAAAAAGTTGGAAAAGTTCGGCTCCCCCCGATGAAAAGTTGGAAAAGTTAGTAGGTGATATAAATCGCTAGATTTGAAGTGTTTTTAGTAAAACGTACTAAAATCTTTTTTTTTTAATAACACTGTCAAACTTTATCAAAAATGATGTCTGCAAGCAGCATTTTCTATTATAGGAATATTGTTTTATTTTAACGTATTTAAGTTGCTAAAATGTATCCAATAAAAATATTTGGGTCACGTATTTTGAATTATATCGTCATAATAAGATAAATATTTAAAATTGAAAAAACTATAATGTACCCAAGTGAAAATCGGTAGAAAATAACGTATTTTTGATAAATGGACTGCCAAATCGATAGATCAACGACTTCTAAATGCTATTTTTGCTTCATATTTTTTTGTAATTATTTTCATTTCGTATGAATATTTTTTTATGGTGTGTATTAATTTCTATTCTTTTTTACTTAAAAAAATTGATTTTTTAACTCATTAGATTGTCCCATTTACAAAACCCAGTTTATTTTTGTTGTGATTATGTTGTTCATTTTATTTCGTTTATTTTTTTTCTGTTACCTATGATATTAACAACTTGTTATGTATGTATACTAGACTGGTTCAAAAAAATCGAATATTTTTTTTTTCTTCAAAGCCCGCATTAAAATATCTTCCTAGTAGTGAAAAAAGAAGCCTGTGAAAATTGTAGCTCTTAATATTAATATTTAGAGGTCGCTCATCGTGAATTTCTATTTTACGTTTAAATAACACAGGAATTCTTTTTTCTTAACTTTGAAATTTTATAACTCGTTTTTGAGTGAACGTATTGGAATGAACTCTATATATTTTTGAAGAAAATTGAACGTTCTACAAAAATATCTCTTATAATTTTTTCGTAAATTCACTCCTTTAATAGTTATTCAAGGTTGAAATTAGACATATAATAAATGTAACGTTTAAATTAATAACAGGAATTTTTTTTAACTTTTAATTTTATAACTTTTTTTTTGACTGGACATGTCTTAGTAATGATGTGGATAATTATTTAAAAAAACATCAGTGGCGCAGTTACTTGGGGGGCTGCTCCTCTTTTCACCATAGGCGCAACTGGAATTTTTTTTAATAATAAACACATTTTTAGATTATCTGTTTAATTTAGAGAAAAAAACTACTCATGTAAAATTTTGATTTAGTGCTTCATTTTTTAATTAATTAATTTATTTATCCAAGAATACTTTTGCCGCAGTTTTTTTGGAGTGTGTTCCCAAATATTTTAAAAACGAAGCCCTAAATTAAAATTTTAGCACAGTAGTTTTTTTATCTCTAAATCTAAAAATGTATTTTAAAATTTCCAGTGGCGTCAAAGACTGAGGTGAAAAGGGGAGCAGCCCCCCAAGTAACTGCGGCACTGATGTTTTTTTTAAATAATTATCTACATCATTATTAAGGCACTGACTATATTACATTGTGTGCCAAATTAATTTTGTGGTTTAAAAGTTATGAAGAGAAAACTATTTTTTTTAGGAAACATTTGTAAGAAATGTTTTTTTATGAAAGTCTATCTTATTTTTGATGCTTTATCACCTATTAAAATTAATGTATTACAAACTGGACCATCCTGTACAATAATGAGTGATAAGGTTTATTATTATGCCACCAATTATAAGAAAAAGGTTAAATTTATTATATGTCTAATTTCAACCTTGAATAACTATATTAATATTAAGAGCTACAATTTTCACTACTAGGAAGATATTTCAATGCGGGCTTTGAAGGAAAAAAAATATTCGATTTTTTTTAACCAGTCTAATGTATACATAAGAAATAAATTATTTTAATACATTGAGAAGCATTATTTATGTTTTATATGTTTACATTACAAACAACTCAACTTTTCCAAAAAATAAAACCAAACTTTTCATGGAAAGTTGCAACCCTAAGTGTAGTGTGTATTGAAATGAAAAACGTTGGACTTACCAAACGAGTTCATGTGTGTGTTGCCGGGCTGGACGAATCCAGGCGGCGGCGGTGGCAGGTAGCCGCCGTTCGGCGCCCCCCTCGCCTGTTGCGTTTTCAGTTGCGGCGGCTGCTGCTCGTTGGCCATCATCTCCGCGAACGCTTTCTGCGTCTCTTGGATGGGATCGAAGTCCAACTCGTCCTCTCGGTTGATTTGCTGGCTGTTGTGCGACGGTTTGTGCCCGTAAAGGTGCGGCGGCATGCCGAAGTTGTGTTGCGCGTTCGCTGCGCCGCTGCCCCCTTGAGCTTGTTGCGCGGGATGCGGCGGTGCCACGTCGCCGTTCAGGTAGTGACCGAGGCCGCCGTTTTGGTACGCGGACGTCGGAGAACCGAACGCCTATGCAAAAAATATATAAAAACGTTAAAGTTTCCTACCTTGACAGCTTTTTATAGAGATGGGAATCGGAAGTTTACAGTCGGTAATTTATTATCATTTTTAAAGTTTCTTTTAAAGTTACCAGGAACATTCCCGGAAACTTTCCTTGAAAACAGAGCTGGGAGTATCTTGAAAAAAAGATACTTGAAAGTAACTTAGTATCTAAGATACTTTTTATATTGGACAGAAAGTATCTTTAACTAAGTTACTTTGGAAAGTATCTTGTATCTTGTAAAAGTATCTAAGTAAAGTAACTAAGATACATTCAAGTAACTTAGATACTTTTTAAAGTAATTAAGATACTTTTTAAAGTAACTTAGATATTTTCTTAGAGAAAGTTGGGGGAATTCCAGAATGATTCAAAGTAATTACCTAACCTACAACTTGACGAATTTTCATAATTTTATAGTTTTTATTTATACTTAATAGTAACTTAGTTACTCAAAAGTATCTTAGTTACTTAAAAGTATCTTAGTTGCTCAAAAGTATCTTGTAACTAAAGATACTTTTAACTCAAAGTATCTAGTTACCAGAGGTAACTAAGTTATTTTGTTTAAAGTATCTTAGAAAAGTAACTAGATACTTTTCAGAAGTAACTTTCCCAGCTCTGCTTGGAAACTTCCCCTATTTTTCCTATGTAAATGTGAATTGTTTAACAGCGAAGTTAAGGCCAAGAAACTGAATAAGAAGTTAATTTGTGTTAATTTAAAGAAGAAGTATAGTATACAGGGTGTTATGTAATTAATGTAATATATTAAAATTAATAGTTCCTTAGGGTCCATAAAAAAGCACCTGAAACTTTTTTATTCTAAATTTTAAAGACTAAAAATAATTTATAATAACCTTTATCCTATCAAAAAGTACGCCACTGATCGACTAGGAACTTTAGGCTAATCTGCTTGCCTAATTTAATTTATTATGGTAACAACCAGCGTTTCCAGAAAGTTGCCAAATTTTGTTTAAATTTATCTTAATGACAAAATCAACAATGCAAATTGTTTATTGTCATTTTTGTTATGAAGGTAAATTCAAACAAAATACGATGTGGCTCCCGTCCCGAGGCGGGACTTAAGTTCAGTCCCGATTGACGTCACACACTGTAAATCCGTTTTTATTCCCCGAGATTTTATAATTTGTGTCAAGCTCGATGGCTTAGATGGTAGGGCGGTCGCTTGGCATGCGAGAGGTACCGGGTTCGATCCCACTAGAAGTTGTCAAACTTTTTTTATTTTTTTTGTTTTATAAATTTGTTGTTTCTTTGTTAAAAAGTGTTTTATTTTTATCGTAACATAAATTTGCCCATTTTAGTTGGGTTTTTTGCTCAATGGGGCGGGGGGGCCAATGGGGCGGGGTCGGTTGGGTTGTGTTGTTGAGTTTGGGTTGGTTTGGTTTTATGACGTAACTAAAGTGCCCTTAACATGTATACAGGTACAATTTATTATTATTATTATTTTATTATAACATAACAAATCTTAAAATTATGACGTTAATCGGGACTGAACTTGGGTCCCGCCTCGGGACGGGAGCCACAGCGAACAAAATATGTCAACTTTTATGACCGAATCTAGTGCATTTTTTCAAATTTTAGGTTATGTGTTCAAATTGTAAATATCTTAACTAAGCGGAGTGCTTTGGGATTTATTTACACAAATTGAATGTTTAAAGTTTAACCTGTTATGGAGTTTTTAAAATACGTACTAAATTTTCTAATAATTGCTTAAGCTAATAGCTAATGGATGAGTAAATAAATACCAAAGGGTATTAGAGCTTTAAGGACATACAACTTTTGTATTTATTGGGTTTTTATTTATTTTTTGCAAGAAAAATTTTTAGTAACAAATGGCAACGCGCAGTTACTTTGTTGGTTGGTATTTATGTACTCACAGAACACAAGTGTGTAATTTTAATATATTACATTAATTACATAACACCCTGTAGTTTAGTTTGTTGAAGATCCCATCACAATTTATAATTCCTTTGTAAAAAACCCTTTGCATAATCCTTTTAAAATATTTGGAATTATTACAAAATAGCGCAAAAAAAGACCATGCTCAATGCAGTACGTCGAATGTTACTAATGCCATTTTTGTGGATTCAGTTCCCAAGTTACAATTTTTACATGTTTAAATAACGGGAATAACACTTTTATTTTTGTTTTATTCCTAAATTGTGTTTTTTGCTTTTGCAAATGTTTTTTATGGGTAATTTCTGGGACACCCTGTATAGGCCAAACTTTCTGTGTTTAGCTCCCAAAAAGATAGAGGGAGCCAAAGTTATTATATTTTTTGTCCAAAAACAAGTCAATTATCTATTTCATTTGAGAAATAATAATTAAGCAATGTTAATTTATTTTGTAAGAATTATTATGAAAAATACGAATAAGTTGATATCCCTTATCGTTAATTTTTCACTTTTCAAATTCATATTAAAAAAATGACCCATTTTGACAAACTTTATATTAAGACTTTTCTCCTGGCAATCTTAAAGTCGGACTATTTTTAGTCCGATTTATCAAAATAGGTCGATTGTTTTTTTTTATTTGAATTTAATAAGTGAAAAACTAACAGGGACATTTTGACAACTGATTATTAAAAGTTGTAGTTTTACATTTAAAAGAAAAATGTATAACTCAAAGCTCGTTCGCAATAATCCGATGACATTTTTTTTTATAGTTCTGTGGGTAAAAGGCATAAGGGGATAAGTCAAAACAATCAATTTTTTAGTAGTGCCTTAAACGTGTTTGCATTAATTTAGGAAATACATTTATGGTTAGCGGGTATATCCTTTTGCCAGCACATGTCATATGCTAGCAAAAGGGTATACTCGCTAACCATAAATATATTTCCTGAATTAATGCGAACACGTTTAAGTCTCTACCGAAAAATTGCTTTTTTTGACTTATCCCCTTATGCCTTTTACCCACAGAGTTGTAAACTGTTTTAAAACCAAAACTTTTTTGTAGAGAGAACACTACAATTTTCAAAAAAACTTCATCCAAGTATTGCGAACGAGTCGTGAGTTATCATTTTGTTTTTAATGTTAAATTCTTAGACACTAAAAATAATAAAATAGGTGCCGAATTTCTGAAAATTATTTAAGTTTGTTTTGTAATTATCTACAGATTTTCACAATTATCGTTACTTTCCAAAAATCCAATAAAAATTCATCGATACATTTAACGTGGCTTGGCTCACTATTAAAACATTTTTTCTTTATCCCAATGAATCCAGGTGACAAAACTTTTGCCTAATAGAGAATTGGATATTCGTCCCTAAAACTCTACACTGTTTGGTTTAACACTTTTTTGTCCAACAGAATTGGAAACAAGATAAAAAAATGAAAAACTTTTTTAAACGACAGCAATAACATATCCCAGCCAGTTTGAAATTTTTTCGATGTAACCCCTGATTTTTAAAGTTGCAATAAAACATCTATTTTTTTATAGAAAAAATTAGCGTATTATACTTGTGTGTATGTAGAATGTATTTAAGAATTATGTGGTAGATTTTTGTGAGGACATTTTACTGATAACCTGTTAAACATGCTATAAAAAGAAGGGAAAAGTTATAGGAAATATTGTTTAAAATTTTAGTTTTAAAAATAACTGTCTTACCTTATTGTTAATACTAATGTTCAAGAACTGCTCCTCGATCTGTTTCTGTTGCAGCAACATAATTTTCTCAGCCTGATAATAATTATTTTGCAAACCATTCAATGGCGCAAACGCGCTGCTCTCCTTTTGCTGCTGTTGCTGCTGAGCAGCCGCGGCCGCGCTGTTTTTGTGGAAGTCCATGAAAAATTTCGACAAGTTCTGATCCAGCCCGTTCATTCCGCCGCCGCCGTTCAATTGCGGTGGCGGTTGTTGGGGCGGCTCTTGCTGCTTGAAACTGCTGCCGCCGCCACCGCCGAAGCAGTTCGTTTTGTTCAGCATGTCCACCAGGAAGTCGTTGTATGCGATGTCTATAAAACCTGACACGAAGTCAATTGTTAATAAAGTCTAATCAAATCGTTTTTTTTTCAATATTTATATCAAATAAATTGTTCCAAATGACGAAACAAAGTTATTTTTGTTCTATTTTGGAAATTAAAAAAAAAATTGTATTAGACTTCATTTCCAAATAAATTGAGCCGGCGAAAAACCGAGATTTCCGGAAAAAAAACCGGAATAATTGGGAAAGTTTCAGAAAAATTGACTTTTGCATTTTTTTTTTTTTATTCAAAAGGGAATACGAAAAAATGCTGTTTTTTTAATGAAAATTTCCATACTTTCACGGATATCGAGAAAAAAGTGAATTGACGCTGAATATAATCATAATATTTTGATTATAACAGTTATTCCTTTTATTTTAATTCAGTAAAAATATTCTACCGGGTCGCAAAAAAAACATATTAGGTGCTGTAATAACATAACTTTCGTTTTATAATAATAATTTTGTAATTTAACTTTATAAATCATTTATTATTTTGTAATGGACTCCGTTTTGCAAAAAAGACCCAACCGACAGTATATTTAACTTAACGTTTTCGTTTAATTTAATTAAATGTTTAGTTTTTTTTTCTGTAAGGATTTTTTTTTAAATTAAAATATTGTTAAGTTGTTGATTGCTACTTTTTTCAAATGTGAATATTTTCCCAAAAAAGACAGTTTTTCCAAGGCCTGGGAAAAAAGGTTTTTTCCCAATGTTTCCGGTTTTCCACTTTAAAACCCATTTATTAACAATTAACTTTTAAATGCAAATAACTCAAGATTCTTCAGGAATTTCAAAAATTTTGTTTTAGGAAAATAAAACGTTGTACAAAATAGATTCTATACAATTTTCTACTATCAGCAGCATTTACAAGGTGTAATAAAGATGAAAAAGTTATAAATAATTTTTTTTTTCAAAAGGCGCATAAAGATGAACATTTTAGGATTTTAAAGTGTGGAAAAAAAACCGGAAAAATTGGGGGGAAAAACCTGTTTTTACCGTTTTTTTTCCAAGCCTTGGAAAAATTGTCTTTTTTGAGAAAAATTCATTTTTTTCTAAAAATATACAAAGCAATCAACAACTTAACATTATTTTAATTTAAAAAAATATCCCAAAGGATAATACATTGAAATGAATTGATTTAAGAAAATAAACGTAAAAGTTAAATATACTGTCAGTTGGGTCCTTTATGCAAAAGGGAGTCCATTGAAAAAATCCATTTACAAAATAATGAATGATTTATAAAGTTAAATAACAAAATTATAATTTTATAAATTAATGTGTCAAATAAAAGATAGTTATGTTAATGCAGCACCGAATTTATTTTTTTGCAATCCGGTAGAAGATTCATACTGATATATATAATAGGAATAATTATTATAATAATGTATTATATGATTAAAATCGAAGTCGAAAATTCACTTTTTCTCTATATCACTGTATATATATACTATATTTGGAAACTTGATATTTTAATTTTTTTTTTATTTTATTCAAAAGGTAATACGAAAAAATGCAAGTCAATTTTTCTGAAAATTTTCAATTTTTTTCCAAGGCCTGGGAAAAAAGGAAAAAAACAGTTTTTTCTCTCAATTTTTCCGGTTTTTTTCGACTAAAACCCTATTTTATAAATGTTGCTAATTTATATAATTTTTTTAATAAACTGCCGATTTTGATGCATTCATTTTTCAACACCCTCGGAAATTTTCATAAATAGTTTACGAGATTTTTTAATTAAACGGTACGGAAATGTTCAGATGCACTGTTAATAAACAAATGATTTTATAACGTTACTTGATATAAATGAGTGGAACATTTTCCAATATTTAGCTCTAATTATCGTAAGCTCATTTGGACAATTTCTACTCAATAATAATAACAAATACAAAAACTTACTTTTGCCGAATCCGTTGCCGTCCGGCTGAAGCTGATCGACGCCGAAGCCGCCATTTCCGCCAAAACCATCCAGCTTATCCCCCGCCCTTTTATCCTCCCCGCCCAGCAACAAGAGGTGCTCTTGCTGCATTTGAAGGTGGTGCGGCAACCTCTGTTGCTGCGCAGGCTGCTGTTGCGCAGCTTGTTGCCTTGGAAACCCGAACGCGGCCGCCCAATCTTCCGTGGTGTTGATGTTGGGCAGGGAATCCGTCAAAATGTCGTGATGTTGGTGCGGGCTGGAAATTTCGTCGCCATCTGCAACGTTTTTGTGAATATCACGGAAACTCAGTGGGCGCATTTTCGCCGATACCTCGAAAACTACCGAACCGATTTTAAAGCGTAATACGTCAAAATGACGCTAAATAATCGGGGGTACAAAACCGCATAAATACCTAAATTATCGTCTTCGTCGTTCAATCTGTCGGGGGTTTCCACTAGCTTCGCGAAGGAATTCGACGACGAAAAGAAGCTGCTGTTGTCGTCCAACAGGTGGCGCTGGTGTTGATGCAGCTTGTTGAGCTGTTGCTGCTGCGCGTGCGCGTTGTGCATGTGTTGTTGCAGCAACATCGGCAGCTGTTGCTGCAGGTTGTTGCTTGTGTGTTGCTGGAGGTTTTGTTGTGTCAGTTGCTGTGGGGCCGACTGCTGTTGTATTTGTTGTTGTAGGTTGTGTAGGTGTTGTAGGTGTTGTATTTGTTGGGGGGGAGTTTGTGACAATTCCGGCGAGGTCGAACCGTTGTCGGAATCTTCGGATGAAGGGGATTTTGACATATTTACTTCTAGTTTATCTGAAATATTACCAGCGCACATTTTTTTCAATAATTCAAAAAATAATAAAAATATTTTAGAATAAAGCCAAATAATGATGCTAAAATGTGCAATAAAATTGCACTGACTGAATTGCCTTTGAGATATCTTACATTTAATGTCTATGGCACGCCGTTTTAGCATTTATTAGATAATAATTTGAAGATTAAAGTTTAGCACTCTAATGATGTTTTTACAAAAATTCAAAACAATTAATGGTCAAAAAATATTTTAAATTTAAAATATAACTGTAAAACTTTAAGCTTAAAAACATTGATTTAAAAAAATTTTAGTTGATGTTATTTTACAAAATCATAGGTTTAAATTTGTTAATTCATTTAAATGATAGTCAACAAATTTTTAATACAAAAGTTTTAAAATTTATAATTTTTGGATTAAAAATTTATCGACTCATCATCATTTAAATGACTCTTTACAAAGTTGAACCAAAACTTTTTAATTCAACTCAATTCAATAAGTTTACATTTAAATGTAAGTCGATAATTTTTAATTTACAAATTGTAACGTCGTTTTAACGTTTATTACTAACTAAAAATTTTTGGTTTACATTTATAAATTTAAAATATTTTCAACTATCATGTATTGAAAGACAAAATGTACTAACTAACAGTTCACTTCTGTTTTAAACAATATTATTTTCTATCTATTTTTTCAAAAATTTCCAACTATCATTTTTTAATAAAAATAATTTCCCAAGTATAATTTATTTGGGTGGCATTTTGTAAACTTAAATAAATATTTTATAAAATTATTGAGATTAATTTGTTAAAGTTAAATTTTTTAGTATTTAAAAATTGTATCAAGCCATTTAAAATAAAAACACATATAACATTTTCTACCAAAATAGTTTAAAAAGTTAAATTTTTGTAAACTCAAAACTATTGATAATCAAAAAATATTTTAAATATAAAATGCAACTGTAAAAGTTTAAGTTTAAAAATATTGATTTAAAAAAAATGGAATTTTAATATTTTATTCTTCAAAATTATTGGTTTGAATTTGTAGAGTCATTTAAATGATAGTAAATTTTCAATACAAAAATTTGAACATTACATTATTGTTAGTTTTAAATTTTAAAGTGGTAATTTTTGCATTAAAAATTTATTGACTATCATTTAAATGACTCTTTACAAATTTAAACCAATAATTTTGTAAAATAAAATATTAAAACTACAATTTTCAAAACCCAATATTTAAAAAAAAAATTTGATTATCAATTGTTTAAAAAAATTTAACTTTTTAAACTATTTTGGTAGAAAATGTTTTATATGTGTTTATATTTTATGTCTTGATACTATTTTAAATACCAAAAAATTATACTTTACCAATTTAATCTAAATGATTTTATTAATATTAAGATTAAGATTTACAAAATTCTGCCATAATAAATTAAACTTAAGAAATTATTTATATTAAAAAGTAATGGTTAGTAATGTTTGCAAAAATTGATTGGAAATAATATTGTTTAATACAGAAGTGAACTGTTAGTTGGTAAATTTTGTCTTGATATTGATATTTGAAAATATTTTAAATTTATAAATGTAAACCTAAAATTGTTATTGTAAAATTAAAAAAATATTTAATAAATTTTCAAACAGTCACCATATTGTGAATATTTTAAAAACTAATTATGCGATTTCAAAAAGTAATATTCTAATCAATTGTAATATTAAAATAAATACAAATAATTACATTATAAAACAATATAAACCTTGTTATAATCGCATTAAAGTTATAAAAGTGATAGCCAAATTAAACTGGTTAATTTATCTGAAAAATGTCGAAAATATTAAACTTGCATATTTTTGTGTATATCTCAAAAAACTAATTAGGAGATATTAAAATATAATATGTAAAAATAAAGACAAATAATGACCCTTGAAAGTAAATTAAACCGCAATAAAATCGCAGTTTAGATAGATAATGTCATCATAAATAAAACAATTTAAAACATGTTAAAAAAGTTCAATTGGTTATAGTCAAATTAAATCAGCCTTTAAAAAAATTAGGAAGAAATTTAAGTAAATATAAAAAAAAATCTTACCTTCTATTATATTATTTGTTTCCAATTTACTATCCACCAAATTTTTTACATTGCAAATAACGTCCTTCTTTTCTTTACTCTTTTCTGTCGATTTTGTTTTCGATTTTTTACTACTTTTTTCTTTGTCTTTCTTTTCCTTTTCTACATTCAATTGAGGCCAATTTTCCTTGTTTGTGCCATTACTAGTATTATTTGTATTATTATTGTTGTTGGTACTACTGTTATTACTGCCTGTCGTTTGTTGTGTCGTACCGCCACTGCCCGCTGTCGACGTGATTTCTTTAGTGCTACCTGAAACGATGTTTTTGAGAATCACTGTAAAACTAAATTTGCGATTTAATGTCTAATTAAAGCCAAATAATTACACTACAAAGTAAATTAAACCATGTTAAAATCGTTATAGACGGATTAAAACAGCCTTCACAATAACAAAGAAAAATGTCATCATCGGACGTTTTGTAAATATCTCGATATAAAATTGGACGATTTTGAAATTAAATATGTCAAAGTAAAGCCAAAGAATCACGCTATAAAGTAAATTAAATATTGTTAAAATCGCACTTCAGTTATAGTCGGTTATAGACGGATTAAAACAACCTTCAAAATATTGAAGCAAAATGTCATCTTCGGCCATTTTTGTAAATATATCGATATAAAATTGTATTATTTTAAAATTAAATACATTAAAGTAAAGCCAACTAATCACGCTATAAAGTAAATTAAACCGTGTTAAAATTGGTTCAAAAGTTAAAGAGGCATTAAAACAGCCTTCAAAAACGATTCAGAATGTCATCATCGGACATTTTTGTAAATATCTCGATATAATATTGGACGATTTAAAAATTAAATATGTCAAAGTAAAGCCAAATAATCACGCTATAAAGTAAATGAAATATTGTTAAAATCACACTTCAGTTTCAAAAGTTATAGACGGATTAAAACAACCTTCAAAATATCGAAGCAAAATGTCATCTTCGGACATTTTTGTAAATATCTCGATATAAAATTGTACTATTTTAAAATTAAAGTAAAGCCAAATAATCACGCTATAAAGTAAATTTAACCGTGTTAATATTGGTTCAAAAGTTAAAGAGGCATTAAAAACGATTCAGAATGTCATCAACGGACATTTTTGTAAATATCTCGATATAATATTAGACGATTTAAAAATTAAATATGTCAAAGTAAATCCAAATAATCATGCTATAAAGTAAATGAAATATTGTTAAAATCACACTTCAGTTTCAAAAGTTATGGACGGATTAAAACAACCTTCAAAATATCAAAGCAAAATATCATCTTCGGACATTTTTGTAAATATCTCGATATAAAATTGTACTATTTTAAAATTAAATATATTAAAGTAAAGCCAAATAATCACGCTATAAAGTAAATTTAACCGTGTTAATATTGGTTCAAAAGTTAAAGAGGCATTAAACCAGCCTTGAAAATAACGAATCAAAATGTTATCACCGGACATTTATGTAAATATCTTGAAATACAATTGGACGAATTTGAAACTAAATATGTCAAAGTAAAGCAAAAGAATTACAATATAAAGTAAACTAAATGTTGAAAAAATCGCACTCAAGGTTGGAAAGTTATAGCCACATTGCAACATCGTTTGAGATGGCGAAAATAAAATATCCCCACTGGACGTTTTCGAGAAAATTTTAAATAGTAATGGTGTGATTTTCAAATGTAATATGCCAAAATGAAGCCAAATAATAAGGCACGCTATAAAGTAAATTAAACCGTGTTAATATTGGTTCAAAAGTTAAAGAGGTATTAAAAACGATTCAGAATGTCATCATCGGACATTTTTGTAAATATCTCGATATAATATTGGACGATTTAAAAATTAAATATTTCAAAGTAAATCCAAATAATCACGCTATAAAGTAAATTAAATATTATTAAAATCGCACTTTAGGTTCAAAAGTCATAGACGCATTAAAACAACCTTCAAAATAACGAATCAAAATGTCATCATTGGACATTTTTGTAAATATCTCGATATAAAATTGGACGATTTTAAAATTAAATATGTCAAAGTAAAGCCAAAAATTTACGCTTTAAAGTAAATTAAACCGTGTTAAAATTGGTTCAAAAGTTAAAGAGGCATTAAAACAGACTTCAAAAAATGAATCAAAATGTCATCAACGGACATTTTTGTAAATATCTCGATATAAAATAAAGTATGTCAAAGTAAAGCCAAAAAATTACGCTTTAAAGTAAATAAAATATTGTTAAAATCGCACTTTAGGTTCAAAAGTTATAGACGCATTCAAACAGCCTTCAAAATATCGAAGCAAAATGTCATCTTCTTTGTAAATATCTCGATATAAAATTGTACTATTTTAAAATAAAATATACCAAACTAAAGCCAAAGAATCGCACTATAAAGTAAATTAAACCGTGATAAAATTGGTTCAAAAGTAAAAGAGGCATTAAAAATTAATCAAAATGTCATCATCGGACATTTTTGTAAATATTTCTATATAAAATTGGACGATTTTAAAATTAAATATGTCAAAGTAAAGCCAGAGAATCACGCTATAAAGTAAATTAAATATTGTTAAAATCGCACTTCAGGTTCAAAAGCTACAGACGCATTAAAACACCCTTCAAAATATCGAATGAAAAAGTCATCATCGGACATTTTTGTAAATATCTTGATATAAAATTGTACAATTTTAAAATGTAATATATCGAAGTTAAGCCAAAGAATTAAGCTATAAAGTAATTTAAACCGTGTTATATTTGGTTTAAAAGTTAAAGTCTTTAACTTAAAGAGGTATTAAAACAGCCTTTAAAATAACGAAGGAAAATGTCATCATCGGACATTTTTGTAAGTATCTCGAATCTATAAAAATTAAATATGTCAAATTAAATCCAAATAATCATGCTATAAAGTAAATTAAATATTGTTAAAATCGCACTTTAGGTTCAAAACTTATAGACGCATTAAAACAACCTTTAAAATAACGAATGTCATCTTCTTTGTAAATATCTCGATAAGAAATTGTACTATTTTAAAATAAAATATACCAAACTAAAGCCAAAGAATCACGCTATAAAGTAAATTAAGCCGTGATAAAATTGATTCAAAAGTAAAAGAGGCATTAAAAATTAATCAAAATGTCATCATCGGACATTTTTGTAAATATCTCTATGTAAAATTGGACAATTTTAAAATTAAATGTCAAAGTAAAGCCAAAGAATCACGCTATAAAGTAAATTAAATATTGTTAAAATCGCACTTCAGGTTCAAAAGTTATAGACGCATTAAAACAGCCTTCAAAATATCGAATGAAAAAGTCATCATCGGACATTTTTGTAAATATCTTGATATAAAATTGTACAATTTTAAAATGTAATATATCGAAGTTAAGCCAAAGAATTAATCTATAAAGTAATTTAAACCGTGTTATATTTGGTTTAAAAGTTAAAGAGGTATTAAAACAGCCTTTAAAATAACGAAGGAAAATGTCATCATCGGACATTTTTGTAAATATCTCGAATCTATAAAAATTAAATATGTCAAAGTAAATCCAAATAATCACGCTATAAAGTAAATTAAATATTGTTAAAATCGCACTTTAGGTTCAAAACTTATAGACGCATTAAAACAACCTTTAAAATAACGAATGTCATCTTCTTTGTAAATATCTCGATAAGAAATTGTACTATTTTAAAATAAAATATACCAAACTAAAGCCAAAGAATCACGCTATAAAGTAAATTAAACCGTGATAAAATTGGTTCAAAAGTAAAAGAGGCATTAAAAATTAATCAAAATGTCATCATCGGACATTTTTGTAAATATCTCTATGTAAAATTGGACGATTTTAAAATTAAATATGTCAAAGTAAAGCCAAAGAATCACGCTATAAAGTAAATTAAATATTATTAAAATCGCACTTTAGGTTCAAAAGTTATAGACGCATTAAAACAACCTTTAAAATAACGAATCAAAATGTCATCATGGGACATTTTTGTAAATATCTCGATATAAAATTGGACGATTTTAAAATTAAATATGTCAAAGTAAAGCCAAAAAATTACGCTTTAAAGTAAATTTAATATTGTTAAAATCGCACTTTACGTTAAAAAGTTATAGACGCATTAAAGCAGCCTTGAAAATAACGAATCAAAATGTCATCATCGGACATTTCTGTAAATATCTTGAAATACAATTGGACGAATTTAAAACTAAATATGTTAAAGTTAAGCAAAAGAATTAGGTTATAAAGTAAACTAAATGTTGAAAAAATCGCACTCAAGGTTGGAAAGTTATAGCCGCATTAAAACAGCGTTTGAGATGGCGAAAATAAAATATCCCTACTGGACGTTTTCGTGAATATTTTAAAAAGTAATGGTGCGATTTACAAATGTAATATGTCAAAATGAAGCCAAATAATGAGGATAAAACAATGTTAACAAAATAAAAAAAAACTTACCTTTACTACTCGTTCCGTTGCCCGCCACCTTCGCGTCTTTCTCCTTGTCGGCCGCGACGTTAACCGTCGTGTTGGCGCCGTTCAAGGCCGCGTTGTTGTTGTTTTGCGTCACGGCCGCCTTCGCCGTCAGCTGATCGTGCAGCTTCTTCTCGTACTCCTGGTGCTTGCCGGCGTGCATTTGTTCCTTCGTGAAAGAGGCTTCGGGATCGCCGAAATCGTGAAGGTACATGCAGTCGGGCTTCGGGCACGGCTGGTTCTTCATGAAGTGCGAGCAGTACTTGGTCGTGCCGAGGCTCGACTTGATTTGCCTGCCGTCTATCGTGATGTTGTTCACGTTCTGAATGGCGCGCAGAGCGTCGTCGCTCTTCATATACGTTACATAGGCACCTAAAGTTAAAATAAGAAAATAAGTCGTTTAAAAATGTTCAGGAATATCTCGTTGACTGGTGACGCGATTTAAAAAAAATGTCAAATTAAAGGTAAAGGTAAAGAATAACACTTAAATTAAATAAAACCTTGTATAAATCGTATTTAAGGTTTAAAAAATATAGTCAAATTTATATAGCCTTAAAAAAATCATTGGACATTTTTGTGAATATCTCAATAACTAATTATTTTTAAACTCACATTAAAACTGCCTTAAATGTCACCTTTAAACATTTTAATGAATATCTCGAAAATTAATAGAAGAAAATTAAAGTGAAATACCTATATTAAAACAAAGCTATATAATTACACTTTAAAATAATTTAAACCAATTGAAAATCACACGTGGCAACAACGTTATAATCGTTAAAACTGCCTTGAAAATGTATGTAAAATGAACTGACATTTCTCAAAAAATGGGGTTTTAATGTTTATGCCATTTTGGATCTACCATTTTGAATTTTGGAATTCTGATTCCAGATTCGTTATCAGCGACCCCAAAAACCCCAGTATGGTGATTTTCAATTTATTTCGTCAATTTTTTGACTAATTTGTCCGCCATTTTGGATCTACCATTTTGGATCTACCATTTTGGAATTCTGATTCCAGATTCGTTATCAGCGACCCCAAAAACCTCTATATACGGATTTTTTAGGAGAATCTGACTACTCCTTGATATTTTGCCGAAAATTTCGAGAATTGAAACACTGTGCCGGCGAAATTAAAATGTCAGTACAATGTTCATATAACCTTTTCAAATATTAGCGTTGAGAAACTATTTAATACTTTTGTATTTTTGTATTGAGATAATAAAATAATGAATATATAACTGGATAAAAACAAACACTGTTTTTGAGTTTCACGAATTTATTTAAACATGGAGTTTCATCAAGTAAAGGTCGAAACAATAAAATAAAATAATTTTCACATTTAGTATTATTTTACAAGAAAGGCACTTTATTTTAACGATTGTCATTTGACAACTGTCAACTAAATTAAAACTAACTTCAGCCCGTGACTAAAACGCCATAAAGCCATAACTTTTCAATGTGTATTTAAAAGGTCACTTAGTGTCATGGAAACATGTACGGTAATGGGCATTAGGACATTAGTACAGCCTTTAAAACTATGAAGGCAAAAGGCACCTTTGGACATATTTATGAGTATCTCGAAAACTAATAGAGCAAACTTAAAGTGTAATAAGTTTTAAAGGGTTTTAAAGGGTCGAAAAATTGGGGAAAAACTGTTTTTTTCCTTCGGTTTTTTTTCCAGGCCTTGAAAAAATTGTCTTTTTTGTGAAAAATTGATTTTTTTGTGAAAATTTACAAAGCAGTCAACAACTAATAATCCTTAAGGATACTAAATTTACTACAGAAAAAAAATAAAACTAAACATTGAATTGAAATGATTCAAGAACTAAATTTTGTCACACATAAAACCAAAATAGGCGAAAAACGAATACTTACAGAAGGCATCAAAATATACAACAAATTACCAAACGAGATCAAACAGCAAAATGAAACAGAGTTTGTTAAGAGTGTCAAGCAATATTTAGTGAACCAAAGACAAGAAGACCCATGTATAATCTAATTATTTATTGCTAAATGTTAATTTTAAATTTATTTGTAAATTACATATCTGTCAAAGCCCATTTCGGCTATTTGGATATTACTTTTCAATAAAAAAAAAAAATTAAACGTACCTAAACGTTAAATATACTGTCAGACTGACAGTGTCGGTTGGGTCCTTTTTGCAAAAGGAAGTCGATTGAAAATATCCATTTAGAAAATAATGAATGATTTATAAAGTTAAATTACAAAATTAAAATTTTATAAATCGGTGTGTCACATAAAAGATAGTTATTTTAATACAGCACCGAAATTGTTTTTTGCGACCCGGTAGAAGACTCTTACTGAATTATAATAATAGGAATATTTATTTATTATAATCTTGTATTGTTTATTATCATAATCAGAGACGATAATTAACTTTTGAAAATTTTCAGAAAAATTAACTTTTGAATTTTTTTTCGTATTACCCTTTAAATAAAATGAAAAAAGTCAATTTTCCTGAAAATTTCCCAATTTTTCGGAAATTTTAAAACCTTAGTTAAAACGAAGCTGAAGAATAATGCTAAAATGAAGAAATTTGCCACCTACTTGCACTGGGTCCTTGTGATCCCGCGTAGGACGTCGACTGGTTGATGACCACCTTGTGTATCTTGCCGAACTTGCCGAAATACTCGTGCCGTCTGAGTATTTCGGCGTCGGCGAGGCGCACCGGCAAGCCGACGACGAAGACGAGGTTGCGTTGCACGACGCGCACACTTGCCAAGTGCTTGCGCGACTCGCTCAGCTTCGCCTTGCGCTGCTGGTCGCGCTGTCTCTTGTCCGCCTTCAGCTTCGCTACCTAAACAAATGGTTGCAAAATGGGTTTTTACATTCTTAAATCATAGATATTTATGTATCAAAGCAGTAAAGTCGTATTTTTTTTATCGTTTTCAAAAAACACCCGCTTTCCGCTGTCTGTAAGTTTGAATTCCACTAACTTTGTTAAAAATTATCGGATCTTATTGATTTAAAAACCAAGTGAAAGCCTAACAAGCCCTTAGTAAACTCTTCCAGAAAATGTTTGTTTAGTTATTTCAGAATAATTTTTTTTTAATTTTGAAACTTGTGAAACACACATTTTCGCATGTCCCATTAGCGTTTTATAAAACTTACATACATGCTTTTTTTTAAATATTGAATAACCAGAACTTTGTGTTGCTTTATAGCAATCCATAACATCCTTAGTTAATCAAGTAAACAATTTATATATAAGTTAATTAATTTTAATCTACTTTTTTTAAATTTGACTCATGTCCCAGACATTTTTTCCGTTGCGTTACGTCCGTCGCGTTACCGATAGAATATTTAAAAAAACATATATATATCGCAACTTTTTTGGCACTCACGTGATTAACAAATGATGTTCGGACGTACACATTCCCAGCTGAATTTATTTATTCAATCAGGAAGAAGATATCGGTTGAAACAGGTGCGGGTAACGCGAATGTAATAATTGTTTGTCCGCTAAGTTACTCCAAAAAAAATTATAAAAATAAAGTAAGAAAAAATACTATTTTTCATGTTTATGTTTATTTTAGGGCACCAAAGCTCATTGAGAGTAATTAATGACTGTAATGTTTTATTATTATTTTTTAAATATGGTTTCACAAAACTTTGTCCACTGCGTTACCGAGTCCATTACGTTACCTTAGGGTAACGCAATGGAATTTAGGGTAACGCAATAGAATTTTTCGACAACAAAGTGGATATTTACCGTCGCTTTTATTAAAAGTAGTTTATGATAAACCAATTTAAAATTATTTGTGATTACAACTCATGATATAGATTACATCCAAGGGAAAATTCCACGCAATATACACGTACTAAAAGACACCAGCTTATAGTCAATGAAAAAGGGTGTCTATAATTTAGAAATCTAAGTTATTATTCTGCAAGTGAGCACCACTACAAGGGATTTTGTTTATGCATTACTCTAAAATCGTACCACCCTATATAGTTTCTTTTTTACGTTATCTGATTAAGTCCTTTGTGTACCCCAGTCCGTTGTGATACCAATGTCTATTTCGTTACTTTTTTTAGTTTTTGTTAAAAAAATCCTTAAAATGATTTTACTATCACTAATACCTGTTAATAAATTAGAGTTTAACTCACTAACAAAGTGACTAAAAGAAAATATTAATGGTATTGTTTTTTTAACAAAGAATCTGAATGGTGTCTTTTAAAAAGTAACTTAACTAACATAAATATTTAAAAAAGGCATACAATTTTTAATAAAAAATAAAATTGGAGTCAAAAGTTTGTGAACTAAGTACATTTTATTTCAAATTATTTTTATAACAACTTTTTTTATTGAATTAAATTTTGGATTTCAAATTGGTAACACAGTGGAGACATATAAAGCTAGCTAAACACATTTTTCTGAAAAAAAAACGTAAAAAAAAAATAAAAAGTGCACTGACTGTCTTAAATGTAAGTAAAAAAAACTCTAAACATTTATAAAAATCCAACCAAAAGTCAATTTAAGCAAAAAAAAAATTTTGATCTTCATTTTTAGTGAAGGGAGAATCGAATGATTTTAAGAATCGAATACTTTGCATTCGAATAGTCTAAAGAATCGAATGATCATTCGAATGCAGAGAATCGAATAGTTTGTTCCGAATCGGAACCGATAATAGCCGAACACATTTATTGAATGAATGTTTTCGGAACAAACTATTCGATTCTCTGTATTCGAATGGTCATTTTATTTCTTGTTTACAATTCGTTAGGGGCTAAGCGGGTTGGCGTCGCACTGGGTGCAATATAAATTCTAAACCGGCTAATATACCTACTAATTGATTTATGACATGCTTTCTTTATTTTTGTCATAAAACATAAACCATATTATTTTTCAGGTTTTGTAAATAGGCGAAAATTTATGGCCTATTTTAATAAAGTAAAAATGTATGCTCTTTATTTTTAATAAAATAATACCTTTTGATTCAAAATTAAAATCCTTAAGGAAATAGTCACCAAATTCAACATTCTTTATTTTTAATTCGGTTGGAACGTCGGTTATATGTTTTATTTTTGTGACATTTAAAAAGTTTTAATAATAATTGTTAGATAATTATTTTTTTGTTATATTTACTAGATTTTAGTACATATTAAAATTAACACAAGCAGTGCTGGTCCAGCTCGATGCAAGCCGATTCTCCATTCGATACAAAAAATCAACTTTGGCTTGAATTCGAATGCAGAGAAATCTCTCGTCTCCCACCTTCCGCTCGATGACACGCAAGCGCTTTCGATTCGATTCGAATAGTTCGAACTATTCGAATACTTTGTTGAGAATCGAATGCATTCGAATGCACGCCAGAATCGAATACTTCGATTATTTGTATTCGAATAGTCCCTTCACTATTCATTTTCCTGAAAGCGGGTGTTTCTTGAAAATGACCCTTTTAACACGAATGTGGAAATTATTTGCCGAGGCGAAAGCCGAGGCAAATAACCACATGAGTGATAAAAAATGACTTTAATGCCGAGGTGCATATTAAATTTTATCCGAAATCACATTTACTAATACTAATAATTATAATTATTATAATATTATAATATTGATGATTAAATCAAATGTCATTTAAATTTAAATGTATGAAGTGTCTACGTATACTGTTTGTTACGACGGTTATATTTGCCCGCCGCGGCGATATTTAATCTAATTAATAAAATTAACTTATTATTTTTATTAAACAACATTTTATGAAAGGGTCCAATCGACTTTCGCGACGGTGCTTTTTTTTAAATATTATTATTATCTTAAGCCTGAATTATATATTGCCTTCCTTCCTTCCTCCCGTAAAAGATGAACATTACGTTATTGTCACCATTAACATTTCCCGTGTAAGAATTTTTAATACTTTGTGATAATATATTTCAATTATAGTAATAAGAAAATCAAAGAATCAAATATTTTCTTAACAAAATCATATTTTGAAGATATTTTAATATTTTAAAGTATCAATAATTGTTAAATTTAATTAAAATTAATAACGGGCAATGTTGATGACAACTACGTCAAAAATGTTTATTTAAATCGTAGTGCCAGTTATAGATTCCCGTACCGTAAGGACGGCATTCCTTCCTCCCGTAGAAATTTTTAAGTTTTATCTCTCACCGCTGTAGGGTGACAGCGCGTAGGCACAAAATATTTAAAATACATGATTGTTTAGTATTATTTAAGATAGGTGTTCAGTTTATTAAATACTTTGTGTCTCTAAATAGGATATTTAGATATTGTTTATGATAAATGTCTTTCGTTTTTAGAAACGTTGCTATGTAAAACCCCGTAGTTTCCCGGTCTTGGTAAAGTGGGCGAGTCTTCCAACGTCTTGTTCGATGTTTTTTTTTTCATTATACTGCCCTACTATGGATAAAGGCAGTAACTACAAATGCGTTTTCTTGTGCTATGATGATAAAGCTATGGACATTTTGTATCTTAATTCGACAAAGAAATGCAGTAAACTATCTTTTAAGTTAAATAAATCAGTTAAATACCTACTGCTTTTTATAAAAATGTAGTTTATGCTAATTTCCCACAAATTTCTTGTTTAGCAGTTACTGCCTTTCTCCATAGTTGGGCAGTATACAACAAGCAGCCTGGGCAATTAAAATTGTGATCACTGCACTAATATATAAATGTTTTTCTTTCATATTTACACACAATGGGTAAAACGCAGAATATAAACAAAAACAAATGTCAACAATTTTAGGTGTCATCGCGCATGGTTACGGAATTTTACACGGAAATCTATAAATTGACTTTTTACAAGACGCACAAATCGTACGGGCACGACTACGGGAGGAAGGAAGGAAGGCAATCTATAATTCAGTCTTTATAATGTATAATGGGTTACATACAATACTCGTATTAAAGTTCTACTTTGGGAAATACACGATTAATTAATTAAAATAATGTCTGAATAATGTTCGAAAATACCATGATATTTATATAAATATCAAAATAACGGATATATCCGTATGTATACTTTTGTATATGGGACAAAATTCAGTAATGGGAAAAAACATTTCTCTAGCTCCAAAAAAAACTTAAATATGAAGTTTTTGTGCAATTTACTTAATAAAATGTCTTCAAAATTAACTGTTTTTAATATTCAGTTACTAATAGCTTGTATAAATATCGTGTGTTTTAAAAATCTGATATATTAACCCAAAAAACGTAACCACGGTCCCTTGTCCCCGCCGCCTTTTTTGACACACAATCCATATTTGTATGTAGATTACCTTAATTTATCTTTGCAAAATATTTTTTAGTTAATATAACTTACGTTATAAAACTTATTTACTTGGAAAATCTTATACTGGTCTTAATAAAAAAAATAATATCATCTATCTCCCAATTTAAATCTTCTTATATTAGTAAAATGTGACACCGCTAAATGGCCGGTCGTGGTATGTTAAAAATATTGGTAGAAGATCAGTGACAAGTGTTTCCCTTATGTATTAAGAGCGGTAAGAACTTCCAATTGTTAATATTAATTTAATAAATTTTGTCTAAGCCTGACATTTTAATGCGTACTTTTTTAATAAATAACGCCGGTCCCTAATGATATCTTAAATGTTTCTAATTATATCCCTGACTAAACATTTTAGATTTGTACAATAACATATACAATACATAACCCCAAATTTTCGTAAACTGATTTCAGAGACCTTGGTCTTAATACCATTATTTGTGTCTAAACGCAACGACGGTCCCCTGTAACGACGGTCCTCATGAAAATGGACCTCTAATAATTATAAAATTGTTGCTAATCAAATGTATGTACAACCCTCTTGGAGTTCATCTTTTATTAGAAAATGAAGAATAACTATGACAATTTTTTCATATTTTAATAAGTTTTTTAAATTTATTATTATTAAACCAATTTATACCATTATTAAATTTTATCCCATATACAGTGTGGCCCATTTAAGATGGAAACACCACCGTAACTTTTGTATTTGTTACCCGATTTTAATGAACAAAGGCTCAAAAGATAGAGAATAAAAAACTATCTAAGCTTTAGCCAATGAACCATGGAAAAATCACACAAAAGTTAAAAAATACCTATATTTAAACTACCTTCAAAATAACAAGTACAATATATCTCCATTGAATATTTTTGTGCATAACTCAAAAACTAAAATTTAATATATAAAAATAAAGCCTAATAATTATTATAATAATTAAACTATAAAACAATTTAAATAACATTAAAATCACACAAATTAAAAAAGTTACAGCAACATTAAATTTTGTATTTCAAATAAAAAAATAATAAAAAACGATAAATTTATATATTAGCTTACCTGTTCCTGAGACAATGGTATAAAATCAGCAGGATTTTCTGAATATGCCTTGCGACAAGCTGGGCACAATCCATTCTCATCCGTACGAATTCTATGCCAACAAAACCTACAGATCTACAAAAGAAAAAAACATGTTATTTGACATTACAGCAAAATAGTATATTATGTATCAAGTTGATAAACGCCATTTTAGACACGAATTTAATTTAGGCACGAGCGAGCTTGCGAGCGAGTGTCTAGAAAAGTTAAAAAAGTTAAAAAAGTGTCTAGAAAAGTTAAAAGATCAAAATGTAAAATTTCATTTCACCTTTTTTGTAGAGAATTTAATTTTCTTAAAAAAATATTTTCAAGTAAATTTTGTTAAACTCAATGGTTTGGGAGTTCTGAGACAAAAACTTGATGAGGGAAAAAAAATTAAAATTGCGATGATAGACCTCTTAATATTAATATTATGGACTCAAACTTTCACAATAATTTTTTTTGTCGCCCCAAACCATATTTTCGAAATATTTATCAAAAAAAAATAGTTGATTTTGTTGGCCCAGTCTAATAAACACAGATTATAATCAAAATGTATTGTTTACAACAGTTTTTCATAGTAAAAGTAAGGAAAATGTTTTATGAGCACAGTGGAGTCCGAGTCCGAATTTAAGTTATAGTTTACTGCCGGCAAAATTAAAATTAATATTCATATAAACTTTTCAAATATTGGCGCTGACAAACTATTTAATACTTTTGTATTGAAATAAGAAAATAATTTTTACATTTAGTATTATTTTACAATTAAGGCACTTTATTTTAACGATTGTATGACATTTGACAACTGTCAACTAACTTTAAACCAACTTCAGCCCGTGACTAAAGTGCCATAAAGCCACATCTTGTCAATGTGTATTTAAAAGGTCTCTTAGTGTCATGGAAACATGTACAATATTGTGCGTTTTAAAGGTGGAAGTAGAAAAATGTCTTTTGGATCATTTAAACGTTTCAACCACCAAAAAAAATCATAAACATAACGTTAAAAATAAGATAATTACAATAGGTTTTAATTTTAGCACATTATAAATTTTTGTTCATCCTACATGTAATACCTACACTAGTGTATCAACACTATACACTTAGGTATTAGTTACTTAGTGACTAGTGCATAAAATTGGAAAACAGTGTGGTTAAGTGTTTGACAGATGTCAGATTGTGAAAATTGAGGTTAAACCCGTCTGACAGATGTGATTGGTAAAAAGTGAGGTAAAAACTAGTTGTGAGATTTCAGAGAAAATTTCATAAAAAATTGACCCTAAATTCTGAAAAAACATTTCAACTAATGTATTAAGTTGCTTAATGCACTACCCAGGTAACCAAACGTGACTAACATTTTTAAATGTGACGTTAACGTGGCCAATATCTTAACTATAAAGTTGTGACCTATATATCTTTAACGAAAATGAATAATTTTGGAGATGTCGATTTGATATAGAATCTGCCTTTACCAATGCTTTCACGATTTTCCATAGACTTACTTTGCTAAATTAATCGTTATATAAACGTGACTTTATTGTCACGTTATAACGTTATAACAAAAGTCACGGTATACCGTGACTTTAACTTTACGATTTACCGTGTCTTTAGCTACCCTCTTAACTCTTTATTCAATTCGCCAATATTGTCAAATAAGTACCTAAGTAGGTATATTGATCTGATTTTGTTCTGTTTAGTGTTCCTGTGCAACTAATTTGTTTTGAAATTGGTTTATTTAAAAATTATTAGCTTGTCTTTAGTTTTTATTATATATTATTTTCTTTGGAAGGCGTTAATTGTAAGTATTAATTTTCATATTGTTTTTCTATAAAAATAATTATATGTTATGTTAACATTCATTTTATTAATAAATAATTATTTTAATGCCTTTTAAAATTACCTAAATATTTAACAAGTACCTAGGTATACCTAAGTGGTTTTGATTTAAAAACTTAATTATGCAAAAATTCTGTTTACTTTATTATGTAGAGGAGGTATATAACTTGTGTTCACATTAATACTTTTTTTCAGCAAAAGAAAAAAGAAATACAGCAAAATGTCGAGTAGAAGAAAAAATATGCTTTAGAAAATTATTTATTTGGTTTTTATCCTTTTAAAGAAGAATATATTTTTTAGAGTTATTTATTTAGTTTTTTATTTTTTTTATAATTTGGTTTGAGAAATATATTTTTTTGTTAAAGGTATTATTATTAATTAATCATAAATTCTTCTGAAACCTGTTCCATTTCAGTGTTTTGTGCTTATTTAATTATTTAAAATATACATATAGCTATAGCTTACTATAGTAAAAATTTAGGACTAATTCCAGCAATCTGAGACTTGAGCAGATTAGTTAAAGACAGCTGTCACTAGTCACTAGTGGCGACTGGGGGATTTGGGGTATACTGATATCTTAGTTATTAGACATGGGACCCAACACTTTTATGAAGTTGTAATAAAATTAATAATTGTTGCGAAAAAAATAAGTTTTTCAGCGTGCCCCCCTAATTAAGATGATTCAAATTAAGGTGGTGCAATTAATAACTCACTATAGTTTATAACAAATTTCAAAATTTATTTAAAAAATCCAAGATTACAAATATTATACCATTTTTTAAATTTTATTTTAGGATAAAAAAAAGTTTAAATGGTATAAAATCTACTTGGAATTTGAAATAAATTTTGAAATTTGTCGATAAACTGCACTGAGTTATTAATAGCACCACTTTAATTTGCATTATCTTAATTAGGGGGCAGGGGACTGGGCTGAAAAAAAAATTACTTTTTTTGCAAACTTCAATTTAATATTATAGTCACGGCCAAATCTATATGGGTGCACGTCATCAATGAGATATAATGACGTCAGCATTACCAACTTTGAATTGTAAAGTTACTGCCGTTAAATTTGCTTTTTTAAGGCGTAATTCTGATGTGTTATTAAAAAGAAATCATTCATTTGCGTATTGTTTACAAAAAACTGTAACAATTTCCTTGTTTTAAAACGTTTTTTTCACGAAATTATCAAAATAAAACCATTCACTTAGTAATTTTTGTGTGTGCCAGTTGGTAATAGCTTAAGGCTGGCGCGCACCGTTCAATATTATTGATGGGTCGCTGTCATTTTATATTTGACGTATTTTTGTAATTGTGACATTTCGTCCGAAAGCATCGTTTGTTGCAAATTATTATAAATAATATTATACATTATGTTTATAAGATTCTATCCCTGGATTGTGCAAACAATGATATAAGGCTTGTTGGCAACTAGCCGTTATTAGATTTCGAAGAGATTGCTCCCTTAATAATAAATTTGGGGAAATAATCAGACTTCAATTCTGACCTGGTTTGCTCTAATGACAAGGACGACTGGTAATTTATTATTTTTGTGTTTCTGATAATTTAGTATTTTTTTGTTATGTGCATATGTAATAAAAATGTAATAAACTCCGTTTGTTTTCTCTTTAAACACATTTAATAAAAATTTGCCTGTAACAAACTCCTAATTAGTTAGTGCAGAAGATTATAACAAGGACGTTATAATTCCATCTTAATAACAGCCCCCACCGCTATAAACAGTCAACAATACACGAGCGTTAGATTGTGTCTGGGCACGTATGAATAGACCTTAACGCTGACGTCATATGCCGTTGATGACGTGCACCCATACAGATTTGGCCGTGACTATATTATAAACTCATAAAAGTTTGGTTTGGGTCCTATGTATAATAACTGAGATATTGGTATACCGGTATATATACCAAAAATCCACCAGCCGCCACTGGTTAAAGATACGGTCACAAATTCAAAATCGAATATAACTGTATTTTCGTGTTGATTTAGTAACGATTACAGCGACACGTAAACGTTATGTCGATTCGGTTTAAAATTACGATAACGCTAACGTGACGATCACGTTATAACGGCAGGTGGGCGGTTTTGTGAAAAATTTGAGTTTAAAATTGATATAGTTTCGACGATTATACACGTGACGATAAAGAAAACATACATACAATTTCTGTCACTTTTTCGTTACGTTTGGTTACCTGGGTAGTGCATTAAATTGGGGAAAAAGTCTGCTTATAACCATTTGACAGATGTCAGAATGCGAAAAGTGAGGTTAAACCTGTCTAGCAGATGTGTCTGTATCAATACAAAAACTCTATTTAAGGCTTGCCAATGGATATAAAAAAATCACCAAAAAAATACAACTTGTTGACAGTTTTAAAGTCCAAATAAAAAATACACAATGTTCAATTTGTTTCAATACAAATGACCTTGATTTTGAAAATTTCTTTACAGTAAAAATAACAGTTGTTTATAATTTCCCATATAAGCAAATTAATCAAACAATGGAAAACAAACATAACCCAATTAAATAAAAGTGCTAATCAAAATGTTCCAATTTCAAGTATTCAAAATCTATTTAATTCCACTTAAATATGCAAAAACAATTAATAACAAATTAGAACTACTTCAAATACATTCTCTTAATAGCAATAATAATCTAATCAACTTTCATTTTGTTTAATGAGCATTTTTTGCATTGAAGCAACATAAATATTTTTTATTGCAAATTACAAACATTTCATTGAAAACCCCTTATTAATCATTAACCCAATAGAAACGCAACAAAGGAATTGCATTATTGGTATTTTATTATCGCAAAAAACGTCAAAAGATAAAAAATAATTGCGGTTTGTATACCTAAGTCAAATTTCTAAATTTAACGAAATTACGCCAAATATTAACATTTAAATACTTTATCATAGTAGGCCATGACTACAAACGTCAAACTTTTTAACGTAACTGTCAAAATTAACTACCACTTGATTTTTCAAAATTACAGAATTACAGTGGTCCTTTTTACAGTACAGTAATTAATAAGATGAATTCAATAGATAGTAGGGTAAATAATAGGAATTTCCTTTGTTCTGGAACTAATTAAATTGATAACAAACATATTATTTTAAGTATACCAATTTAAAACAATCAAATTTTCTGATGGTATATTTTTTTCTAGTGTCAATGTGACATTTGCATTTGACAATTGATTTTGGAAAGATTGAGGTTACCCTCAGGGGGTTTTATCATGTAAGTTTATGTATTAATACCATCACGTTACCCGTTCTTTTCATTGTCAATGTGACATCCAAGAAACAAGTGGTTTTTGGAAGATTGAGGTTAAATTTAGGGGTTTTTAGTTTTTGAATAATAATGTTATATTTACCTGATACCCACAAGTGCACGGGTAAAAATTCAGATCATCCACTTCTAGGGGTTCCATACATAATGGACACTCTTGTTGTTCCTCTCCACTTTGATTTAAAACAGACATTGCAATCACTTTCGGTCACCCTAAAAGAAATTTTTAATTAGGACACTGAAATTTGCTGAAATATGTCGATATTGGGGGTAGTTTACCGTAATATATCGTTTTAAATTATTTGTGCTACAAACGAATAACTGTTTAACTGAAATATATCACAGAATTAAAGGGTAAATGTCAAAAAAATTTAACATCTGTCAAATTAATGAAGGTACACAGTTTTGCGAGTGAAAACGTCGCGTTTTTTGTGTACTTTGATAGAAATGTTGAAAAATGGAACACTAAATTAACACCCATTTAAATGTTTTAACATTTTGACGATATTTATGCAATAAGTGTCATGAACAACTTTTGTCTTTAAATTGACAATCACTGCCTGGAATGGCAGTCTATTTGTTTGTACTTACGCCAAATATCACGTGTATTACGAAAAAAACCGTTTGATCCTTGTAAAACTTTATTAAATGCGTCTAAACTATTATTATTTACTTACAAAAATTTTCAGATAGACAGTAACCAATATGGCTGCTAGATCGTAAAATTGTGCGCGTAAGTCTTGCGCACCGACCGATCTTAACAAAGCCACGTTTACAAGCGACAAACTACGCTCTCCAAAGTTTTTTCGCGAAATTTAAAATTGTTGTCACTTTCTATTAACTTGCGATATTTATGCTAATATTACTATTACTATCTCTGTTTTATTTATTTCCCAATGCGATATGTTAATTTTTTAAAGTAGGTGAATGAATCATCATATTATGATATATTATTATTATTATTATGGCTAACCTATGTGTTTTTTTAAATTTAAGACTTAACTTTCTATGGAAGATGATAATCTCTATGGAAATCAGTAAACCAATCACATCACAGCATTCTCCATAGCTCACTATGCGATGGAGATGATGTGCTCTGATTGGTTAACAGCTTTCCATAGAGATCATTTTCTACAGAAAGTAAGGTCGTAAATGATGGATGGATATTTATTTTGTTAATGGTTTAAAATAAAACACTTTTTTAGATTAAAAATACTTTTATTTAGGTTCATATCATGCAAAATCAATTAATTAAAACAATCAAGCTGAAATACTAAATAGTATTATACAAGGCGTTCCAAAAATAACAATTGGACAACCTTGTATGGTTTAAAAAACATAAAATACCTGGAAAAGTTCCTAGACACAATCCTTGCAAAAAATCGAAAAAACTGATTCCGCTCGAAAATCCTATGAAAAAATCCTCAAAAAATTATCCCGCGCAGTCCTTTTTCGACTGTTCTCAGCTCCTCTATCGACTTTTGTGAGACCTAAGTGTTCAGAAAAATGTTTTATAGAGGGGTTTTAGTGTTTTTTATTTTTAATTAATGAAAGAAAAGTGAGTTAATAGAGTAAAAAACACTTAGGTTATGTACAGGGGAAAAGAAAGCGCACCGGGAAAAACCCATTTTGTGACGTCATCTGACAGCTGTCAGAATTTGGCGACGTCAACACTATATCGTGACGTCATCTGACAGCTGTCAGCGATCGTGCCGGATCGTGCGATTCGGCGTTGCCAAATCGTGCGATGCGGCGTAGCAGGACGTACAGAAAACGGATTTTTTCGGCGATTGATTTTTTTGTGTAGAAATTTACAACAAAACTTATTGTGCGGGGTATTTACCAAGAGTCCTAGATTTCCTAAATCCTCGGATAATTCCTCTTAATTTTTTTGCCATGTCCAAGTTTTTTTCGGTAAAAAAGGCGGACATTTTGCGAAGTTAAAGAGAATGTGGCGCGGGCTGATAATATACAGGGTTTTTCAATATTATCCTATTGAAAAACCCTGTGCATGCAAAAACTTGAGTCGTAGCAAATTTAGTTTTAGTAAAAATGTCCGCCAGCGTTAAGTAAGGTCCTGAATCCCGAGGAATTGTCCTTTTTTCGCAAGTCCTATCCTTTTTAGTCCTTTTTTAGTTCCCTAATCAACAATTATTATCCTTTCTCTCTCACACCATGTCCACCAGCAAGGTTATTTTTATTTTTAGGTTAAGTCAATTTTAAGCCAGTTTTTTTGATTTTTTTATTCTATTTTATCCAGACTTTTATCCAACGATGTTATGTCGGGAAACAAAAAAAACAATACAATTAGTGTCTTATCAGAATACATACAACATAATACAATTTTTTAGGTCTGATTATTTTTATACATCGATTAAAATACGAAATAATATCTCTACAATAACTAATTAAAATGTCTGACTGAGCAACTTTATCAAATGTAATAAATCTTAAGTTAATTTTCAGTCAAAATGATAATAATAAAAAAAATCCATCAGGGAATGTTTGCAAAGCCCCTCAGTCAAGTTTTTAACGAATTTTCACACACAATTACAAAAAAAGTCCCTACTGATTAATATTTTTTTAAAAATAATAATAGAGAAAGAATTTTAATAGTCGCCCAATACGTACTTAAGCCAGTTTAAATCCGAATTTAAATGCATCAGCTTTATGTACGGGATCTGCTTCTCGAGTAACTTCTTTTCAAGGGGCTGTAGGTTGGAGAACCCCTTCTTCTCGGAGAGTAAGACCTGCTACGAGATCGGCCCCCAGAACGTCTACTATCGCTACCACCCCTGTCTTCTTTCACCCTAATATAGGAAACTTCACCCTAAAAAACACTATTAATAGGGATATAACACTAAGCATCCAAAGTAGTACCTCATGTGATCTAAATCTTGAATCGTCCAACTTTTTAATTGCATATTTCATGTCCTCATAACGCAAAAATTCGACCACTCCAGAACCGTCTTTAAAAGCGTCAGCAAAACAAACATCACCGGCTTCACGCATGTGATCTTTTAGATCTTGCCATGAACCAGATGGAGGTAAACCTTGAAAACACAACAATGTCACAATTTTAGCTACATTTTTTACAACCAATATTTTGCATTTAATTTTTTCTTAAAATTTGATTTATCGTCCTAAAAAGCGTTTTTAACGCAATTTTATTCTTAAATCAGTTTTATAGTTCAAAAATGCATTTTTGTGAGAAGATATTGACTATTTTACAAAATTTAATTATTTTATCTATATAACTATATTGTGGTCAACACTCACACTAAAATGATTAATTATGGCATAGGCATATAAAAATCAACAATAAACACAATAAGTTTTATAAAGCTACCCACATAACATGCTATGGATATGGATATTTTATGGATATACTTGATATATTCTTTTATGTATATCCATTTGTGAATATTTTATGGATATACTGAATATATTTTTTCATGTATATCCATAAAATTGATATACTTGATACATTCGTTCATGTATATCCATAAAATGTCCATAAATGGATGTACTTGATACATTCTTTCATGTATATCCATTTATGGATATTTTATGGACATACTTTGTATAACTTTTATATAATAAATAATTATAACTATAGTATATAATTATAGTATATTATACTATAATAGTATACAGTATACTATACTATACTATGCTATACTATACTGTATACTATAGTTTTAATTTTTTTACTGAAATTTTCAATCAGGGTAGCCATCCTTTGAAAAATCGTTTTTTCTCCACTTAAGTTCTAATTCATAAGAGACAATTTTTAAGATTTTGTTTTAATAATTAAAATATTTTTAAGATATTGAAATTTTTACATATTCATAAAAACCAAAATAATAAATTATTAAATTGTTAACAGTTTTACCAATTTCTGTCATTTAAAAGTGTCAAATAGTTTGAAGTGTCCAAAAATGGATTGTTTCGTTGGAAAATTAATTAATGAAAAATGCCATAAAAAATATTTTTCGCCATTGAATCTTGTACTAAGGAGGAAAAGGGTTTAATAGAAAGGCGAGTGGATGCAACTGTAACCGATATTTGTACGTAGGTATCACAAATTAAAGTATCTACATTATGTTACCAAAAATTTTGGTGAAGTCTGCTGCGATCCATTTAAACGACAAAAGTCGTTAGTTTATTCCTCTTGAAAGACATTATACACATAAGAAAATTTTCCGATTCATATAATTTTTTACAGGTAAAAAATAGTAAATAGGTTTTTTTAGGTGATTGTAAAAGTTAAGAATATGACTTGTTCAGTTTATTTATCTATATGCAGTTAAAACTATAGGTTTAATTTAAATTTAGGATTTAATACCTGTTTTATTTTGTCTAAATATAAAGTTGATGATAAGTATGTCTTTTAGTCATTTAATTAATTTTTTGTACATTTAATTAGGTAGGTATGTTTTCTTAATTTAAAAAATAAATAAATGGGTAGTTAATTTTCGACGCCACTGTATGTGGTTTTTATATGTTCAGAATGAATTAGAAGTCAATTCAAGGCTGTCGAGTTATTTTAAAGGTGTAATACGCTTTTTAGAAATATATGGTTAATATATGGATTTAGTCACAGGTGGACATATACATCCACAGCCCAGCTAAAAGAAAAATACACAATTATTTTATTTATGATTATTGGAGACTAACAAGTGCCTGTGATGATAAGCATAAATTGGTTTAAATCGACTCACTTAAACATAGCCTTTTTAAACCATGAAATGGCTGAAAATAGTGATTTTTCGAAAACACGAATTTCAAATATATTTTTTTAACTGTAAGCCGGCATTATATGAAAATGTTTTTATTGCTTTTATATAGAGTAAGATCTTTGGTAACAAACTACATCAAAAAAAAATTGCTGGCAAGTTGTTCTAAGAATATATGAATTTATAAAATTAGACAATTTTGCTAAAAAATTGAATTTTTAAAAAATTCCCAAAGACCATCAATAACTAAATGTGTCTTATAAGGTATAAAAGAGAAATATTTCCTCAACAATTAACAGTTTGTTTAATGTCGATAGCTTTATTAGCAAAAGAAGCACAATTTTTTAAAGTTAGGTCTGCATAGTAACTTTTGAGTAGCCCTGTATAAATAGGTGTTAGGGGGGAAAAGAAAACGGGAGCTTTTTTCACTTCTTGCGTCCTTGTCTATTTGCAGTTAAAAAATAAATAAAATTAGAGTACATGAGGTTCACTCATTGGTGGCTAATAAATGGAGTTACCCTATGGGTAAGAATTTATTTTTATTTCTTTTTCAATGAGAAGTGTATTTATATTTTTTTTATTTTTAGGAAAATCAAGAGGCGTCATCTCTATTTTGTTTATTTAAAAAAATACTTTTTTTTGTTTGTTTACTTTTAAAAAATATTTTTTTTTGTTTTTCAAGATTTTTCTTACATACCCTAACAATATGTTATGGATATCCATTTTCGGGTTTTTTAATATACATAATATATACCATGAATATATTATGGACATTCAGGAATATACATCATGGATATACTATGGATGTCCATATTACGAGTTTTTTAATGTACTTGATATATGTCATGGATATATTATGGACATCCAGGAATATACATAGGATATACGTCATGGATATACTGTGAATATCCAAATAGAGGACAAAATCATATTTTATGGATATCCATGGTATATCCATACGATATTCGCGAATATACAAATATGCATAGATGCATATCCTATGTATATCCTATGTATATTTTCTTGTTATGTGGGTAGTAATTAGTTAATTGGTGCAGTGACTGGCCGATTTTATTATATACTGTAATTTGGACTAATTGGGTTTTAAATGGGAGACACTTTTACGCCCATCATAAAATTCGACATCTGTCTTGCAACAAACTAGTAAATTCAAAAATAAAATGAATTAATAATGTCAAATTGATATTTAAAATGAAATAAAAAATATCAAACGATATTTTTAATTCACTGAATTACCAAGTGGGAAAAGAATGTTTGTAATTTTTTTTCACATCATATAAAGGGGTAAGAAGCAGAAGGGTCCAAGAGCATTTTAGCATGAAGATAAGTTAAGTGCAGAATTGGGTAGTTTAGAGTCCAATTTTTTTGCACTTGTACCCTTTTGCTTCTAACATATAGAAAATTCGTCGAATTAAAAATATTGTTCAATATTTTTAATTTAATTTTAAATATCAAATGAGATTTTTAATTCTGAATAAAAAAAGTCTAAAGTTTATCACTCCCTATATATACATATTAACAAAAATAAAAAAATCCTGACAATTAAAAATATGGTTTTGACTCAAAACCATTTTATTTTTGTTAATAGTACTTTAGGAACTGATATAGCATAAGTTAAAATTAAAAATATTCAAAAATATTTTTTTAATTTAAATGCATATTTAAAATTCGAAATTAAAAATCTCATTTAATATTTTTAATTGAATAAAAAATTTCAAGACTGTATTTCAAAGTAAGGATTGTTTTAGTTAATAGTACTGTAGGAAATAATTTTAAGAGATACCTAGGTTTGAGAATTAAATATTATTAATAATGTTTTTCCACTCATTTTACTTTTTAGGTGCCAAAAAGCATTAAAATTTGTAAAATATTTAAAGATAAACTCAAATTAATTTTTGCCAAAATTTTAAATTTTGATGACTTTAAATATTAATTTTAGACTTTCTTTTAACAGAAAACTATATTTCCTACAAAAAATGCACCTATTTACTTTTTCTCTGAAGTCAACCAATTACAAGTTAACAGCAAAAAAAACATAAATGTCATAGAAAAACTTTGAACTAATAATATACTTTTACCTACAGGATTTTTCAATGGAAAAACTGATGTTACAGTTGTTAAAATTATTGTCAAGAGCTCAAAATTGGACTGAATTATTTTTTATATACATGTAAAACAAGATTAGAGTAGATATAAATGTTAATTCTTGACAGAATATACTTATTATTAAAAAAAAAAGAAAAAACGTGTTTTACATCTTTACCCAAAGTCACAGAATGGTTTAAATAGTTTGTTAAAAAAATATTTCATTATTTTTTTTTATTAAAATAGTCTGGAGATTTTATAACACAGATCTGGAGATTGTGCCGGCAAATTTATTGCAGATCTTTAACTGATATAAATGATACAACAGATACCTCGACCTGAAATAATAAACTTCAGGCATCTGGATTATGTTGTAAGCATCCTGTATCAAATATATTGGGTACATTTTTTACCACCACTTTTTAATTTTAATTTTCGCGTCCTAAAAACGGTTTTTATGGCGATTCAAAAAATAATGTTATCAAAGTTGTATTGCAAAAATAAGACAAAAGTAGTTCTAATAAACTAATGCTGCTATGCTCACATTCAAAAGTCCCACTTTGACATTTGAATAAGAAATGCAGTCAAATAATTGAGGTTATGTATCTGTCAGTTATTTTGTCTTATTTTCTGAAAATAATACTGGAGTGCGTTCATAAAGAACACAAGGTCGTTCATAAACGGATTTTATGCGTTGTGCACATTTTGTGTAACCGTTCATAAAATACCTAGTTCTACACTCGGAGTGTTCGAAAATTACCGCTTCTACAACACCGGCGTTTTTCACACGACTTCAGTGTTGCCACTTGTAACATAATTATCGAATTGTAACATAAATTTTTCTAAAAACAAAGCTTGAAAATTATATGTAACATAATCGATAATTGTAACATAATTTTTAATCCAAGTATCTGGACAAAATTAACTTAATTCTATCCAGATTAATTAATTTAATTAAGCATAAAGCCTGATTTATAGATTTCCTTCCTTCCTGCCGTAAAAGATCAACAATACCATAGTACTGTTTATAGATTCCCGTACGGTATTTATAGTTCTAAAGGTAACGGTAGAGGCAGCGGTAGCGGTAGCCAAGTTGGGCATTGAATATTATATGAAACAATTTATAGTTGTCAGATAGTTTTGAATACGTAGTGGTTTCTTTAACTTTCTACTCCGAGTAACCATTAACATAACTTCATCGTTATCGCTACTACTTTCGTCGTCTGCATCAGAAAAAGCAATTGGAATTTCAAATAATCGAAATGTCAGGCGTTCAAAAACCACCCAGCACCCTAGGAACACTCCGCGCAAAACTCACATTACACACGAGATAAACACCCTATAATCAGATTTCCTCTATGAACGCACCCCAGTGTATGTATTTTTGTGTATAAAAAATAGAAATATATTGTATTATTTTTAAGACAAAATCAGCATTAAACTGACAGATAACATAACCTCAATTATTTACCTGCATTTCACCATTTCCCATTTCTTATTTAAATATCAAAGTGGTACTTTTTGATGTGGAGCATGTAAAATATAATATAATATTGGTGGAATATTAGTAATATTCCAGGAGATTAATATTCCAAGAAGACTAAATAAAGAGGAGTAACTCTTGATCACAAGGCATAATATTTTACTCCAAATAGCGTGCTCACCGCGCATAGCTGTCATCCAATTTGATGGGTCGCACATGTGCGAGTCGTATATAATGTACGACACTTTTGTGTGTGCGGAGCTGGTACGACTCTTTTTAACTGTGCTACCAGCACATTGCACCCAGAGATAAAAAAGGCACCTTTATCATATGTGGCACGGTGCGCTGAAACAGCACTGCTCTTTATCTGACACATAGAAAAAGGATATATCTGACACATGGCTCTTTAGTAAATAATCTTTACGTCTGTGGCTTTGACTATGATTCAGCACAGAACACATAGATGGCACTACAATGGGTTACAAGTTGTAGAGAAATTATTTTATATAATTAACAGTTTGTATATATTGGAAAATATCCAATCCATAATGTAGCGTGATGTCCATAGATGGCAACACAGTCTATATTATAATTATATTAAAATAAAATTGTCAATTAAAATCCAAAACCGACAGTTGGAGACGACACGCACAGTGTGCTGAGCTGTGCAACTTGCAAGATTCTCAATTTGAATCATTTTCTCCCACCCCGCACAAATGTACGACACGCACAGTGCCGCACACTGTAGTGTGCTGTGCAACGTGTGCTAGCACACAAGAATGTGCGGGTTGGACCCATCACTACATCCAATGCTGGCTAAATAATTTACAATACATACCATCAAGCCTAGACAAGGAGTCTGAACTTCATGTATACAAAAATCTTCCCAAAATAAGAGGGCGCTGGTGTTCCATTTATTAATAAACATTTGCTTGATTTGTTATGAAACTCTACCAAAACAGCAGACGTCAGTACGCATCAACAATCAGCGCCGCAAGTGGTGAAAAAAAAAGACTTTTTTGTGCGATTTAGAGGGTAGGTTTTGTCAATTTCCCCTTTTAAGTTTGGGCTCCTTGTCTAGGCTCCATGATACATACATTAAAGCTTAATTTTCATGTATCCGTTTGTCCGTTAGTCTGATCATCTGGGAGCGCTCTTATTGGTCCAATTATAATTCGAGTTATGACATTTTATCGGTCCGTCAAGTTTCAACTTCGTACGTCTGACGAAGAAAGTTAATATAATTTTAACTTATCCGTCACTACACATCTGTTTTTGACACCCAAAGTTATTTTAAGATAATTTATTTTCAAATCTTTTAATATTTTTTAAATTATGATTGGAAAACGGAAATATTATGTTTGTAATATGTTCTAATGTTATATTTTTATTTAAGGGAAAAGAAAAAGACAAACAAAAAAATAACTAAACCAGAACTAAAAGGACCTGCTTTTTTAAAACTATACACTTTAATGTATATTGGGCTAGTATATTATTTTTATTTGGTATATTTACCAACCTTTAAGTTTATTAGACAGTTAACTGTTAAAAGTTACAATTTGTCACCTGAGAATTATAGTGTTCTATCTGCATTTTTTTTTAAATTGAGGTTAGTCTTGTTTTAAGTCTTAAAGATGCATATTGTTTTATCTATATATAATTGGGGTAGAAATTGTACAGTTTAAGGCTTAAACTGTACAATTTCTACACCAATTATATATAGATAGAACAATATGCATCTTTAAGACTTAAAACAAGACTTACCTCAAATAAAAAAAAAAGCAGATAGAACACTATAATTCTTAGGTGACGAATTGTTGACATAATAGTAACTATGACAATTAAGCATTAGGTAAATTAAGTAAAGTGAATATACTGGCCCTTAATTTTTATTTGTCGCCAAATCAATCCGTTAAATTTCATTAAAAAACGGATGCATGAAAATTAAAACATTTCTTGTTGGACCATTTTAGTGAAAAACGGATAACGGACAAATGGATACATGAAAATTAAGCTTAAGAGGTGCGCATCCATAGGTTACTACCGACATGCCCCCACCTAGCAAGTGCTCCTGTATTTAGTCTTCATGATTCTACCAAAGCCTTCATTGATCATCACATTAAACTAGCAAACTTTGACATTTTAACTTTTAAAACCTCAATTTACCTGTAACAAGAACCCTAAATTGCGATCTTCTCGCTGGTGGGCCTCTGGAGCTTCTTCCTCTATCGCCACCACCACCTCGTCCGCCCCTAAAACTACCATGCCCACCACCACGAGGAAATTCAACTCTTAAACGATATCCATCATAGTCATAGCCATCTCTAGCATGTACAGCGTCATCAGCATCTCTGAAATGAAGAAAAATTGTTTGTTATATTCTTAAATGTGGGTGCAGGTTTTTAAAACCAAAAATACAAAATTTGATGCAAGACTTGGGTTTTTATTGATAGACGTAATGTTTTATTACAGTTTTTTATGTAAAACAAGTTTACCTGGGATCCTCAAACTCAACAAACGCGAAAGGAGGCCCGCGCCTATTCTTCAAGTCGACGAAAGTTACTTTCCCGAATTTGTAGAACAAATCTTGGATATCTTTCGTGCGAATGTCGGGCGGCAAGTTTCCCACATATATTCTGCAATCGTTGCGGCTGCTGGACATTTTAAGTGATTTTTTTAACTGAAAAACTCGACAACACAAACAACACCGCGTTCACCAAATAAAATGGCGTCGAAACAGGCGGTCGGACGAGAAGTTAGCCGCAAAACGCAAGTTTGACGTATTGGCAGCACTGTGATGCGCCAAATTTAAATTAGTGTTTTATTTTATTTCTTCATTATTTAGTAAAATAATGAAGTTTTATTATTTTTAAGCGTTTTTAAAGTTAGGTTAACATAAAATAAAGAAATAAACCATTTTATTTGAGATCTCAACTGTCATTAAATTCCTTCATGGCATGCTTGATCTGTCACATTTTGCATGACTACACTCTAGATTTAATTACAAAAACTCTACAATCCAATAATAAAACAGCAAAATAAGTGATACAAAACAATTTTATTAACAATACATAAATCTAATAATCAAGCAACATTGGTTGAGCAGTTTTTTGTGCAGATTCCCTTCCCAACAATTTATCAACAATATTTAAAGCAAAATCAAATGCTGTTCCAGGTCCACGGCTTGTAATGAGATTACCATCAACTACAACTTTATCTTCTTTGTATCTATACATACCACCTTCTTCCATGTCATTTTTCATAGCTGGGTATGAAGTTAAAGTTTTACCAACTCCAATACAGTGAGCTTTAAGGGCAGTTGGAGCTGAAAAGACAAGGTTAAGAATCTATAATTGTTTTTTTTTTGCATAAATACCTGCACATATGGCAGCAATGATGCCACCACTTTCTTCTTGTTCTTTTAGTAGGCAACCAACTGTTTTAGATTCTGCAAAAGCTTTAGAACCACCCAAACCCCCAGGTAATACCAAAACATCGTAAGGACCTTTGGACTTTACATCTTCTACACCAATATCAGGGATTATTGTTATATCCCTGCTACATAATATGGGTTTGTTATCTGGAACACCTGCTACAGTCACATTAATCTGTAAAAAAAAAAATTTAATATTATTAATTTTTATGACACTTGAATGACCTTGAAGATTTTGTCTGTTTGGTAGAAAGAAAGAAAAGAAAGAAACCTATTCATTGTATAATGTGACAACTCCTTGACATTTGTTCAAATATTAAAAGAAATTACCCCAGCTCTCCTCAAAACATCAGCAGTTATAACAAACTCCATTTCCTCAGTGCCTTTGGCTAAAAATACGCAGGCTGTTTTCGACATTTTGCACGAATAGTTCCGCAAAAAAATCGCTGAAAAACTACTGAAAATGTGCCGTTTTCTAACAAGAATTTGGAAATTTTTAAATGCTATTGTTTGACATTTATTCACTATCGCCATCTTATGGAATCAAAATGTACCACAATAGACATTAAAAAGTATTGGATTTTTATGCGTTTTACTTGATTAATTATTGATTAGTTTTACTAACATATAACCCAAATTGTGAAAATGCTAATAACATTTTAGGAAATCTCTTTAAAATTCTGGAAATTTGTTTTTTAACAAAAAAATATAGCTATTCCTATGTCAATGGTAGTTTTGACAGATGGCTAACCAAACTTTTCCAATTTATCAAAGGTTGTCATTTCGTAATGATCCTTATGTTTTGGCATTGTTAAAAAAGTGTTTGTTTATTTTTGAATTTAATGGATTTACCTAATAAATATGGCAGAAAATGCGGCCAATTTTACTCAAATTTTACAGGAAAAACCGTCAATTTTTGAAATAATAGCACAGAAATCCTTACATGATACTCTACACCCTGCATTACAGAGAGTTGCTTTGGTAAATATATACTTAACTACCATGTATTTATTAAATTATTTTTTTTAGTTTTTGTCAAGTAATTTTCCTCAAAAATTTGGCTGGCTGAACAAATATTACGAAGAGACTTATTTAGCTTTAAACTATGTTCTTCAATACCAATACTTAAAATACTATGATTCCTCATTCTCAGAAAACTTCTACGGACTCAAACGAGTAACTTTAAGCAATAGTAAACTTTCAGAACAAAATAAAAACTTATCTTTAGCTGTGTTAGTGATATTGCCCTATTTAAAACGAAAATTAGAAGAAAAAATCGCTATTTACAAGCTGGAAAGTGCAGAGGGGTGCCTCAGAAAGGTAAATTTTATCATAAAGGCCTTTAGCAACCATACCCCAAACCAAATATTACACAAAAAATAATACATGTGATATAAAGTAAACCACACACGTAAATTATTAATATTAGGCTCTCCACACACGATTTTTTTTTCAGGATTTCGAAGGCAGACTCAAAAGACTTATTTTATTTTCACATTCCACATTTGAATTGACATGGGGGGTTCTTACTCTACTAAATTACCTTAAATATATGTCTAATGGAACTGACAGCCAACTGCTTATGTTAAAGTTAATTGATTTAAAACTAGTTAGGAGTGGGGAGCAGGATGTGGGGGGTTTTTGGAGTGCTCTGTTCAAAGGGCAGCTAAGGTAAAAAAATTAATATTAATTTTAATTACATTTCTGAATTTTGTTTTTTTAGTTTGACAGATGTCAGTGTAGGGTTATTTAAGAATTCCGTAGTAACAGCTTTGGAGGTGACAGCTTTTTTTCTGCAATTTCTGCAGACTTGGAATAGTGAAAAATCAAATTACAAAATGACAGATTTGCCAGTGGTGCCACCACCACCAGTAAGTATAATAAATTAAAAGTAAAATCTTGACATAATTTTTTTTTCTTATAGCCTGACTGTAAATCAAAACAATACAAAGGAAAATGTCCTTTGTGTTTGAAACAATGGCTGATTCCCACAGTTTTGCCAGTTTCAGGTTATATTTTTTGTTTTAGATGTATTTTAAGGTATTTAAGTGAAAACCAAAAGTGTCCCATAACAAATTTGCCTGCTAAACCACTGGATATTGTTAGATTATATGTTAATGAATAAATTTTATACTGTTTTAATTTTTGTGTATCATTTCTATGCTCTGTATGTCTATGGTAAAGTAACCTACTTCTTTTATTAATGTTGTTTATGTCTATGGGAAATAGCGCCCTCTGCACTTGACGTTTCGCCCAACACAAAAAAATATCAATTAAACAACACAATTTTTGTGCTATTTATCATCGTTTCCTGTCAACTTTGCGCCTTTTATGGTATTCCGTCCGTTAACTAAAGTGATTGTGCATCAAAAAAACGCGAAAATCGACGTATACAATGACTTGAACAAGCTTTTAGAGGCAATTTAAAGTGGCATAACCTACAATTTAAAATGTCATCTCAATTTAGGGGTAACAGATTTTCCATTGATGATGCTTTCGAGGAGGAGACTGATGAGGCGATTAAAGTTTATGGGTCAACATGTCCCAGATCACCTACATCTCCTTGTAGTAACGGGCAGGAACACACAAAAGTAAACATTGAAAATGGAAGGTTAGTAACAAAGTTCAGTTTGTGATTGTTTTTTTGCTAGAACACTATAAAGTGTTCTTGGTTTTTGGTTTCTTTACATTCTTATGGCATGCATTGCAGTTATGCCCTTTTAGGCAGTTATGTCTAGCCTTAGTTGACATTCTTAAGACAGTTAATGTAAACGTAAGCTGAATAAAACTAACTCTAAACCTATGTTAGATACCAATTTATATGTTGTAGACAGTGGCTTAACTAAGCAAGTGTGATAGCACCTATACAGGGTGCACCAAATATCTTACTATGTGTATAGGTACTTTTTTTTATTTGAAGAGCTATGAGGTCAGTTTAATTAAAATAAATTGGAAAAGAAGCCAGCGGTTCTCAAAATATTAAAAAAAAAAGTAAGTTTTACATGCAATCATCATCCATTTTCTGTGCTACTGTACAGGCTGTCACCAAATAAGTTCTTTTTTAAGGTGATGATAGTACACTCCAAAATAAGAAAGTTTTTTGCATTAGTGCCATTTTTTAATAAAAAAATCATTACAATTTGTATAAGGAAAGTAGAAAGTTGGGATCGCCACAAAATATGCTTGCACAGTGCATTCATTCATTCAAAATTTACATTTGTGTTTGCTATTTTTATACCTATAGGTACCTACTTTTAATAAAACACTACTTTTTTATTGTTAGGTATCTCGTGGTTCTCCCGTCGATTTTAAATTTCACCTTTTTATGTCGATTGATGCTCATGTATAAAGTGACTAGATTCTGTCAAAAAATAGAGGGACATTTTGTATAAATTTACCTTAATTACAAAATTGACACAATTATACAATGTAAATTGTAAATTTGACGTTACTTAATTATTGTTTATTGTGTTTAAAAGTATAAAAGCTTCAATTTAATTTGAACTATATTCAACAATTATTTAGTATACCTATATTTATTTATGACCATATTAACACAAACTTTCAAATAATCCACTTATTTATTTTGGTCAAAATAGATTTTTCCAACCTTAAAATACAAAATTAGATGATATTTTTTGTTCCAATACATTAACCTACCTTTGATACAGATATTCTTATTTCATAATAGAGTTAGATTTTTTTAAATAAATGCTGTTTAGTTAAAACTATTTTATGGAGAAATGTAGACCCAATGCACAAAAATATCACTTATATTGCACCTTACACTTTGGAATTTCATTAAATGCAGTATTTATATTCCTAAATTCTTAAACCAACCATTGTTATAACTATAATAATTATTGTGATACTATAAAGATTTATTAACTTTTAAGACTTAAACATAAGCGGTAACACTATAAATATTATTTTTTTCATTGACTATACTTTGACAGATACATAACCTGAAAAGCCTTAAATGCCAAATTTTAAAAAGACTGCTTTCCGTGCGTGGTCACGTGGTGGGACTTTGAGGTGTGGAGCATAGTACCTAATGAGTAATTAACTTAATTTTCATTAAAAAAGAAGTAATGCATAATGAAAATTAAACAAATTATTTATTATTTTAATAATGTGTACTTATTGAAACCTTAATGCATTAAACAAATAATGCATTATTTTCAATTTTGCTTGAACTAACAAATATTCAAAATAACAATAACAGTTAGCTCATCACTAGGACTTATTAACAATTATTGATAATTATTTTTTTGTTATAGGGGATACAAAGTGGTGAATGACACATCCCGAGACAGCGACTCCCTTATCCAAGACTACTACGAGTGCAACAGCGATGAAAACCTGCACAGATCCTGTTTTAACCACCCCAAAGTACGGGAGAATTGGAGGATGGTCCTCGCCGCCACAACTCTACTGATAATCGGCATAGGCTTGCTGGCCACAGGCGCCATAAGCCTGGCACAGCCTAGCAGCGGTCTGCAGGGCTCCGTGTTCCTATTGGCCGGCTTCATTTGTTTCGTGCCGGGCGCCTACCACGTCGTCTACATATATTTCGCCGCCAAAGGCAGAAGGGGATATCACTTTCACAATCTACCGTTGTTTACGTAGAGGTTTTTCACTGTGTACCGTAAAAATAAGGCTTTAAATTTTCGTACTTACGTCAAAAAATAAACAGTCAGGTTATCTAGCAGGCCAGAAAGGGGGCGTTACTATTCAACCAATGAGGTGGCTAGTTTTTAAATGGTTACCAATGGGATTATAAGGTTTAAGGCGGCTTATTTGAAAGAGCCAAAAGAGTTTTAGCGCCCTTTTAAATATAAGATTGAGTCATTATTTTAACTATTGACTATGGCTGTGTGCACAAGGGGTAGTTAGGATTAACTATGCTTTTGTTCATACAGTGATATGAATGCCAAATATTTAATTATTTGCACCATCACCTACTGATTTAATGCATTTTTAATTATAAGTAATAATTAAAGTTAAGTATAACTATGGAAAATAATAAATATTTTATAAAACAAGTTTTAATCTCGTTTGGTGACAAAATTAAGGTAGTTTTGACACAATATTGTCCAAGAATGTATTTCCGAAAAATGTTTTATTTTTGACTGATTATTTTTATTGTTTATTTGGATTTTTTGTTGATTTTTGAATGTTGAAGACTGAAAATATCGCAAATGATATTAAATATGAAACGTCCAAATTTATATAATTTAAATTTATATATTTTGATGTAAAGTTGCATTTATTAGTTTGGCAATATTGTGTTTTTTAATTTAAAATTTTATACCAAAGTAAAAAAATACTAAAAATTAAAAAAAATGTTTTTTTAGTTTTGACCAGAAAAATGTGTAATACCATGACATGTAATGTGAATATCTTAAAATTATTATAAAAAGTGTATGTTTTTATTTTAGTTGTAATATTTATTAAAAAACAAACATATTATGTATTAGGTTTTAAGCCAGATATTATAAGAATTTTTAAATACAATAAATTATATGTTCACCACAATTTTTGCATTAATTTTTTAAAGGGGGTTTCAAAAAACATGCAACAATAAGAAAAAAGTTCATATTAAAGTAGTTCCGAAAATGCTTAGTTTTCAAAATACCCTGTACTGTACAGTTTTTTAATGTTTAACAGCTGTTAAACATTTAAAAACGCCAGTGGCGTCCTGTGACTCCCAGACTAATATTAATGACAGGAAACATTACGCCGCTGACTTTTTTGCATTAAACAAAAACTACCAATTATTTTTTGTTAAACCAAGCAGAAAATTAACAAAACACATACCTAAATATTTTATATAACGTTGCCAAATTTCAACTAAATCGGGCAACCAATATTTAAAAAACAAGTTTATTTAATGTTTAACACCCCATACCTATCATGAAACATTTATCGCATTTAGCTCAAAATCAGTGTGGTTAACTGTAAAATACAGGTAACTGTACAATAAATTCATGCCGAAATCGTTAAGTGAAGTAGTAGTAGTAGTACACCTTAATCAATACCGAAATGTTGGAACCTCAAGAAAGCAAAAGCCAAAATATATGTGCCTGTTTAAATATCGTGTTTACAGGTTTTGCAATATCACGTTACCTTTGACTCTACACTGCGCATGACAGAGCGATGCGTTTATGTCACTTTGGCATCCATTATTTAAATTTAATTTTAAGGTGTATGTATCTTCATTTAAATGCGTTAAAGAAGTTAAGTTGTATCTCACATTATAATATAGGTAATATGTATATAATATTATTTAGATGTAAATCAAATACCCACGTGGTTGTTTTTAGCGTCGTGTTGTTAAAAAACGAATTTGTTTAATTATTTGCGTTTACGTGTGTTTGTGTTGATCTAAAATAACAGCAATAGGGAACAAGTAAAAAGTTTTAAAGGTAAACAACACAATCCACACATTGTGGATTTTGGATTGTGGTAAACAATTGTTTTTAAGTTTTAACTTGTTTGTATGTTTTAAGTAGGTTCAGGACAAAACTGATTAACAGGGTAATTAACAACAAAGTGGTAAATAATTTTTAATTTTTGTTTAAACAGTTGTTGCTAGAAAAAATGTAAAATTTAATGATTGTTGGTACCTATATTACTCTCATAACCCACAGAAATTTCTGTCATAACATAATATAATGTTAGGCAACCTGTTTACGAAAACGTATTGTTGGTTGTCTACATTGGTGTTCCTTGGTTGTTTGTTTTTCTTTTATAATCTGGTTTTCTATCATTTGAACTGAAAATCGTATAATTTGGAGATTTCTTAAGTTGTTTATTTAATTTATACAGTTAATCTTTGTCATACTTATATTTATTGCTTTACAATTGTTTAAAGATCACTGTTTATTTGTTTTCTCTTTTTAACACACGTGCGTCATTTACGCAAGCGTTGCTAAAGAAGTTTTGTGAATCCCTGTGAAGCTGTTGTAAATGAGGGGAAGAACCAAATGTCAAAAAATTGTTCTTAATGAGTGTTTCTTTAAAGTTAAACTACTTGTTGGAGTTTTAAAACGCTTTTGGTGAGGTTTTTAAGTGTTTTTAAGGATTAAATGGAGTTTATACATGGGAATAACAAAAACCTAACCTCTTTTTATGTTAAAAATACGAAAAAAAAACGTTGAAGATTTGCAGTTGTTGGGTTTTAAGAACAGTATAGCAGTTTTTGGGGAAAGTATAATGTCGCTGAAGAAGGTAAATTTAGAAGTTGGAGAAAATGGCTCAAAATTTATTACAATTAATGGTAAAAAAATGAAAGTTTTGATAAAAGCAAAATTTAATGATTTAACAAATGTAAATAAAACCCCTTCCAAGCAAACGAATTCAAATGATAACAAAGATAATGTGACAGATAAATCAACACTTGTGAAAAAGCCAACGTGTAGTGTGGTCACAGTGGAAAAAATAGGCAAAATATTCAAACCAAACTTTCTAAACCTAGCGACAAACATGAAGAAAGAAACTAAAAATGTTAAAAACAGTAGCTGCCAAACAAACACCAAAACTTTTAAAGATTCGTCCTGCCAAACTGATAAAGACAAAGAGGATTGTTTTATAGATTTTTTTAACTTGGACAATAATATTTTTTCTGAATTGGATGAGTTACCTGGCATAGACACTGGCATAGACACTTTTCTTAAAGTTGAAATGCCAGTTAAAAAATGTACACCTGCTCAAAATCCAGTGTCCAACAAAAATGATCCAAAAGTGAAGTTTTTTTTTGATATACGTAATGCATTGAATTTTAACAGCAATGGAAACTTGTAAGTATATATTTAATAGTAATTTTAAGTAAAAAAAAATCACTAATGGTTAGGGTATATATAAATTCAGCTATAGCTGAATTTATATATATTGAAGTGAAATTTCTGAAGATGACGGGAATCAAGTTTTAGAGTAATGATTGGAGTTGTGTTGTTATTATATCATTAATTTACATATTTCATTATTTTCTTATTCAAATTTATAAAACATTTCCTGATGTATTTTAATATAATGTACAGTGTGACCCATTTGTTTGTGACTCACCCCTGTAAAATCTTTATTTATTGTGCAATTTTAACCGATTTTGTTTTAAAGTGTCTTGATAAACTGTATGACCAAAAACACCATATTTTTACAAAATAGAAGGCCTATAGGCCTATAGTATACTACCTATCAGGTTTTTGAGGGTAAATTTTGATGAATTCATATTAGCAATTTAAAAAAAATCTATGCATGGCATTGGATTCACCACCCCTCAAAACGACCCTTTACTAAATTTTATTAAAAAATTTGAAGTAGGAATGATTTTGTAGCCAAATTAAAACCATTACTCCAGAACAAATTTGAAAGTGTATTGAAATAAATGGTGGATTAGTAGAGGTGACAAAAATGTAATTGTAGAGAATTTCTCTATTTTTTTGTTTTATTGTTGTATAAACAACAAACTTAAATTTAAGTTTCTATTGCGTTTTTTATTTGTTAAAATAAGCACAAGAATATTTATACCATGTCACTATTAGTTTAATTTTATTTCAATGTTTTTTTCATGGATAACTTGACTGAAATGTTTAATAAAATTTAGTATAGGGTCGTTTTGAGGGCTGGTGAATCCATAATTTTTTTTTAAATTGCTAATATGAATTATTAAATTGACTTAGTAGGCCTTGTATTTTGTAAAAATATTGTGTTTTTTTCTCAAAAAATACATTTTATCAAGATCTACACTTCAAAACAAATCCGGTTAAAATCGCACTATAAATAAAGATTTTACAGGAGACACAGCAAAATAAATGACATACGCTCTGCGACTTCATGCTCTCCTGATACTCGCAGGTGTTTCATATTTTCCGTAAAAAAGTTTTACTTTAAAAATTGGATACTTTTTACATGTTAAAAATGTCTCTAGAAATGATTTTTTTAATACATATTTTTTTTCAGGCCAATTCATGAAGCAGTTTTAGAAAATAACCTAAATAATGTAAAGAGATATACTTTGGTTTTAAAATCCCTGGGACCTTACATTAATTTGCTGAATCAAAATAAATATGTAAGTAATTTGTATTTTTTATATTTGCGACATATTACAGGAAATTATACTTTAATTTAATTTAAAGTGCTTTTTATCAACTCTTTGATGTTTTTTTTTCGTTGATAAAGTTATATAACTGCAGGGGGAATTACCTGGTAAACAGTAAAAAAATATTAAGTAAGATAACAATATTAAAAGTGTATGTACATATGTATGTATGTACATGGTGTTCCAAACTACTAAACTGTTTAAGATATTTTAATGGAAATATTATGTAGATATAAAGGTGCTTTTGAATACCTAATAGTGAAAAAATGTAATGTGAGAGATGTTATTTAATATTTTTTTCATTATTATTCTAAAGCACATTTATAGTATAAATTTTATACAAATAATATAAATCGGTTTGGTACTGTATAAATATAGGCATACGTAAATTCTTCAAAAACATTTTCAGATTACTTGAAGTGTGGTTGTTACTTTTTATAAAAATACTGTATACAGTAATTGATAAATATTTATGTATATGCATAGATAATGATGGGGTTTACCCTTTTTATTTGATATACAATTATTTCTCTGTATTTGATATTAATATTTGTAGTTCAATATTTTTTTCTTTATCTACAGGGTGGTGCATGTATCTTTCTATGTAAGGTTATCTTTTTTATTTGAAGAGCTTCTATGTCAGTTCAATTAGAGAAATGTTGCGTTATTAAAAGTCTATTAAGGTGACATTTCAAAATTGTAAAAAAATGACGGTTCTTAAATAATTTATAAAGAACAAAAATCGTTATTTCTAAGAGTTTAAAAAAAAATAAGTTTACATGCAAACATTTTCATCCAATTTGTCATTTTTATCGCCTACTAGATTTTGAGTTACCACAACAATCTTTTGTTTTTTCTATAAAAAAAATTAACTGTAGTTATACAGTGTGTCACACTTAAGATGAAGACACCCATATATTTTCGCTATTTGAAGGAATAAAGGTTTGAATTATTTCACATTCATACATGTTGATGGGTCACATTTTTTAAGCTACTCAACTGAAATCTGAACTTTAAACTTGGCCTACTACAAATTCACAAACAGGGCCAGTTCTCGATATTTTGCTTCGCGTTAGAGATATCGAAAAAAGTTATTGGAAAAAGTTGTTCAGAATATTATTCTAACCCCATTTACCAATTTTTATAACAAAATTCGCATTTTTAATTTTTTTTTATTTTGGTCCACACAAAGTTCATTTTTTAGTTTGATAATAAGGGAGCCATGGAAAGTAATAATTTGATACTAACTAGTGTTTATGACCGTTAAATAAATAATTAAAACAATATTTGGAAATTACAAATCAATTATAATTTATTTAACTAAGGAAGTGGTATAAAACAATAATAAAACTAATAAAAATAAATAAATTAGAAATGCGAATTTTGCTATGAAAATCGGTATACGGGGTTAGAATAATATTCTGAACAATTTTTTCTAATAATTTTTTTTTGATATTTCTAAAGCGAAGCAAAATATCGACAACTGGCCCCGTTTGTGAATTCGTAGTAGGCCAAGTTTAAAGTTCAGATTTCAGTTGAGTATCTTAAAAAATGTGACCCACCAACATGTATGAATGTGAAAAAATTCAAATCTCTATTCCTTGAAATAGCGAAAATATGGGGGTGTCTTCATCTTAAATGCGACACACTGTATATATGGTCGCTATGGCCATTATAAAAACAAAAGATGGTGATGGTTACTCAAAATTTAGAAGCAAAGATATTGGATGAAAATGTTTCCATGACACTAAGTGATGGGCTGAAGTTAGTTTTAAGTTATTTGACAGTTGTCAAATGTCATACAATCGTTAAAATAAATTGCCTTTCTTGTAAAATAATACTAAATAATATGCACCTTGGCATTAAAGTCATTTTTTATCACTCACGTGGTTATTTGCATCGGCTTTCGCCTCGGCAAATAATTTCCACATTCGTTATAAAAAATACGACTTTACTGCCTTGATACATAAATAACTATTAAAACATATCAAACTTGTTCAGATCTGAAAACTAAACCATTAGCACACAATTCCCCAAATAATTGTTCTTAATAACTATTGTAACTAGATTTCTTTAAATATAGATTTTAAAAAATCAATATTTGTTTTTAAAAAGTACATATTTCCAAGATCTCGACGTAAATTCTCGAAACTTAGTTATCAATGTTTACTCATTGATAAAACATTAATTCAATGGGAATTACCCATTTTCGAACGTAAATTTCCAAAATCGATTTAAACAGAAAAACTCACCTTGGGTGGCTAAAAAAAGTAGAAATACTTTATTAAAATTGCAAAATAATTTCGACTTCAAAACAGTCCTTACGTTACAAATGATGTTTTAATAATTAGTTTATTAATTAATAAATAATTAATTCACTATGTAATAATTTGAAATTTATTCAAATTCTAAAAACTCTGCTTTTGCGGTAAAAAGTTTACCGCAGAATAGCAGTTGATTCAAGTGATGAGGTCAAACCTTGTACTATGGTCTTTCGTCTTATTTTCTAAAAATAATACAATAATCATTAATGAAAGGTATTATTATTTTGAAAACTTGTTCCACCTGGTAAATTTTTTGACAACCTTTCGTTAACACTCTTTTTATGTATATTTTGTGTGGATCTCGAGCTTTTTCTACTCGAATTAAGTAATTTTCATTAGTAACAAAATTCATTGTTACCTCACTTTCTTTCTATTTTAAATACACCCCTTGTATATCTGTGGGTAAAAGGCATAAGGGGATAAGTCAAAAAAAGCAATTTTTCGGTAGAGACTTAAACGTGTTCGTATTAATTCAGGAAATATATTTATGGTTAGCGAGCATACCCTTTTGCTAGCATATGACACGTGCTGGCAAAAGGATATACCCGCTAACCATAAATGTATTTCCTAAATTAATGCGAACACGTTTAAGGCACTACTAAAAAATTGATTGTTTTGACTTATCCCCTTATGCCTTTTACCCACAGATATATTAAAAAATCTGTCATCAGATGTCAGATTTACAGATTCTGTTAACCTCACTTTTTCCCAATATAAAATCCCATTGGTCCAAATCACAGTGAATATTGAAATGGGCCAATCACTGATGCCTAACAACGCGAACAATGAGTTTATTATTCCCGTTGTTATGTAAGACGGTTATATTGTTTATCATTGAACAATATGACATTTTTAGGCAAAATATGTTAAATATTTAACTCTATTGTTTGCGACTCACCCCTGTAAAATCTTTATTTATGGTGAGATTTTAACCGGATTTGTTTTAAAGTGTAGATCTTGACTCCATATTAGTACAAAATACAAGGCCTGCTATGTCAGTTTTTAAGAGTAATTTTTTAAGAATTCATATTAGCGATTTTTTTAAACAAAATCTAAGCACGGCACTGGATTCACCACCCCTTAAAACGACCCTTTACTAAATTTTATTGAAAAATTTTAAGTAGAAAAATGCACAATAATAACTACAAAAATTTATTCTGTCAAGTTATCCATGAAAAAAACATTGAAATAAAATTAAACTTATAGTAATAGTACCATGTTACTATTAGTTTTTCATGGATAACTTGACAAAATAAATTTTTGTAGTTATTATTGTGCATTTTTCTATATAAAATTTTTCAATAAAATCTAGTATAGGGTCGTTTTGGGGGGTGGTGAATTCAGTGCCGTGCTCAGATTTTGTTTAAAAAAATCGCTAATATGAATTCTTAAAAACTTACTCTTAAAAACTGACATAGTAGGCCTTGTATTTTGTAAAAATATGGCGTTTTTTGCTTCAAAAATATAGTTTAACAAGATCCACAGTTTAAAACAAATCCGGTTAAAATCGCATAATAAATAAAGATTTTACAGGGGTGAGTCGCAAACAAATGGGTCACACTGTATAGTAAATTCATTTTACAAACTTTTACTGTTGAAATGGGTTTGTGTTTACAAAGGTCACTGTTTAATTCAAAAAATATATATTTTAAACACTATAATGCAAAGTTTCCTGGGTGTCCAAAAAATACATGTCAACTAAAATAATGTGCAATATTTCTTGATTGTGCTCTCTATTTTCACCACCTTTCATGATCTAAAGATTGTATTTTTTTAGACTCCTCTACAAGTAGCAATATTAAGCGAGGCAAGCAAAGAAATCGTCACGTTTTTACTAGCACATGGAGCAGATGTTTCTTTGACAGACCAAGAGGGAAACACTGTGTTTCATTTGGCCGTTCAAATGAACAATTTCAATGCCTTAGAAGAACTTTGTAAACCCAACGTAGATAATCCCATAATCGACCAGTTTAACTACGAAGGTGAGTAACTTTTAAAGGCCATGTAAATTTTTTCGTATGAGGTTGAGTCAGGATAATACAGGGTTCCCAAACTGTTTAGTCAGGCTCTAATTTCTAAACCGTTTGAGATATCTCAGTGGAGCAAAAACAATATTGTTTTGTTATAGTTAAAGATGCTTTAAATTAATTTTCAAATTATAAAAAAAACTTCCATAATAATTAAAAAAGTGTTTGTTTTTTATTATTTACATAAAAAAATATCGTCAAAATTCAACTTAATATTTTGAGAGGAAATCTTCAGTAAGTGTTCTTTTTTGTGAGCATTAAAAATTGTATTGCTATGATTTGTAAATAATATGGTTTTTGTTCCACTGAGATATCTCAAACTAAAACAGTTTGGGGCAAGTTGTATATATGTATAACCCTGAATATAAAATGTTATCAAATCATCTTAAAATTCGAAAATAAATATTGTTGAGAGATAAAAAAAATTAAAATAATAATAAATATTAATTACTTAAATAAGATTAAATTGCACCAGTCTTTTTGATGCTGTATAAATATTTTTGTTATTAATTATACAGGGTGTGTGAAAATGCATTTAATAACTGTTATTTTTTTTAGGTTTAACTCCCTTAATGATTTGTTGTATTAACCAAAATTTAAATTGCGCGGAAATTTTATTAGACTGCGGGGCCAAACCTGACATTTTGGACCAAAAATCCGGAAGAACCGCCCTTTTTCATGCCGCTGAAAATCAACATTGTAAGTATTTTTAATAAAACTATTATTTGGTTAAAAAATGAGATTCCTAAATTTATTATTTTATAGACAAATTTTATATGAGATGACATTTAAGTCTAAATACGAAAAAAATATTTCAACTTTTTTTTCCTTAATTTATGAGCACCCTACGTTTTATCCAATCTTTTTTATGGGAATCTTATTTTTTTTAAATCATGAAGACAAATTTTTTTATATGAGATGACATTCAAGTCTAAATACGAAACAAAAATATTTCAACTTTTTTTTTCTTAATTTATGAGCACCCTACGTTTTATTCAATTTTTTTTTATGGGAATCTTATTTTTTTTTAAATCATGAAGACACATTTTTTCGTAAAATGCATAATAAAAAAAGTTTTTGCTGTTGACAACCTGATCTGGGAAAACACTAGCAAAACTGCTTAGGCAATATTATGTTTAAACTTTTTTGATGAAAATCAACATTGTAAAGTTCATTTTCTTTATCTGAACTGCGGCAACGTTGCAAATTTAGGGTTTTGGTTGGTAAATACAGTTGTCAAGTTGGTCGCATTGACAAACTAAGCAAAGGGCTTTTACATTCGAATTCGTTGCTATTATTTTTGGCATAATTATCTTTTTATTTATAATTGACAAGTAGATTATCAATAATAAATATTATTGTCAATTTGACAGTGTAAAAGTATTTAAATTCTTTAGCAGAAGTACCATTTTTAAAATTTTATATGAGATGACATTTAAGTCTAAATACGAAAAAAAAATATTTCAACTTTTTTTTTCTTAATTTATGAGCACCCTACGTTTTATTCAATCTTTTTTATGGGAATCTTATTTTTATTAAATCATGAAGACACATTTTTTCGTAAATGCATAATAAAAAAATTTTTGCTGTTGACAACCTGATCTGGGAAAACACTAGCAAAACTCCTTAGGCAATATTATGTTTAAAATTTTTTGTTGTAATGTAACTGTCACACAATGTGTTGTATTTCTTAGATTTTAATTTTTGTCATCATTATTGTCACATGAATTTTGACAAAAGCTAACCTTTTTTTTTCTAAACTTATTTTGTAGCAGAGTAGTAGTAGTAAAACAAACAAATAAAAAATCTTACTTTTTTTTAGTGGAAATGGTAAAGTTATTATTGGACAATAATGCCAACACAAAAATAAAAAACTTCTTTGGAACGAGCCCACACGACGCTATGTTTGAAATGGACGAAATTCCGCAAGAAATTAGGAATTTAATATGGCTATCAAAGAAACGTAAAGCTTCAAAGTCGGCAAAAAGCGAGGATATAGCCATTTACGGCAAAAAATTAAAAATCGTCAAAACGTACCAAAAAATCAATACGGCATCTTAAAAAAAAAGTTTTGTGTTTTGTTGTTGCTAAGAATGTAGCAGCCACTGTAGGTATATTTTTGTGTGGGGAAAGGCAACACTGGAAATGTATTTTCGTGGGGTACCAAATTAACAATTTAATTTAAAAAATAAACCATGTAACGAAATATGTAATTTAACAGGATTTTATTATTTTTTTTTTTTGACATTTTGCACTAATTTCTGAACAAGTCATTTATTTTTCACATGACCCTGTATATTTATTTCCCCACATAAAAACCTCACTGAAGATATTTACATATTTTTTCAAGAAAGATTTTTTTGTAAATGTATAAACTATTTATTTTTTAAAACCTGGAACTTGGATATACTGTAATAGGTGTACCATATTTATAATTATTTTTTAGTTTTTTAGCTTTGAATCTCAATTTTTTAATAATTAATTTTATTTTATTGATATTTCTTCAGAAAGACATCTGTATATAATAATTAATAAATATAGTACCACATATTGTTCTGTATTGTTTTTAACAAATAAAACCCCTAAAAATCTAGCAAAATAATTTATTAACATATCGACAACAAACTTTCTTAATAGTTTTTAAGAATGTAAAATAAATTAATATTAGTATGGCACATACTATTAAAACGTTTACATTAAAATGATGATTTTTCCACATGTTTAAATCATCAGTATACAAAAATTTGTTTCTGTATTCATCTGGTAACTCAAATTGACTTGGTATAGGAAACAATGACAAATAAAAATCATACAAAATCGACTTGACAAATTCATTTTCACCATTCTGTATATAGTCCAAATCATCATTTAAACAAATGAATTTCCTAAAAAATATTTTTTGTTTTAACGGATTTTTTTATCAACAAAATACTCACTTAGGTCTACTTCTTATTTCATCTAAATGTGACACAACTTCACTAATATTTGAATGCAACATAACAAACGTTACAAAGTCACCATCAACTTGTGACAAAGTTTTAAATTTATATTTTTGTTCAGTCCCAAACCTATTTTTTAGAATATTTGATATTTCTGTGCATTTTGATACCAATTCTTTTGATATTGTAGGCTAAAAACAAAATAAATGTTGGTATGGATTTTGATCATACACTTAAAACGCTACTTTTTGTCCAAAATAAACTTTGAATCGATTTTTATAAAATTATGATCATTTATAATAAAAAAGTATGGATTTTGATCACATGGTCAAAACGCTTGTTTATATCGAAAGTCAGCATTAAATCGAACTTAGAAAACTATAGATTATGGTACTTTATCATAAAGTATGGATATTGATCATAGGGTCAAAACGCTTAAATTTGTGCAAAACGAACATTTTACCGATTTTGTAAAGTTACTATGGATTATGATCATTTATAATAAAAAGTATGGATTTTGATCATAGGGTCAAAACGCTTATGTTTGTTTAAAACAAAGTTTTACATACTTAAACATTAAATCGAACTTTGGAAAATTATAGATTATGATACTTTATCATAAAGTATGGATTTTGACCATACGGTCAAAACGCTTATTTTTGTTTAAAACAAAGTTTTAAATGATTTTTGGAAAATTATAAGCATGTACTTAGTATGGATTTTAATCACTGGAATATTATTTTAAATCTTGTATTTGTCAAATTTTGACCAATTTGGAGAAAATGTAATTACTAAGGCAAATACAAGATAATTTCACACTTTTTAATTTTCTAAATATATCTTAAAACAATTTTTCAAGATATTCAAAAAACCTTACCAGTCTGGAATCGACGTAACGTTCATATAAAGGTGTGGCGATATCATTTTTTGTTATTTTTTCTGTGCAATTAAGTAGCATTGTTTCAAAATGGTCGACAATTTGAAAACTTAGCGGTAATTCGTATATTTGGGTTAGTAATGTACGAATTTCTCTATCAGACCATGTTCTAAAATACATATTATGTAGAATATTTTTTTTTATATTTGAAATTTTTGACAATAATTACCCTGATTTATCAGTATCAAATACATCAAAAATTTCTTCAGTAGTTTTGTTGATTTTTTCGTTTATCAAAAAATAATAATAACTGAAAGAAAATTGAAGATCATCTGCACTTCTGATTTTGTTTAACTCGGTTTTAAAAAAATCTTTTTCAAATTTTTTCTCCAAATTTTCCATAATTTTTCTATCGATTAAAATTGGTGCATGGGCTGGTACTTTTCTTGTTTTAAATTCGTATTTTTCGTTAAATAATCTATGAGTGTATTGTAGAGATTCACTATAGGCATCTATAACTAAAAAATAAACCATGCATTATTATTATTTATGTTAAAATGAATGTTGAAAATTTAAATGAAATAATGACCTTAAAACTAGATGTATGAATTTTAATCATAATTATGGGATTAATATTTTTTTCATGAATTTTGACCATTTGCTCAAAACGCTTAAAACCTTTGCATTTATTTTTTAGAAAATTATGGATTATGATCATTAGTCACATACATACGTAATTATGGATGTTTATCATATACTTACTTTTTTTCGTTTTAAAATTCCATTTTCGACGTTTTTTGTCCCTGTAGATTATTTTTTTGTTATGCATTTCAACAATTTTTGCAACCAATCCTTTGTCAGGTTTTTGCACCAATTTTTTTAGATTGTAACTGACAAAATTATCATTTAAGGTAAAATTTGAATAATTATTTGTTGAATTTTCTATATTAATTGTATTGTTGGACTAAAAAAATGTTATTAAATTGTATTCTATTTTTATTTTATTAAAAATTTACCTTAACTTTTGTAGTACTATTATTTATATTTTTAAAAAAATTATACTTAATTTTGTTATAATTAATTTCCAACAATTCTCTAGTACTTTTTATACCAGTGTATTGAAAATTATCATAATATTGTTTATTCTACAAACATTTTATTATCAAACAGGATTTTTTTTAATGTTAAATTTAATTACCATGTCGACATTTTCACAATCCCCCCCATCATTTTGACAGTTTACAGTGTTGCAAAATCTATCGCATTGCCCGTCTCCCACAAACATCCACGAGCAATTTGCAGAACAACTTGGCAATGGGTAAGATAAATAAATATAAAAACCTTCATTGGGTGTATAAAAATCCTCCAAATACATGGGTTGGCCCAAAAAAATATCGTCGTTGAAATATATGAATTGTTTTGAAAGACCAGGTATTCTAAAAATGTATGGATTTTAATCGTAATTATGGATTTTGATCATATGCTCAAAACGCTTATTTTTGTCCAAAACAAACTTTGCATTGGTTTTTGAATAATTATGGATTATGACCGTTGATCATAAAATTATGGATTTTGATCATATGCTCAAAACGCTTGTTTTTGTTCAACACAAACTTTGATTAGATTTTTGAAAAATTATGGTATGATCATTTATTATAAAAGTATGGAATTTGATGATCCGCTCATTTTTTTTTCGAAACAAATGTTAATTACCTATATGGTCGCAATGCGCATTTTCCAAAACAAACATTGATTTCTGTAAAATTATTGATTATAATTGTTTACCATAAAATTATGGACTTTGTTCATATGCTTAAGTGTGCATTTAAGTTTTCTCTCACCTGTGTAAATTACATTCTATTGCAGGACTGGAAAATGTTGGTAAATTATAGGAACTTTTGAATATTTCTTTGTGGGTTACAATTGTAACTTTTTTATAATCCAAATTTAACCAATAGGGTATTTGTCCATTGGTTACTATAAACACATGGTTAACCCAAGGCGCATATTTTTCCAAGGATCTATACAAAAATAATAAAATTAATGAAAGTTTTTTATGGATTTTGATCATATGGTTAGAACATTTACTTTTGGCCAAAACTAACTCATTGTTAATTTTTGAAATATTATGGATTATGATCATGATCAAAAGACAAAACTTTTGTTTGGGTATATGATCAAAATCCATACCTTTTACAATAACTGCAGTTATTGTAAAAGGTATGGATTTTGATCATATACCCAAACAAAAGTTTTGTGTTTTGAAACACACCTTGCACTGATTTTTGAAAAATTATGGATTATAATCATTTAATTTCATTTTTATGTGAAAAAATAAATTGGTTACCTTAGTGAAAATTTTAACTCATATTTGTCGTCGAATCTTTTCTTTAAGTAGTTTGTTTTTTGGGTATTGTTTAAATATATTCTTAAGTCATTTATAAATTTTGTATCTGAACCATTTACCCAGGTATAAACCACGTCTATTGGTTCACTATGTATACAACGTTCATCTTTATTATTATTGTTTGAAAAAAGTGACTACAAAAAAATAATTAACAAAAATTAAACTGTTTGTTTTAATAAGTTACCTTTAAAAATAGGTATAAAATGTAGACAACTAAACACACTACAAATATTTTACAAAAAATAGACCTTTTCTTTAACCCGATTCGCACCCTCATCCTCCCTCAACATTATTTCACATTTTTACCTCTTTAATTCTACATAATTCATCATTTTTAAGCAGAAACATAACCTCAACGGCTTTTAAATGTCAAGTGAGCGCTTGAACTACAGTTTCAGTACAAAGGAACTACGTCAGGTATACCTGACGTAGTTCCTTTGTACGAAAACTAGTCTGCTTTCGTGACGTACTTGCGTCTATAGTGAAGGCTTGCCGCTTATGACGTCATTGTGGGAAGGGCTTATCGCTGCATCGCAATCCGTTGTTGCCACATATTGCCCGAGCGTTTTGAAAAAATATTTTTATTGCCAAATTAACTTTTTAAGTGCAATTTCCCACACTATTTTCTTCAACCAATTGGCCACAATCGACCATAGATAAATGACAATCGACTAATTATAGGCTATTGCTTTTTCCCTTTTTTCTTCTAAGCTTTTCCCACAATGACGGATTTTCTATGACCGTCCTTCCCTATACGCAAGTGTGCGGCGTTGCCAGGTGCCTTATCAGTTATAACTACGTTTTTTTCTTTACTATTTTGACCTTTGAAATTTATTTATTTATTCTATTAACGTAATTCTTTTTATACCTGTTATCAAAATGTATCAGTATGAATATGTACTCGACTTTAAATGATCATTATTTTGTTAAATTTAATTAATGAAAAATTTGCGTGCTGTTTTATTTTTAATTTGTGCTGTCTTTGTGTGTAATTTAAAGGTACGTTATTATTTTTAGGTATACTTTTGGACTAATTACAATTTTTTATAGGCAAACATCCAAGAAAAGTTGCCTTTTCAAGCAGGTTTAATAATTTTTCGTGAAAATATCCAAAAATTTTGCGGGGGTTCGCTAATATCGCCTTTTTTTGTTTTAAGTGCAGCACATTGTACTTTTGGGTAAGAAAATTGATCAATTTTCTTCTTCGAAGAAAAAATACATTTTTTCAAAAAACTTTTTTAGCGCAAAAAAAATCCAAGTAATTTTAGGCGCCAACAACTACAAAGAAAATGAAAAATCGCAAGTGGTTGTAACCACTAAATTATGGAACAATCACGAACAATTTAATAACACTGACTTTACAAACGACATATCCCTTATAAAATTACCATACAAAATATTATTAAACCAACAAATAAACACAATTAAAATAGGAAGAAATACTAAAAACACAAACATATTCTACAGCGGGTGGCCGGAGGGTACTAAAAACAGTAAGTATGGATTTTAATCAAAATTATGGATTTTGATCATGTGCTTACAACGCTTATTTTTGTCCAAAACAAACTTTGCATTGTTTTTTAAAAAATTATGGATTATGATCGTTTATCATAAAATTATGGATTTTGATCATATACTCAAAACGCTTGTTTTTGCCCAAAACAAATTTCGCTTCGCAAACAGTTTGTATATATAATAATATAATATAATAATACCTACTTAATTCTGCAAAAAAACTTACATTGATTTTGATCATTTTATTTTTAGATAATGGTTATTTGAAAGTAATTAAAGTAAAAATATTAACGAACAATATTTGCGGGGGAATTTACAAAAATATTAAGGATAGCAATATTTGTACGATTTCAAATGATAATAATTCTACAGGGTGTTATGGTTTTTCAGGGGGGCCTTTGATAGAGAATAATAAACAGATTGGTATTGTTTCTTATGGTTCGAAAAATTGTGATAAATCCATACCTATAGTGCATGTAAATTTGTTGAAGTATTTTAAATGGATTAAAAGGAATATGGAATTTAATTGATTTAAATATACTTTTGCATATACTAATAAAAATATTAGTATACAATATCAAAAAAAAATATCTACATCATCTACATGTCTAAGCACTAAAAGTCCGAAGCAAAATCGTAAGACAACATTTTTTCCTTCTGCATAAAAATAGTTTTAGATGCATCATGATGATGGGTGAAAAATTAAATAATAATTTTGGTGTACAAAATTGTCTTTCACAATTTTATTATAGGTAATAGAATTTGAAATTATTATTTATATATTTATACGAAATAAAATGTGCTACAAAAATTCTATCTAACTTTTTGACTTATTTTTATTGATTGGTTTTTAGTTTTAATAAACGCGTAATTAAAAAGACAATTTCACTAGAACGTTAACGTAGAATAATTATTCTACTGAAATATATTTATATATAGGTATATATACCTATATTGCATGAAAGATACATTTCTGGGAAATTTTAAAAGTTGCATTTGGTACTTTATTTTTATTACTACTGGCAACACTGCAGTGAAAATACATACTTAGCTTCATAGAAATAGTATTATTTCATAGAAATAATAGTATTATTTCTATGCTTAGCTTTGATTGGCGTTTGAAAACGTCCAGAGATAAACCCAGAGATAAACCTTCTTTATCTCTGGATATAAAACATCCTTTTTCTATGGAAGTAAACCATAGAAAACCCCGAAGGAAGGAAGGAAACCACAGAGGAAACCGTTCTTTTAAATAAAGAACTTCTTTATTTTGCAGTAAGAAAACACTGTCAAGTAAATACACGTTGAATTCGTTGTTTGAGGGATTATAAATGTTTTTTATTATTTTTTACAGCTTGCCCAAGTATTTTCATAAAAATCAAAATTGCAAATTAACAATAAAAATGACGTGTCAAATATTCTGAGCAATCAAGCAAAAACTTTTATCAAGAATAAAATTTTCTAAGAAATGTAAAATATTTTTTCCCTTTTTGTATACTATTTTTGTTCAAAATAAACTTTGCGCTTCGTTTTAGAAAACTATGGATTTTGATCAGTTCTCATAAAAATATGGATTTTGATCAAACGCCAAAACGCATATTTTTGCCCAAAACAAACTTTGCTTTGACTATTGGAAAATTATGAATTATGATTAGTTGCTATGAAAATATGGATTTTGATCATACGCTCAAAACACTTGTTTTTCTCCAAAACAAACTTTGGATCGACTTTTAAAAAATAATGGATTATGATTATTTTTTGTAATTTTATTGTAGAATTTTTATATAAAAATATAAAAAATATAGGTAAGTAGTTTATCTTGATAAAGAAGCAATTTCACTTGCGATTTCTGAAGCAGAATCTTCACTTTCTATGAAAAAAGTTAATTAATATTTTATTAAAAATAACTCTAAAAAAACAACTTACCTATAGAAGATTCACCAGAAGATGTGGTATGAAAGTCATATCCAAATGAATATTTTTTCTTACCCTCACTAGATGCCACAACGGATAAATCTGTATGACATTGTGTAGTATGTGGGGGAATTCTAAAAAAAAGGTTTTAATATTTTTACAAAGATAATATTTATAACATTTTAAATATTCATACTTGATATCCTGTGCTATGTCCTTGTGACGTGAAGTATTTGCAGAAATAATTCTTCTAAATAAATGATAAACAATAAATTTAAACTTTTTTATTTTTTCGTGCTTACCTTAGTTCTGAAGGGTTAACTTCAGAGCTACCACTACTGGTCTCATCAGTTGTCTTTTTTTTTCTAGTGGGAGAACCTCTAAAATAGTAATAAAAAATGACAAAATTTAAAAAAAATTTACTAAGACATACTTCAGTAGTTGTGACGTTGCATCGGTAGAAAAGTCTGACGTTTCTTTTGCGTTTTTATCCTTACTGAGTTGCCCACTTGATGTCTCAGTTGACCTAAATACAAAAATAAATATTCCAAATTTCCTCGACATGTTTTGTTCACCTGTTGGATTTTGTTGCATTTTCTTCAGAAGTTGATGGTTCAGTACCATAAGAGTCCCTTTGTGTGGAACTAGAATACTCTTGGGGCTTGGTTGAGCTGCTCTGTGAGTATCTCTATAAAATTAAGTGGTGTGAGGTAAAAAATTAATAATCCCATATTAAATACATACCTTGCTATCACAGGCCTTCAGTTTTCTTTGCAAGGCCCTGTTAATGCAAAAATTATGGATTTTGATCATACACTCAAAACAATTATTTTTGCCCAAAACAAACTGCGGTGACTTTTGTAAATTATGGAATATGATCATGTTTCAAAAACGCCCATTTTTGTCAAAAACGTCTATATTTGTCAAAAATGATGAATTATGATCAATTACGATAAAATTATGTCACTTATTTTCGTTCAAATGGCTTGTAAAATTATGGATTATGATCATGTTCCCAAAACGCTTATTTTTGTCAAAAACAAACTTTTAAAAAATTATGGATTATGATCAGTTACGATAAAATTATGGATTTTGATCATGTTCCCAAAACGATTATTTTTGTCAAAAACAAACTTTGCATCGACTTTTAAAAATTATGGATTATGATCAGTTAACATAAAATTATGGATTTTGATCATGTTCTCAAAACGCTTATTTTTGTCAAAAACAAACTTTGCATCGACTTTTAAAAAATTATGGATTATGATCAGTTACGATAAAATTATTGATTTTGATCATGTTCCCAAAACGATTATTTTTGTCAAAAACTTTGCATCGACTTTTAAAAAATATGGATTATGACCAGTTTACATAAAATTATGGATTTTAATCATGTTCTCCAAACGCTTATTTTTGTCAAAAACAAACTTTGCATCGACTTTTAAAAAATGATAGATTATGATCGGTTACGATAAAATTAAGGAACATATTTTTGATTAAATGGATTGTAAAATTATGGATTATGATCATTTAACTGTGAAATACCCTTTTCGTTTTAAATATTCTTCGTGGTGATATATCGAGTAAGACTTGGCGTTATGATCACGTTCCTTGCGGTCTTCATTGGACTCCAAACTGAAACTACTGGAATTGGAAGTTTCTTCTGAATCGTACAGATTCTTGTCATCTTTTGATGTGCTCCTTTCGGAAATTTCTGCTATTGATGGTAACAATTTCAACGACTGCATTGTTTCTAAGGTTGCCACAGCAAGTGGTGACTTGGTATGCTCATCTAATTTGCTATTGCTGGTTTTGTCTGGGAAAAAAATATCGTCAAAAAGATTTTGGCGAAATTAAATTCATTGACATACCTTTTGACGATTTTGTGGAGGTCTTGGACGCTTGTGTTTCTGGGCTACTGGACTTTGTTTCACATGTACATTTAGCATATGTTCGACTAAAAATATGTATTGCATTGAATTTGACACCCTGTAACTTTGTTGTTTTTTAATATTTTTTAGAAAATCAAAAATGGCTTTATGGAGAATTTAAATACCTTTTTATTGGTATTTGGATGGGTAAAATCGTAATTATAATTTTTTAAGTATTTTCATAAAATTACACATGTGATATTTTGTGATATATTGAAGAATTTTGAGATGCTGTAATTTTCTTAATATTTTACCAATTTTAAAAATTAATATGTCAAATTTTTCATTACCTATCTGTGCTTGACGTTTTTGATGAAGTACTTCCCTTGTTCAACTTTGAACTATTTTTTTTAATCGTAGATTTACTTGTACATGTACACTGATATTTTCTCTTTGATCTGATTCGGTAACAAATAAATAGGACTCCGAGCAAAAACCAAACGAATATGGCTATCAATATGGCCAATATGACCAAACTAGAGTTGCTGGATGAAAATGAACTATTTCCCTACAAGATACACAAAATTATTATGTTCAAAAAGTAATCAAATGGATATAGTACTGCTTCTTGTGAAGCTACTTCGTTTAAACCTTCTTCATCAAATTTAATAGTTGTTGTAGTGGTTATTTTTAATAATTCAGCCCCTAAAATACTGCAATGTAACAAAAATATTATTTTGTTATCGAAAAAATACCAAAGGATCTCAAGGCATCTTCCACTCTCAAAATACCACCAAAAGCGGCATAAAACTTATCATCTTCGGTTTTGGGAATACAATCTCGATTAATCCAGGAATAAAATTCGTTGTAGAACTTTTTTCTGCTATACATATCCACCTTTTTATCGTCCATGCACGTATACACGGCTTTAAAAAAGTTCATGATCAGGTTGTTGGCCTTTTTGGACTCTAAAATTGATCTTGTTAGCCTTGGAAGTTAGCCCCGCCCCCTGGCAACGCTCTTGTTTACATGGCAACAAGGCTGTAGGGCTAGGTTAATGCGATTAAAAGGCTTTTGATGGAATACTTACCTATATTTCTCAAGGTCTTATGTTTAAAAGGTATTGCTATTGCATTGGGGTGTATTTTTGTGTCAAAGAAAGGTATGGGAAATATATAGTTGGGTTCTACATCTTTTTGTTCCTTTTTATCGGTTTCGGTCGCGTTTTTATTTTTTTGTGATGTGGCGGGAGTTTGTGGTATCACTTGCGATTTTGTGTAGTAAATTATGGCATCACACGATTCTTTACATTGGACCGTGTCCATATTGAGAGGAAGTATTTTTACCGCTGCAAAAAATTGAGTTTATTTCTGTTTTAATTTGGATTTTTTTAATACCTATATTGTAGTCGTTTGTCTTGCCCCAGCCTAATCCGTTCGTTCTTAAAAACCACTTTAATTCCTCATACAATTGTAATAATCTTTCCATGCTGCTAAAATCTATTACTCCAGCGTAATATGCCTTTTTAGCCCTGGGAATAACCACCATTTTTAGATAGCCTCCTAAGTAAATACATGGTGATTTTAAATTATTGCTTTTATGGCATAAAAAGTTATGTTTATTTACCTATTATATCTGTTAAGGCCAACAAAACTATATGCTTTCTTTTCCCCCTAGTCTGTTCTCTAACAACGCTTATTATTTCTCTGTAATAAGTCATCAAATCGCTTATAAAATCATTGCCATCAATGGTGATATCCTCAACAGTGGGCATCAAATCCTCCAAAATCATCCTAGTGGTCAAAAGTGCAGCACTTTCTATGGTCCAACATGATTTGTGCATATCTTGTTGCGTGAATAATACGGTCCCCACATTTACTGCAGTCGTAGTTATCGCTATTTTTGGCAATGAAATGGCTAAAACTGCAAATAATACAATTTTTGACATTTCTCGGTAAATTTGACGTTAAAAATAGAATCTGGGATTTTTTGCACAAGCCGGCAACGTTGTTATTCCGCACAATCTGGCAACGTTGGTTTATTGGAACTACTCGTTATGGGACATTGTGCCTACTTTGGTTTTTACTGTTTATTTTGTTATTGACAAATTATGTATAATAATTTGGTAAAATATTCATAAAATTGCAATAAAAAATGATTATCTGAAGTTCTTATGGCATAATTATCATTTTTGGTATCTCAAACGTCAAATCGAAAAGAACATAACCTCACTTTAACAATGTCAACAAAACTTGAAATATCGAGGATTTTAAAAGAAGCACAGTCGGGAAATTTGGAATACATCAAGAAAGCAATAAATCCCAAAGAATTGCACTGGTCCACAATAAAATATGACAAAACTGGCGATAGTATACTGCATTGTTGTGCTAGGTTAGGTCGTGTCGATATTCTTGAGTATTTATTGGAAGAATTTGTACCTAATGCTGTTAATATTAAAAATAACGATAATAAGACTGCGTTACATGAGGCTGCACAATTTGGACAGGATTTATGCTGCGAATTGTTGATAAAACATGGTGCTGATGTTAATGCTTTAAAAAAGGCTGATTGGACTCCGTTGATGCTGGCTTGCACTAAAATAGACTACTTTTCGTGGCTAAATAACTATAATTGCGTTAAGATACTTCTAGAATATGGTGCTGTAGTGAATTATGTGAATAAAGATGGTTGGAGTGCCCTGCATCTAATATGTCGAGAGGGTAATCGGGAAATTTTGGAGTTGCTCTTAAAACATCATTTGAATGTTAATTTGAAGACTAAAAATGGTAGAAGTGTTTTACATATAGCCTGTTTACATGGTAATATAGAAATATTGAAAACACTACTTGATTTAGGCCTAAATATCAATGATACAGATTTCTGTGGAAATACACCTTTTCATGAAGCCATTTTAGGAGAAAGAAAAGATATATGTGATTATTTAATAACAAAAAACGCTGATATTCACGCAAAGAACAACACTGGTTTCAGTGTACTACATTTAGCGGCAAGTCAAGAAAATACGGAAATGTTAAAGTATGTTTTAAATGAGCTTAAGTTTAATGTAGATTTACAAACTAAAGACGGTTTTACTGCTCTACATTGCGCCGCGAGAAAAAAATTGGCGAACAATTTTAATTTTTTGACCACAAATGGTGCCAATTTATTAAAAGACAATTTCAGCAGACTTGCCAGTGATTATTTGGTTAGTGATTATTTTTTATAGAATAAACGTTTTTTACTGTAAAATAATTTTCCAAGCTAATTTTACTTACCTTTGCAACGTTGCCAAACCTATTCCGGCAATGTTGCCAAGCTGTCGTATTGCGACGTTGCCAGATTTACATAAATATAATATAATAATAAAAGACGGTGTTCAACTTATGGTAAGTTTAATAAATCCAAAATAAATAAACATTTTTTTATATTTTATAAAACACAAATCACAGATTAATTACTTTCTCCCTTTGAGACTGAACCCGTTGCCGCTGAACGCTTTAAAATCGATATTTTCTGCACTCTCTTTGCTGGCCGGTTTAAAATTCCTTCTTATAAATTTCAACGTACCAATTTCGTAATCATAATCGGGGATTCCCCTAACATAGGCGGTTTTGGTCGGCAACGTCGTCGAGTCGCTTGACGTGGAATCTTTTCGTTTTTTGCCGTCAAGTCTATTGCCCGCCCCTTTAAATGCTATGAAACCTGCGGGTTCGGGCATTAATTCCGAAGGATCGATTTGCATGTCTTCGTCCTCTTTTTTAATATGTTCGGGCTCTTTGTAACCCACCGGGGCTTCAAATTCAACCTTAAAAAAAGAAAAGTTAAAATTGCATAATCTAGGACAAATTTGACAACGCTGTGTTGTTGCACAATCCGGCTACGTTGCTTTATTTGAACTATTCTTGTTGGTACATTGCGCCTACTTTGGCTTTTATTGTTTATTTTCATATACCTACAACTCTTATACGAGTAAACGACTTACCACGCCCCTTGCAATTATTAAGAGACAGGTATATGTATCTATCTCAAATGGTAAAATGTTTCCAATGCACATGCTACACTATTAATATACATAGTAGCTAAGCTACTGCTACAGTAGCTTGCCTTGTTTCTTTTTTATTGTCTTTTAGAGGATTTATTTATTATTTAAATAATTTTAGCCTAATTGTAGTTATTAAAAACTACAAAATAATTATTTAAAAAAAGTATATAATCTGTCTTGGTCAATTTGGCAACAATGCTCTGCCATCTTGGTTGTTTATTATTTTCTGTTTACGCCTGTGATTCTCGTGTATTTTTCCTTTATTTCTTCTGTGTGATTAATAAAAACTTATTTTAATATGCCCTCAATTAAGTATTGTTACCTTTGCGGTAAAGTAGAAAATACATCTACTCTGCATAGGTAAGAAAAATATTGTAAAGTAGTACAAACATAAATTGACTTATATTGCAGATTTCCAAAAGATGAAAATCTTAGGATTTTGTGGCTGGAATGCTGTGCTTTAACAAAAGCAGACAAAGTAGATAGTTTAAGATTATGTTCTAAACATTTTAAACATGAAGATTTTAACCATATTAATGCTAGATCATGTGGGGGTTATGTTAATTTAAAAAAAAATACAGTTCCTTCTATGGATATACCTAAACAATCAATGGAAGTATTTACTAAACCAACTGAACCTTCTATGGATGCTGAATGCACTATTTTAAGAGATTGTAGAGGAAATGCAGTACCTTTAGTATTAGAGGTGGGAAGTTCGATTCTTTTAGGTGAATCAATTCTTTTAATTCATTCTTTTAAAATGATTCGTTCATAAAGATTCGTTCGCGACTGATTTACTTTCTGGTTCAGGAACAGATAATTAACGAACAATTCAGGTTCGACCGAATTAATGACTTGGTTCTTGAATCGTTTGTAATGATGACTTGTATTGGTTGTATCGTTAAATGAATCAACGGTTGTATTACTAAATTATTGGATTCGATTTTTATTTTGCTTACGTGTAAATTAACCTATGGCTTTTCCGGTGCAATAACAGCACAGCTTACATAAAAAAACAAAATACAAGTACCTAGGTTGTATTGGAAACTTGTGAATCAAAAGAGTATTTTGATATTTGACAAAAAATTCCCTGAAATATCCCTAGAAATATCACCAGTTATTTAAAAAGACCGACATTTTAGCGTAGTGATCCGAACCTAGCATTTAATTCAGTGCTTGTAACCAAATTTATATTTATTTTATGGTTTGATTCACTTTTTAGTTCACTCGTCGTGATTTAAAAAAAATGATTAAAAAAAGAATTGATTCTTTTACAAACTTTGTTCGATTCATTCGGTTCATTTAAATGATTCGTTCTTTTTGAACGAATCGGAATCAAACTTGCCACCTCTATTTAGTATATATAAATAAACCATCAATGAAAAAATCTACTCAACCAATTAAACATTTGCCAAGTACTTTAATGGAATATAGACAAAATGCACTTTCTTCAATGAATATACCTCAGACATCTATGAAAATATGTACTAAACCAGTTAAAACTTTGCCCTGTACTTCTATAGATGTTACAAGTACTATAGATAATAGTGAGGAAGTTTCTTGTAATGGTGAGTTTTTGTTAATACAAGGTGTCCCTAAACTTATTGGCATAAATTTAGGAAAAGATTGAGCAAGTCAAAATAAGATGAAAACCCAAATAAATATTTCTTTTGTTTCCAAGATACAGGGTAGTCTTAGAAAGGTGATATTTTGCGAACAGTCACTTATTACCAAAACACATATTCACACAGTGTTGTAGAAACGGGGGTTGCTTTAAGCTTATTGTCCCATACAAACTTTGAGGTTAGGTTTTTATAACATTTGATGCAATTTTTAGATTACACAGTTCGGCTACCATTAAAAAGGTGTACCTCTCAATCCCTTTAAATAATGCATTACATATTTACCAAAGTAAATTAATGTAGGTAAATACCTTAGTAAACTTTTACTAAGGCTTACTAAATAAAACATTTTATATATTTTTAAGATGATATTTAAACTTATTATTTAATCTTTATTTACCTTTTTATTTTAGAAACCACCCCCAAGAAAAGACGATTTTCTGAACCTAGATTTGTTTCTGAAATAACAAGTCCAGATGTAAAAACACCTCGAAGAGCTAAAAGGGCTATTCAGTTGGCCCAAGCTACAATAAGGCAGAAAACAAAAAAAATTAGAGCCCTACAAGAGTCAAACAGATATTTGAAGAAGAAAATTGAATCCCTCAAGGATGTAATTGTTCATCTTCGTAAAAATAATGTAGTCTCTGATGATAAATGAGATACAACTAAATTTAGATAAAGGTTTTAAAGGCGCGGTAGTGAAAAAAATCCTGTTCTGGTTAATATAGTTATGGATGAAATGTCTATAAGGGAGCAAATTATTTATACCAAGGGGCAATTTTCAGGGCAAATAAACCTTGGCACATCTAATATTGAAATACCTGATAATGGGGCCCTGGCAAAAAATGTGCTTGTGTTTATGGCAGTAGCCCTTGATAGCCATTGGAAAATTCCTTTGGGATATTTTCTTGTAAGGGGTTTGACTGGGACAGAACGAGCCAATTTGCTCCACAAATGATTGGAACTAATTAATGAAACTGGAGCAAAAACGTTTTCCATAACATTTGATGGAGCTGCCACAAATTTAAACATGTGTTCTGAAATGGGGGCAAAATTTGATTTTAACAATTCATTTCAGTCTTTGTTTGTCAACCCATGTACTTCTGACAAAGTATTTATTTTTTTTATGCTTGTCATATGATAAAATTAGTCAGAAGTACATTGGGAGATAAACAGGTAGTTTATTATAAAAATAAAATTATATCATGGGATTTCATTAAAAAATTACATGATCTTTAAAAAGAACAAGGTTTGCATTGCAGGGCAAAATTAACAATGAAGAATATTTATTATAATGTAGAAATGTAAAAAACGGTTTTTTCAGATGTAAAAAAAGATTTTTTTTGTTTTTTCTTTCAAAATGAAATTTTGAGTAAAATGTATATTAATAATAAAGTGAAATTTAGAATATATTACATTTTTCATTATTAAAAATTTTGACTAAGACTAAAAAATCTGATTTCTTATTATTTGGTACTTTCCACATTAGAAACCAATAGCAATGTAAAACTTCTACACTAATACAAAAAATTAAAGAATAATTTTTTTTTGCGATTTTTCGGATAGCTGTATCTTTGTTAAAAATGGTCGTATTGGAGCCGTAAAAAAAGCAATTTGAAGCTTGAAGCTTCTAGTTTTGAGATTTTTAGATGAAAAACGTGCAACGCTCAATCCTAACGAATGCCGTAATAAAAAAATCGATTTTTATTGCTTTCTTTTTTGGTCCACGGAACGTTCTGACTTAACCACCAATGAATAAATGTTCTACAAGAATTTGCTATTGTTTTTTTTTTTGAAAAAAAAATTTCCATACTCTAAATGAATATGAAAAATCAAGCGCTGAATCAAAAATATTATTTGTAGTTACTTTTTTGAGGACCAAATCAAATCAGAAAAATAAAAAAATATACGTAATTTCTTTACAAAACTAATATTATTTCAAAATCAATAATAAATGTTAAAATTATTAAGTGTTTTCTTTACTTTAATCCCCTAAAAAAGCGTGATGTCCTTTATGAAAGACCCCTTCTATGAAAAAAGAAAATAAAAAAATAACTTAAGCAATTTTTTTACTAAAAACTCAGTTAATTTTTTTATGATCAATTTAAATGTATATTGTTTACTAAAACGTGTTTGTTGCATCTTTTTCCAAAAGATGTTAATAATACATAGGTAGTTACTTGGTTGCAATTAATACATTTTTAAAGGGTTTTTTGTTTGTTGTCCATTTTTTAATCCAAAAAGGTATTTTGCAATCTAGGAATTTTTTTAATTTTTTTCCTATAATTTATAAACTTATAAAGTGCTCTTTTAGTTCCACCCTTACTTCCAAACTAAGAAGCCCCATAAGTCAGCTTGTGCTTGTATGCATTAAAAAATAGCAAAAAAAGTTTGGTAGGTATTATTTATGGTAAACGATTGACTTATTACCAAATACCTACTATGAACTTATAGTACCAATTTTGTTTTAGATTGCCAAGAGATTGGGGATGTTAGTAACCTTTAATATTTCATGATTTTTCTAAAGTCATTTGTTTTTGGAATAAATAAAAGAGAATTGCAAATATGATTTTGCCCATTCATTTTAAACACTAGCTGCATTAAATTAAATTAATAAAAACACTTTTTCAAACAAAAACAATGTTTTCGACAAAAGAAGATATAAATGTTAGGTTATAAGAAAATGACAAGGAAAATAATTTTTTAATTTGGCGAATTTAAAACTGGGCGTGGTATATTGTAACGCACATGCGCAAAAGTTCCCATTTAACATTTTAAATAAGGGCATCTTTATTTTATGGCAAGAACTTTTGCACATTGAATGAATTGTCGGTTATCCGTATAGGAGTTATAGGTATAATATACATATTATTTTTATTTTGTATTTTACACGTTCTTTTTATAAAATAATTGTTTATTTTTGTTATTTTTGTTGATTATCTATATTAAGAATTGGACCCCGTTATGCAACAAAGAACCAAACAACATATTTGCAGTTACGAGAAAATGAGGAAAAACGTTTCAGGTTTTTGATTAAAAAATTTATTTATAAAAACACTTTTAAACTGAACAAACGCTATCATATTTTACTATATATGAACAGAACAATAATTTTAATAAACAAAAACACTTAAAAAGTTATTCCAAGTATGGAAAAAATACCTGGTTCCCTATTGCTTAATTGAAAATTTAACAAACATCACTTGGGTCCGCAACAAAGTTACAATAAAAATAAAAAAATCTTAAGTATGTCAAAAAATAAAAGTTTTACACTAAGAAAAACACTTGGTTCTATATTGCGGCAGGAAAAAATATATTATTGGTCAAAGTCAAAGTCTAACTCGCCATTATAACCGTCTATGTCTTCCTCTATTGAAGGGTCTCCTATTAGACTAGTATAAAAATTATGATCAGCCTCAGGAATAAGATGCAAATAACTGCGTATGTCATCTATTTTTGGCTGAGCCACTGGTTTCCCGTTTGGCCATAGCGATTCCAGTAACTGAGAAAACTGTACGTCTGAATTATTTGATTTTTTTCCCTTTCTTATATTTATTTCTTTATATTCAGTCTCATCAACACAGTCCGTTTTTATAAAGATACTAAATTTTTTTTATCTAATAAGTTTTATTTGTATTCACGTTCTCTACTACTACTGCGCTACTAACTTTGTTTTTCTAATATCAGTAGTACACGGTGAGACTATTTGTTTAAACATTTAAAAAAATAATAATATACCAGCTGACCAGCACTACTGCACAACAACGAATATGCCGGCAACAACAATAAACAGAGAACGCCGTGAAACACGTGGGAAATTCGCAAAAGGGAACCAACACATCTCAGAATTAGCAAAAGGGAACCAAGTATCTTTGGATCTTTATAGTAAATTACAATCGAAATAGTTTTGGTTATGCAAGTAAGTTCTTTCGTCCGCCAAATGGCGCTAGAGCGCCAGATCTTTGGATCGCTATTGCAAATCGAGGGAAGACAATATTTGACTATGTATAATGCAATTAACTCGTTTTTTCGTAAATTGTCGGTTGGTTCCTTATTGCATAACGGGGTCCAATTGATAATCAAAAAAAGGGTTAAAAATGACAAAAATGTCAAAGTTTTAACAATACACAACAAACGTCAAAATCGACAAAATTTAAAATCATCTAAATAAAAAATCACTCACATATCACACTCAAGAATGCTTATGGCATTGTTGGTACATTGTGCCTACTTTGGCTTTTATTGTTTATTTTGTATTTTACACGTTCTTTTGATAAAATAATTGTTTATTTTTGTTAAATAAACGATTATCTATATTAAAAAGGGTTAAAAATTCCGGAAATGTCAAAGTTTTAACAATAACCAACAAACATCAACATGGAAATTTTTTAAAAATCTACATTATAAAAAAATTAGGTACTCACATTCATATCACACTCAATAATGCTTATGGCATCCCCAGGCTTTGTTTCCAGTACACATAATTCATAAACTTTCGAATTATATTTCACAGCTATGATATCTCCCGACGTTAGGCACGCAAATGATCTTAAACAGTTTTCCAAAACAGCTTTTGGGTTGGTAATGTCCAAAAATTCTGGAGATAAGGGTTGAAATTTGGAAAATGTTCCCACAGGTAAAGAAACACTTTCCATTTGTACAAAATCTCCTTCGTCCAACACCATATTATGCATCATCTTAAATAAAGTTTATAATTTTAGTGCCTTAACAGTTTTATGTTATAAATACATACCCATAGTGGTAAATAAACCTTTCCTTCATCGGCTACAAACTCAAGGACACCACAGTGAGTTGTACGATTTGTTTTCTTATTGACCAGCTTAAACAACATTGGGTAGTTAATATTCAACCTTGTCAGCTGTTCTAAAGCTGATGGGGGCATTATAACTGCAAATAAACACATTTTTGAATACATCAAACAATACTCAAAACACTATAAATACTTTTTCCACCCCTTTCGACATCCTGCCGTTCATTGCCAGGTAACATAGCCACAGAATAGCATTTGTATGTTACGTTAAAGGGCCTGGGTAGCTCGGGAAACATGTTGAACCCAAACTGAAACTGAAAATTTCGTATTAGACCTTCCAAATCTTGGATTGAGGCCATTTGCAATAGGTTTATGTCAAAACGACACTTCAAATGTCAGTTTGACACGTAAACTTACCATTTTGATGTTTTTTCACGTCAAATTGTAAAATAACAAAAGAGAGTAGTCACGATTTCTGCGATGTTTATTTTGGTATGTTTGACAGATGGGGTTTTAAGTTGGCTAAACTGAGCAATTATTTAGTTAAAATTTGTTTAAAATTATTTAAAAATGTTTTAAACTGTATAAAAGTGATAATAATACAGTAATATGTCAATAATAATTGTGAATTGTAAGTAATAACGACAAAGTTAACAAAAATAAACAAAGTTTTTATGTTCGGTAGGTCAAATGAACCATTTACGTCACAATAAAAAATATATATTTTTGTTAATAACAAAAAAATACATTAATTAACCATAAATAATAATAATAAAACTACTGTTTTACTATACTAATAAACCTTATAAATAAGATAAAATCATAAATAAAAGCAACATAACATAACAAATTTAGTAGTTCAAATGCGCCCGCCCTAATTTCCAAAAATAGGGTTTCTTTTAATAGATTATCCCGAAATAATCTAGAAATAACTAACGAGAATATTCTAGAACTCTACTAAAACGTTATAAATGAAACCGGGCACGTTTTGGCTTCAGAAATACAGTATTAAAATAGTGATATAAAGCAACATAACCTACAAAATGTGCAAAACTACAGACGAAGCCGCAAAATTCAAGGAAGAGGGTAACGAGGCGTTTAAAAAGTGCAACTACGATGAAGCCATTAAATTATACAGCAAGTCCATCAATTTAACAACCACAGAATGCAAAGAATTGGCAATTTATTACAAGAATCGTGCTGCAGCTTACATCAAGATTGGAAACTATGAAAAAGCTTTACAGGACTGTGAAGATAGTTTGAAAATAACCCCCAGGGATCCCAAAGCGTTATTCCGACGTTGCCAAGCATTTGAAAATCTCAAACGATATGAAGAGGCTTATAGAGATGCTACACAAATTTTTAAAGATGATCCAACAAATAAGGTAATACAGCCGGTCTTGGAGAGATTACACAAAATAGTGCAGGAGAGAATGCAAGAACAAGCTAAAATCGGAAACAAAATTGATTCCATGACAAAATTATGCTTTGACTTAACAGCTGATCGAGAAAAACGTGAGATGGCATTTAATAATTTATTGGTACTGTCTAGGGAGAGAGCTGGGAGTGAACTGATGATTAAATTACCCATAGTGCAAGAAATAAAGCGATTATTAAAGGTAGAGAAGAATAGAGAGATTTTTATCACTGGTATAAGAATTATTGGGGAACTTTGTAAACATGATGAACATAAGGCAAAGACAGTTCTTCAAACCGCTGGTATACCATGGTTTTTGGAAATTTTGGACTCCAAATGTGAGAAACAAGTCAACACTGCTCAATGGTGCATGCAAGTAATATTAAACACCTTGTCGGGGATGGATAATAAGCCTGATACTAGACCCAAAAAAGACCTAATTGAAAAAAATAAGGACACTATAGATACCTTACTGAAATGCTTAGTATTCTCTATAAACAACCCTGCTATATCGGGTCTAGCCAGAGATGCCATTATAGAGCTAATAATGAAGAATGTTCACTATACTGCACTAAGCTGGGCTGAAAATTTGGTAGAAATCGGCGGTGTAAAAAAACTTATGGATTGTGCTTCAGAATTGGAAGAATATCAGTATGAATCATCAATGTTTATAACACCTTCAACAAAAACCATAGCCGCGGTTTGTCTAGCTAGGATCTATGATAATATGTACTATGACCAGGCTAAAGAAAAATTCATGCAAAAAATCGAAGATTTTATCAAGGAAAAATTGTTAACACCCGACATTGAGTCCAAAGTAAGTATCATTCTATTGACTGCCACATTTTAAAGAATGTTAAATATCTACATAGTGTCTTTAGCATGAGCCTTTTTAAATTTATTTCAACTTAAATCAACTTAATTTGGTTAAAGGAATATCTTTTGCCTTTAACTTTTTTCGCCAAAATTAAAATTAACAAACTTATCGCCAATCTTAAAAAATGGCGCAGTCCGTTCATAGCAATATAATTTAATAATAATTTTTTTAGGTTAGGGTATGTGTGGCTATAACCTCTCTACTACGCGGGCCCCTGGACGTAGGCAACTCCATCATCGCCAAGGACGGCATAATGGAAATGATTTTGGTAATGGCAAACACTGAAGACGAACTCCAGCAGAAAGTAGCTTCAGAATGTATTATCGCAGCTGCCAGCAAGGCCGACAAGGCCAAGGCTATAATAGCGCAGGGTATCAACATACTAAAAAAATTGTACAAAAGTTCGAATGATGGTATAAGAGTGAGAGCTCTTGTTGGGTTGTGTAAATTGGGGTCATCCGGAGGCAACGATGCGTCGGTAAAGCCGTTTGCAGAGGGCAGCACCGTAAAGTTGGCCGAAGCTTGCCGCAGATTTTTGCTACATCCAGGTATGTATACCATGTTGAAAAATAGAAGAATTTAAATGTCATGGTTTTCTTTAAATTACTCTATGAGTACAGTTTTTTTTTATTTGGACTGTATTTAAAAAATGGTACTTCTGCTGAAGACCTTAATTAAATACTCTGACACTGCCAAATTGGCAGTAATATTTATTATTGATAAGTTACTTGTTAATTATTATACAAGGTGTCCCTAAACTTAGTGGCATAAATTTAGGAGCAGATTAAGTAAGTCAAAATAAGACGAAAATCTAAATAAATATTTTTCTCAATTACTTATGTTTAAAAGATACAGGGTGATAAAGTATCATATCAGTTTTTTTAATATAACTTCTACTATGGTAGACTTGAAAAGGTGATATTTTGCACTTACTAGCAAAAAATTGCATCACCTTTCCAAGACTACCATAATAGAAGTTATATTAAAAAACGGATATGATAAGTAAAACTTTATTACCCTGTATCTTGAAAACAAGTAATTAGGAAAAATATTTATTTAGGTTTTCGTCTTATTTTTACTTGCTCAATCTTTTTCTAACTTTATGCCAATAAGTTTAGGGACACCTTGTATAATATTGATATAAAAAGATAACTGCAAAAAAATAATATCAGATTCTAAAGTAAAAGAATGGCCAAATGGCAGAAAAAGTGCATCGCCTTATGGACATTTTTGGAGTAAAAAAGGTTTTATAAATATTCAGACTTAATAAGCAGATCAAAAATTTTTGAAATTTTTAAAAATAAGGGAAATAAAAAAACAAAAAATAAAAATTATTTTCTGTTAGGTTCAACCTTTTTGTGAAAAATCTAGTAGTTAATTTTCGTGTCTTTAAAAATAGCATCCATTTGGTTTGAAAAAGTTAAGCAATAATCACGAAACTTTTTCTTCTTTCAATTTGCAAGTTACTGATCATTAATAGTCCTGTACAATATGTACATTATAATTATTATTAAGCCACTACAAGTATTAACATCCAGTGGCTTTAACAAATTACCCATTCACCATTGGAGTCCAATGATTGGACAACATTTACGTGTGTTCGAGGATTATTATCCGCTAGGAATACTTTGTCTCTCTTGGGCCGTAGTCACCTATATTTAACTACTTTTTCACCAAAAGCCAAATTAATTGCATTTTTAACTACGAATTTTGACTTAACTTGACAACTGTTCAATGTAACCTACAATAATTTAAACATATCCACAATTACATTATAATTACATTTATAACTATAGTTTAGTTTGTTTTAATTACCATCCAAACCCCTAAATTTGCAACGTTGCCGTAGTCCAGATAAAAAAACTTTAGATCTTTGAAACTGACGTACTATTTTCAATTGTTACAGGCAAAGACACTGATATTAGAAAATGGGCCGCAGAAGGCCTTTCATTTTTAACATTGGACGCTGAAGTAAAGGAAAAATTGATTGAAGACAAACCGGCCTTGAGATCCTTAATAGAATTGGCTAAAAGCGGCGACCAATCAGCTTTGTACGGCGTCGTCACAACCCTAGTGAATCTGTGCAACGCCTACGAAAAACAAGATGTAAGCTGGTTGCCTAAATCAATTTTTTGTCGTGTAAATTAATCCGTCTTGTTTCAGGTTCTACCGGAAATGCTTGAGTTAGCGAAATTCGCCAAACAACACATACCGGAAGAACACGAACTGGACGACCCGGACTTCGTGCAAAAACGTATTATCGCCCTGGGGAAAGAAAACGTCACCACGGCGCTGGTGGCCCTCAGCAAAACAGAGAGCGACAATTCCAGGGAATTAATGTCCAGAGTTTTTAATTCTTTGTGTGGAGAACGTGAATTGAGAGGCCTTGTTGTTTCCCAGGGAGGTGTTAAAGTTTTGATGAATTTGGCTTTAAAAGGGACTGATAAAGGTAAATATTTTATAGTTAATAAAATATTTTTAATGAGTATGAGTATGAGTATGAGTATGGGAACGTATGGCAAGCCCCAGATATATTGTCATCCACTGAACCCGGGGTTATATTACCCCCTTTCCGTTCTCCTGCGTATCCCGCCAAATCACAGCATTACCTGTGTTTGTTGGATCCGAAGTTTTTACGCCGGTTGGTAGATCCACCCTAGGAGTTCGTGGATGACAGTGTCAAAGGTTAAGGCAGCTCCCGGAATTTTTGTCAGCCGGGTCGGGCCATACGTCCAGTTTAGGAAGGGTTTTTGGAGGACATTGAACTGACCCAAAACTAAGTACAATCCGGAATCCTCCTCAACCTAGGCCTTAGTAGTACCCCCATTCAATTGGTATTCGTGAATGGGGGGTGGGTATGTTAGTTAGTTTCTTACTCCTATCTTTGTTGGTTTACTTCCGGTTCGTCAGTTTCTGTGTCCGTCTCCGAGTCGGATTCCGGAAGTTGATACAGTTTTTCCGTCTCCTCCCGCATACGGTTTTTGTGGGAGCTGATTTGTTCCCAGCTGGCGAGATCGGTTTGTGAGAATTGGATTGTCTGGGCCAGGGTGTCGTGGAATGTGTAGCAAGATCTACCGACTTTTTTTGACCGGTTGCTATTGTTATGTCTGAAGGATATCTTGTCAGTACGCCCCTGTTCGTGATGTATTTCGATTGCGACGTTAAATATGTCTGATGCTGCTATTATTGTTTTTAAACCCAGCCAGAAGCCGTTTTGTGCGTGGTCCTTTAAGTACGCCTCTGTTTTGCGTTCCCAGTCGTTAATATGCGCGTAGCGGTGGGGATGGTCAAGGATCGCATCCTGTAAGTATGGGCTGTAAGTCTCCATGTGTGTTCGTAAGTGGTTATTTAGTCTTTGTCTTAATGCGTATGTATTTATTGACCCTGTCAGGCTATTTCTAGTTGATGGGCCAAGCTGGCCACTAAGCAATTTCCGTCGGATGGCATTTTAATTATTCCCACCGAATGATTGCTCGTGTTTACTTTTTCCATGTTTGTTTGGTTTGTGTTTATTATTATTTATGTTTTGGCGTTTATTTATGGTATTAGTCAAGTGTTTATTTGGGGGATGGAGTCTTATCTGCCTTTTCTGTTTTGTTTATGTAATGACTTGTGTGGTCTGTCTAATAGGAATGTTTACTTTCTGGTGCTAGCTGGGAAACTTAAAATTCCTTTTCGAAATATGATACGTTTTACTAGATTTTTTGAATAAAATGGTTTGTTATTAGACATGCACTGAGAGAACGAAATATTTGTTAATAACGAGGCACGTTAACTATTAACATATCGTTGAGTTGGATATGGCGAAAGAAATATTAATTTGGGTCTAAGAACTGGTTAAGTTGAATTAAAGAAGCTCATAACGTATTAGCAAATGTAGATATATTAACTGTTAATATATCAAAATTCCATTTTGTAAAAAACTACGGCAACGTCACATGCTTGCGCATATTGCATTTAAAATTATGTTGACAAATGTTAAAACGTTTTATTTAGGTATATTAACTGTTAATATATCACAGTTCCAAGACAACTTTATCCTTTATTTGTCTGAAACACAGTCACCGGACGATGTTTTAGTAATTAGTATATATTTGTTCACGATTAAGAAATTTTTTTAATAGTTAACAAATATTTTAAAAATCGCAACTGTTTTGATTCTTAATATTAAATATTTCGTTTTCTCAGTGTGCAGTTAGAAAAATTACTTAGCTTGGATATTCGGCTATAATCCTGATGCTCGGTCTTTCACGGTCTGTCCGATGTTTCTGGACCTCCCTGCAGGTACTTGATAGGTTTTGGTTGCGACTATCCCTTCTGACCAGGTGGACCGTTGGCCTTTATTACTTATTCAATTGCACTCTTTTACGGCTTTAATGGGAGATCTCCCACTCTTCACACTTGTTTCACATTTTTTTTTTGCACTTGTTGCACTCTTTTTGCACTTGTTGCCCTTATCACACTTTCCGCACTTGAATGTTTATTTATTTATTTATTTATTTATTTATTATTACCGATGACCGATATTTCCGAATACTTTGGTTTGTTTTTGGAACTTTATTATATTTCTCTCGTATACGCTGCTAGGAGAGGTCTCTTTAACCACTTGACACGTCTATCCACTTCGGATGTCCCGACGCAACTGTTATAGTTAATAAAATATTTTTAATGTAGTTTAAATTGTGTTCAAATTTAAATAATATTTTAAAAGATATTGGTAAAAACGTTTATCTAACGCTTTTTAAGAATGTGAATATTATTTATCAAAATATCAGTTATTTTATAATTTCTACATGTTGCACATTGTTGAGTTATAACTCATGAGGTTAAAATTTTATATACCTAATATGTATGTAATAATATTATATATATTACATAAACGAGCGTAATAAATAAGTAATATTTTTCATATTTAAAGTCAATTTTCTTTGACATTTTCTGACAACTGTCAAGCGGTTTTAACCTCACTTTTCTACAATCTGACATCTGTCAAACTGTTTTAACCTCATTATTTCCAAATGTACAGTGGCGGACACAGAATTTTGAACGACTATCATCCCATTGACATCAAACTCTAAACTTCCCTTATGGATAACTAACCTTACTTCCGGTAATAACTAGTCTTGTCCTTTTGAAAGCGAAAGCAAAAATGGTCAATATTGTACCTTTGCTATTTAAATTTTTATGCATGGACAACCAAATTATGACGTTTAAAATTCCGTGTCTGCCACTTTAGAAATTATTGTATTCAATAATTTCTAAGGGCTGCTTACATTATAGACTAAGTGGTGAGAGCCTAGCTTTCGGCGCCGTGTTTTCTATACTATTTTTTTAAATATATTATGGGAAGACTTCATAGTAATACTATTTATCTACTCCTATTGCATAATTTTGTTTTTTTTCGTAAATATTGATAAACAGTCAAGTAATTATAAACCTATAAAATTGGTAAAAAGTGAGGTTAACCATTTGACAGATGTCAGATTTTATTTATTTAATTCTGAAAAACATTTAATTATCTACTTATTGGAGTAGATAAAGTATAGTATAACACCCGAGATTTTGCGCAATATTCACTCGGAAGATTTAAGACTCTCGTCTGGCGACTCGAGACGTAAACCTCATCCTCGTGAATAATAGCCTGCATTATCTCTCGTATAATAATATACTATTATCTACTCCTATTGAATAATAATGTTTTTCTACGCTTATTACGGAATTTGACAGTTCTTATATGACTTTTTAATCTGGAATTACGTATATTCCATAAAGTGTTACAGAATAATTATTCCGCACAGGTTTTAATGATGGAATGAGCACTGGGGGCGACATCTCTATGTTTATTTTATAACTCACTTGTATTCCTACCAAATCTAGTTTTTTCAGAAAGGCCCGGTAGAAAATATTAATCGGTAGTGTATACAATAGGATTTAAAACAGTTTGCGTTAATAAAAATACCCAAAATATATCTTCTTTACAAGCTAGTTGTAATTCTGTTTGGCCGATTTAGTAGGATCCTATTAGAATATTTAGGTTTGACTTAGTCCCAAAGAGATGGCAGCACTGGTTAATTGTTTACGTCTGTCATAAGTTAATTCAAAATTTGAAATTCAAATAATAACTTATTTGTCATTCCTTACAATTTGTCCATTTCTTCTTTATACTTCCTAATTTAGGTTCTGCAAAATTATGTAAGTAATTTTTATAAGCTTATTTAAAAATTATCTTATTTACTACCATCATAAAATCTAACATCTGTCAAAAGATAACCTAACTTTTTTCCAATTAAATTATTTCTCTGGTATTTTTTATAAGCGTAGAAAAAGTATAGTCTGAAACACGTTTGGAATTGCATATTCCACTCTCGTGAAACCGTCACACTCGCCTTCGGCTCGTGTGACAAACTTTTCACTCGAGCGGAATATGCTGTATTCCAAACTTGTTACAGAATATACTATTATTTTCATGAATAATGATTCCCTTCCTAAGAATGAAAATAAATATTAACGTTGTTAGGCAACAGTGATTGGCCGATTTCAATATTCACTGTGATTTGAACCAATCAGGTTTTAAATTGGGAGAAGGCGAATATATATATATATCAGTGGCGGCTGGTGGATTTTATGTATACCAATATCTCAGTTATTAGACATGGGACCCACACCATTTATTAAAATAAAAAAATATTTAAAATGGTATAAAAACTGTAATATTTGGATTTTTTAAATAAAATTTTAAATTTGTCGATAAATTATAGTAGATAATAAATTGCACCACTTTAATTTGAAATATCTCAAATAGGGGGGCCTGGAGGCAGGGTAGGCGACAGGAAAAACTAACTTTTTTTCGCAAACTTCAATTTAAATTCTGTTTGCGCCGAACTTGTTTATTTAATGTCAATATAAACTATTATAAATTTGGTGTGGGTCCCATGTCTAATAACTGAGATATTGGTATACTTAAAATCCACCAGCCGCCACTGATATATATATATATATATTATAACATTTAAAATTGGTGAAAAGTAAGGTTAACCATTTGACAGATGACAGATTTTATTTATTTAGTTTTGAAATTCATTCAATTATCTAATAAAGTATGGTACCTGCAGTATATCTCGTAAAATAATATACTATTAGTTCAAAAGTCAGATTATTATAAACCTCAGTACAAAAATTGAAATAAAATGTCATCAATCATCATTTTAGGTTAGGTTCAACTGACTAATCGAAAACGATGTGAAAAAATCCTAAACAATTGAGGCGTTTCTCGGAAAAACATCATTAGTCCAATATCGTCGAAATTTAGATATTAGCACCAACTGTTTCCTAACCTCCATATATACGTATACAAATAAGTGTTTCTCGTAAAAATGTCATAGGTTCCATAATAATTAAATATGAAATTTAGCTTGTTCTTCTAAAAACATCACAAGTCCACTCCGTTTCGTCTAAGAAAGTCACATGTGACGTTTTGGACACTCTAGAAAAGCTTCTACCTCTTTTACATGACCACAGCAATAGAAAATTTTATGATAACTTGATAAAAGACCAGAAGACCATAGCACCTGACAGTCCTGATAACACGGTCGACAACGATGATATCATCGTTGTCTAACAGCAGTGGATGCGAATACTGAGTGTGGCCATAATACAGTTTTTAGTTTTTTCATTTATTTTGTTGCTCAGAGTTAATATTTAGTTTGTAGTGTTTGTAGTAAGGAGAATTGTTCGTTTTTTTCTTCTAAAAACCTCACATGTTCAGGTATTTTTTGTGTTTTTTTCATATTTGTTTGAAAAAAAAAACATGAGGAATTCTGGACAAAGTATCTTACATTTTTTTACATGAAGTAAATAGGTCAGAAAATACCTTGGTCAAAAATGGGAATGTCGGAGAGTTTTTTTCATTTTCCCAAATATGTTAATTTTGGACTAATGATGTTTTTCCGAGAAACGCGTCAATTATTCAAATTAAAATGGTTACAAAATAGTAACTATATTATGTATCGAGTTTTATAACCGCCATTTTAGTTACGAGTTTTATTAAGCACGAGCGAAGCTCGCAAGCGAGTGTTTAATAAAAACGAGTGTCTAGATAAGTTTATAAAATGAGTTGCATAGGTACTATACTTTATCTACGACAACCACAAAGAGAATTTAAATCCAATTTTATTTGTTAAACATTTTACATCTGTCAAATCGTCGCTGTTCTGACAAAGAGGCGTAAGGGACATTTTTCCTTATTGGAGTTAAGTTCACTAAGTGATTTTTTACGGTTGAGTCTATGATCTGACAAAAGGAAATACATACATACATACATAAGTACATAATGTATGTGTGTATGTAAGTATGTATTTCCTTTTGTCAGATCATAGATTCAACCGTAAAAAATCACTTAGTGAACTTAACTCCAATAAGGAAAAATGTCCCCTACGCCTCTTTGTCAGAACAGCGACGAAATGTCAACGGAATTAACCTAACTTTTCTCTAATTTATAATAAAGCCAACTTCAGCCCGTGACAAAAATGCACAAAAGCCACTATTGCTAACTTCAGCCCGTGACTAAAACGCCATAAAGTCACAGCTAGTCAATGTAGGAGCAGATAAAACTATATAAGACACAGCGGCGAAAATCTATTAATTGCATCGCACACAATCTACTGCCTTGGCAGTAAAATGTATGCTTGGCTATAATATGAGCGTTCTCCGCCTGGTCTATAATGTACTAATATTATACACTTGAGTGTTGTAATAGGAAAATTATTATAATACTGTTTTTCAACTGATATGGAAGATATTGACAAAAATGCCTACGCTTTTTTTTTACCATGTGAATTTAGTATATCAACATTATAGTTTGTTTTATGATTTTGACACATACTGAACACTTGACGTTTTAATAAAACGGTTTTATCAATGTTGCCAATATTAGATAAATAAATTTACAGAATAAAAATATAGTAGTTTATAAAAAGAAAAAAATTAAAGATTCATTTTTTTGGTTAAAATTTAGATAGATTGAGATAAAGGGTCAAAACTTGGTACACAGTATTACAAGAGGTTTTAAAATAATTTGTTGAAATTTAAATACTGTATCTTGACTATTTCGGAAGCTATTGGCAAAAATGTAAAACCTCGCGCTTTTTTAGCATGTAAATGTAGTATATCAAACCGTAATTTTTAACGATTTTTGCAATTTTTACAGGAAAAAGACATGCTTCCCAGGCATTGGCCAGAATTGGTATCACCATGAACCCAGAGATAGCTTTCCCAGGTCAAAGGGCATTAGAAGTGATAAGACCTCTATTAAACCTACTTTCACAAGATTGCACTGCTCTTGAAAACTTTGAGTCCCTCATGGCTCTATGTAACATAGCTCAAATGAGCGAATCGGCAAGACAAAAAATATTAAAAGAAGGCGGTTTTTCGAAGATCGAATTTTACATGTTTGAGGATCACGAGTATCTTTGCAGAGCTGCCACACAAACAATTTGCAACTTGTGTATGTCTGAAGACGCCTTAAAGATGTTCGAAGGCGATAATGATAGGGTTAAATTTGTCATATCATTATGTATGGACGAGGATAAAGATACGGCTATGGCAGCTTCGGGAATGTGCGCTATACTCACTGGGGCGAGTAAGAGGTGTTGCGAAAAAGTTTTCGACTCGAAAAATTGGATTGACTCACTGCATGCTTTATTAGCTAACCCAACAGCTAGCTTACAGTATCGGGGAGTATGTATTGTAAATAACATCATAACACAGTCAAAAGAGTGCACCGAAAAACTTATGGAGACAGATATAATGGAAATATTGATGGCCCTCACAAAATTACCCGAAGAAAATAAAAAACAAGTCGTGGAATTGGCTGAAGATGCCCTCAAAACAGCTGAGACATGGGGCGTCATAAAAAAGCCCACTGAGGATGATATTTAAGATTTTTTTTGTCACCAATCATTATTATACACCATAAACCATAACTTAATCACCCCACATCGTTTTTTATACATATTTATCCCTTAATTTGTACTTAATTAACTTTACAAAGTGCCTTATTATAAGTTGAAAAAATATAATATTTAATAAATAATTGTTATGTATTTGTTGTATTTTTTACTTACGTCCTCATGTCTGGCGACCCTGGGACGTCTTGGTCTACGCGACATCCTTAAAAACGCTAAAAAACAAATAAAGCAAAAACAAATTCGGAAACTTTTGATTTTAACTTTGACAGTTAGCGAGTGGAAACTGCATTACCGACAGAGATGTGTCTAAAGTCACAAGTAAAGTGCCTTCAGATTTTTATGCTGTAAATGCCCTATTTTTCTTAATAGTTTTTACTGTTATTAGGTGCTTTCCTTTCATTTTTGAAGTGAGCCAAGCAAAAGTGAGATAAGCGAGGCCACTTACGCGCACTCATCTTACCTAAAATAGACCAAAGGAACGGTTGGTAAGCCTATTTTCTCTAAAAGTGACACTTGACAGTTTAACCCTTAAGCCTGAATTATAGATTGCCTTCCTTCCTTCCTCCCGTAGTCGTGCCCGTACGGTACGGGAATCTATAACTGGCAATACGATTTAAATAAACATTTTTGATGTAATTGTCACCATTAACATTGCCCGTTATTAATTTTAATTAAACTTAACAATTATTGATAATTTAAAATATTAAAATTACTTAAAAATATGATTTTGTTCAGAAAATATTTTATTCTTTGATTTTTTTTATTACTATAATTGCAAAATTTTATCACAAAGTATTAAAAATACCTAAACGGGAAATGTTAATGGTGACAATTACGTAATGGTCATCTTCTACGGGAGGAAGGAAGGAAGGAAGGCAATCTATAATTCAGGCTTTATGTTCTGTGGTTTAACCATTTACCTCAACGGTTTAACGCAAAGATTAAAGACTTAACGAACAAAATGTCGAATCAAATAATACAGGTAGTTAAAAATATAAATCCAATTTAAACAATAATAAATACCATTTTTTTATTCTTTAATTTTATAGAATGTAGTGAATGTAATATTCAGCAGCGATTCTGAAAATACTAGTTTAATCGTATCGTATCATCGTAATCGTAAATTACTATTTAAATAGTCATACCTACAATTGTAGGTATTCTAGTCGCCGAATGAATCATTCAATTTGAAATCCGAATGAAAATATGCGATTAATAATCGCGGATTACTTAATTCGAAAATAAACGGCGATTATTAATCGCATACTTTCATTCGAATTATCAATTCGATTAAATTATTCCGATATTGAAATCCGAATGAAAGTATGCGATTTATAATCGCCGATTATTTAATCGAATTATCATCCGATTATTGAAATAATCGTATCGGATATAATCGGTTATTGATATAATCCGATTATGCCCATCACTAATATTGTTTGAATTTTCTTCTGTTTTGTTTGATAGAAAGTGTACAACCTCACTTTTTGGCGTGCATCTATCCCCACCACCAAGTAATCAAAATTTCTCATTTGTAAGTGTGCTCCGGAGGTTGTGCTTGATCGGTAAGGGGGGAGGTAAAATTCTCACTTTGGCTTACCTGTCATTTTGCAAATGGAACGGTCTCTAAAGTGAGATAAACCAAGGTGAGGTAAGAATATCTAAGAATCGTGGCAAAAGGAAAGCACCTATTGTCAGAAATAATACTATAGTATTATTTTTATGGTTATAGACATTATCTAAGGTAGGTATTATTATAGTTCAAGTCTCAAAATTACATTAAAAACCTTAAAAACGTTTATCCAATTGGACAAAATAAACAACTAACAGGCAATATAATACTCCATATATATGTAATACATAGGTATCATATGATAGGTAAAGTATATATAATATAATATATTATACTATATTATAGTATAATATATATCTAAGCAAGGTGAAAAGTGTGCGCTGGATTTTACCCTATTTTAGGATAAAGCTGGATTTATAGTACATTGGCGGACACGGTATTTTAAACGTCATAATTTGGTTGTTTATGTATAAATCTGTAAATAACAAAGATTTAAAACTGACCATTTTTGCTTTCGCTGTCAAAATGACATGAAGTAAGGTTAGTTGTCATAAGGAAAGTTAATATTTTGATGTAAACAGTATAGTCCAGATACAAGGGTCTCTGGTATAGTCGTTCAAAATTCTGTGTTCGCCACTGTACATAGACGTAACGTTGACGTAAGACGTAAAAAAATTATGTATGCCCGTTTGTTACGTATCCAGTGCGTCTACTATACGTCTACGAGTATAAATCCAGCTTAATTTGCGAATCGCGAATTACTTTATTTTATGATGCCAATAGTAAAAAGGCCGATTATTTTAATTAATTAATTTATTTTAATTAATAACTATTTTGTAGAATATGACACGACCATTTATTAATGGTAACGATGCTAGTGTACTTTTATTTACTTTTTGGAGGTGTTGCTAATAGCATATCATCGTGGTGCAGCTTAGTGACTTGAGCCACACACATGTTTCAAGATTCCCTCCATTCCGCAGTACACAACTGTCAATGCAATAAAAAACTGCAAAAAAAGTTTGTGATTATTCACGACGTACTTAAATGTGTGATTAATTGTTAAAATAAAGTTTTATTGGTCGTGTGGTTAGCTTCTGTACGCGTAAGTATTAAAAACTGTTATTTTTAAGGTAAAAACATGAAAATAAAATGTTAAAGAATGTCATGTAAAGTAGGTTACTGCATGTCTGCGAATTCCATGCATATGTTCGGGGATTATTTGCTCTAAAAGGAGAGTGATTAAGCGTTTAATTGGGTGTAGGTGTACTGTTGTTGGCATTCAAATGCACTGAACGTGTGCCAATTGGACTGTATTGTTCATGAAGGTAAAATTTAAGGAATTTACATTTGTTGTGTACGCTGAATGCCAATTATATTATTATTAGTCGGGTCAGTGATTGAAATATTTCTTAAGTGTTCACTAAACATTGCAATTTCCGTGTGTAAAAGTATGTCAAGTTATTATTTTAAGTTTTGAATGACTATATAGTTAAGATTTTTAACTTTTATTAGAGATGGGAAAATTCCCATTTGACGAAAATTCCCGGAAACTTTCCATCGAAAATTCCCGAAAATTTCCGAAAGTTTAAAAAAAAAAAATTTATTGCGAAAATATTTTTTTTTATGCCAGGGATTTGCAAAAATATATAACACATTAACTTTTTGTCAAATTTTTGGTTGCATTAACGACATAGATTTTCTTACAAAACTTGCTTGAGAGCATGGTCTTTTTTGTTTTTTTGCACTATTTTGTAATAATTCCAAACACTAGATTTTTCTCTTGGCATTGTGCTATGCCTATAAATAAACAACAAAAATGATTTTAAATTTGTTTATTTTTTTTAAAAAGTTTTTTGTGTTGATGCTGAATAATCCGGCTTCATTGAGGTTATGTAACATATCTTACATTATTTATACTTCTTCTTCTGCTTTAAATTAACACAAATTAAATTCTTATTCAAAGTTTCTTGGCCTTGTACAGTTGTATTCATTAAAAAAGCGTACAAGAATTAGAATGAGAGAAAACTGTCAACATCATTGCGTAAAACCGGCTTTCCACTGACTTAAGTCACTATAACTGACAGTAGAAAATAAAAATGCCTCGTCAGTTAAAAAGGCTCAAATAGTATCAAGAATCGAAGAAGAATGTTCAATTCATACTGTGGTATAATAGAAATAAAAAATCTATATTATAATATAAAAATCTATATTATATTATAAAAATTAAGCAACGCTGGGAACAGGAAGATTTATTAAAACAAAAAGTTGGTTCAGGTCGTCCCAAAATGTCCACCCCTGCACAGGATGCTGCTTTTTTGGGATATCTGAGGATTTATGGGAAACTATACAATTATACTATACCTACTATACTAAATATTGTATTAAATTTAATTCAGTTCATCCCAAGTAGATTGGCTCAAGTAATAGAAAAACAGGGATGCATGACTAAATATTAATTTTTTTAAATGTTTGATTTTTTTTCATTTCTAAAAGGTAATAATTTTTGTAATATTATTTAACTAACCTACGACGTCAATGCTCTTTATAACCTATAGTAATTATTTTAATGACTTATGTAAGTGATAAGCCGGTTTTAAGCAATAATATTATTTTGACAGTTTTCTCTCATTCTAATTCTTGTACGCTTTTTTATTGAATACAACTGTATCATGGCCTTAATAAAAATCAGCGGTTAAACAATTTACATTTAAATGAAAAAAACAAGGAAAGTTTCCAAGGAATGTTTCCAAGGAATGTTTCCGGTAGCTTAAAAGAAACTTTCAAAATGAAAATAAATTCCCAATTGGAAACTTTCCGAAACGGAAAGTTTCCTTAAAATGGAAACTTTCCGATTCCCATCTCTAACTTTTATATTTGTTTATTATGTGGTAGGTATTTATAGGAAATTTGTATGGGTTTTATTTATGATTATTTTGGCAGTTTATTTATGTTGGGATATTTGTTTGAATATGCAAGATGCATACCTGTTTTATAATCCTATTTTTACTGTTTGGAATTTCCTTAGGGTTCCCAGATTTAATTTAAATTTACCTACCTTAATAACAAAAATGTAACAAAGATACAATGCAAATTTTGAAGCAAACATTAAAAAACCGATAAATCCACTTTTACATGTAAAGTACCTACAGATTTTTACTAATTTTTTGACTCGACATTAAAGTAAAAAAAAAACGATATAGAGACAAATCAAAAGGAGCAACATTTCCATTTTAATTGTTTTAAATATTTGGGGGATTCTGTTGTACACAGTTTTGGCCAATATCTCAGAATCCGTTAAAGTGGATTTATCGGCTTTTGCATGTTTGCTCCGCAATTAAATTGGACGTAAATAAGGGAGGGATAACTTTTGACTTTTTTAAAAACCAGGATTTGAAGGTGCACCTAACATGTTAATACCAGGACATTTTGTTTTAAAAACAGTATGTAGTTACTACATACTGTTTTTAAAACAAAATGTCCTCTTTTATACTACACTGTAGTATAAAAGAGGTAGTTACTATTAATATGCAATAAAAACATAGTTAATAAATCTCAACTAGGTAATAGAATAAAAAAAAATTGATTGAAGTATACCTACCTATCCAATTAAATTATACGGTAAATGAAATGAAGAAATTAATTACATATGTTTGTAATAGATTTAAAAAAACCCAGGACATTACTAAAAAAACTATCCAGGACTCCTCAAAAAGCGGGACCAACCCACCTTGAATATAAATAATTGAGGTACCGCTAATTTCATCTTATTATCTGAAAAAAATGCAACATATATTTTTTAAATTAAGACTGCTATACCTACGCAAAAAAATCATATATTGTTTAGTTTCAGAAAATTAGCGTTAAACTGATAGATGGTAACTTCGATTATTTGAATTTAAATGTCAAAGTGACACTTTTTGTCGCGGCTTTTGCATGTTTGCTCCGCAATTAAATTGGACGTAAATAAGGGAGGGATAACTTTTGACTTTTTAAAAAACCAGGATTTGAAGGTGCACCTAACATGTTAATACCAGGACATTTTGTTTTAAAAACAGTATGTAGTTACTACATACTGTTTTTAAAACAAAATGTCCTCTTTTATACTACATTGTAGTATAAAAGAGGTAGTTACTATTAATATGCAATAAAAACATAGTTAATAAATCTCAACTAGGTAATAGAATAAAAAAAAAATTGATTGAAGTATACCTACCTATCCAATTAAATTATACGGTAAATGAAATGAAGAAATTAATTACATATGTTTGTAATAGATTTAAAAAAACCCAGGACATTACTAAAAAAAACTATCCAGGACTCCTCAAAAAGCGGGACCAACCCACCTTGAATATAAATAATTGAGGTACCGCTAATTTCATCTTATTATCTGAAAAAAATGCAACATATATTTTTTAAATTAAGACTGTTATACCTACGCAAAAAAATCATATATTGTTTAGTTTCAGAAAATTAGCGTTAAACTGATAGATGGTAACTTCGATTATTTTAATTTAAATGTCAAAGTGACACTTTTTGTCGCGGTTGTAACGCGAAAATGTTAGTCCTGTGTAGAGCATAGTACCGTCGAGATGATAGTACATTATACTTTACCGAATCGTCACCCTAATATAACAAGGTTGTATGTTAAAAAAACAAAAAAATTAAGTCCATGTTTCTACAGGCCCTACGTCTTACATACCACTTAAAAATAATTCTATAGAATGTATATTCTATGTATACATATATATAGAGTTATTTTTAAGTTGTATTTCAAGGGTGGATTACATAAAACCTTGTAGAAACATGAACTCAAATTTTTCGGTTTTTTAACATACAACCTTGTTATATTAGGGTGACGGAATATACTTAAATACGTTTTAATTTAAGACATTCTCTTTCTTATTTTACTTTCTTAACGCTTACTTTTACATTGCATCTCTCTTGGCGCACAGGTATTCAATTAAAAAATCTAATTGGACAAGAACGCTTTACTAAAGCGGCTTTGGTATAATTCAACAAAATATACCTACAGGGTGTCCTAAAAATGTATAAAACAATGTCTAAAATTTTCCATGATATCAAAAATCAGTGTCTAATCTATTATGGAGGTTAGTCACTAAAACAACAATACGGTAAAAAACGATTTTCGTTTAAAATGACTTGGTGTAACACGCTTGTCAAGACTTGCAACTCAACTCACGCGCTCTTTTCAAGGTCATCCAAAAGTTTTAAATCTCGCGAAATATTTTTTAATGCCAAACTCGCAATAAATTATCATAACCAGGATACAAAATTTGTATTACAAATATGTATATTTGTATCATGATCCGGACTTTATTGTATGCGGGCTAGGGTTTCAAAGTGTCAAAAAAAAACAGAAATTGGGGGAAAAACCTGGTTTTTCCAAGGTCTTTTTGTAAAAAATTGATTTTTTTGTTGAAAATATACACTTTTTAAAAAAGTAGCAATCAATATATTAACATTATTTTATTTGAACAAATACCCTTTATTACAGAAAAAAAATGTATTTAAGAAAATAAAAGTAAAGCAGCTGAAGGACTACTGTCAATAGCCTTTGAACTTGGTTTTAGTTCAATAAAGCATTATTATTATTAAAAGTAAACGTTAAATATACGGTCGTTTGGGTCTTTTTTGCAAAAAGTTTATCAAAAATATTCAATTACAAAATAATAAATTAAAGTTACATTACAAAATTATAATTTTATAAATCGAAGTGTCAAATAAAACGAACGTTATGTTAATACAGCACCGAATATATTTTCTTTCTGAATTAAAATAAAAGGAATAATTATAACCATAATATTATGATTCACTTTTTTCTCGATATCAGTGTGCGGATATTATCCGTAAAATGCTTATGTCCAAACATTAATTTTTAATATTTACTATTAAATTTTAAAACATGTATTTTTGAATGGTGACGTTTAAAATTGGAAATTCACGTTGTCCTAAAACTGCAACCATCAAATGTGAAATTTATTATCTTTCATCATTCTCTTGCAATTTCGCATACAATGTTATCTCTTGTGTAATGTAATGCATTTTGTTTCATTTTAAATAAAAAGTTTATCTACAGTGTGACTCATTTGTGTGCGACTCGCCCCTGTAAAGTGTTAATTTTTTGTGCGATTTTAACCGGATTTATTTTAAAGTGTAGATCTTCATAAACTGTATTGCTTACTATGTCAGTTTTTAAGAGTAAATTTTTAGAATTCATATTAGCAATTTACAAAAATCTATGCACGGCACTGGATTTACCACCTCTTAAAGCTACCCTGTACTAAATTTTATTAAAAAAAATTAAGCAGGAACGATTTTGTAGCCAAATTAAAAATGAACAATAATAACTATTTACAAAATTTATTCTGTCAAGTTACCCATGAAAAAAACATGGAATGGTATATTATGTATCAAGTTTTATAAACGCCATTTTAGTTACGAGTTTTATTAGGAACGAGCGAGTGTTTAATAAATACAATTGCCTAGAAAAGTTTATAAACGAGTTAATATTTAAGAATTTAAAGCCAATTTTATTTGTTAAAAATCTGTCAACTGTCAACGAATTTAACCTCACTTTTTCCCTATTTATAATAAAGCTAACTTCAGCCTGTGACTAAAACTCCATAAAGTCACAGCTTATCAATGGGGAAGTGAATAAATAAAATAAAACTAATAGCAACATGGAATTAATATTCCTATGATTAGTTTTGGCAAATAAAAAATGCATAGAAACTTAAAACAACAATGAAACAAACAATGGAGAATTCCAAAGATTTTCTACAATTAGATTTTTGTAAAACAAGCCAGCGCAGCCATTACTCCAGAACAAATATGAAAGTGTATTGAAATCTCTATTTTTTGTTTCATTGTTGTTTTAAGCTTCTGTTGCGTTTTTTATTTGTTAAAACTAAGCAGAAGAATATTTATACCATGTTACTATTAGTTTAATTTTATTTCAATGTTTTTTTCATCTTACAGAATAAATTGTTTTAAATAAGTATAAGTAGTAATTGTTGTGCATTTTTAATTTGGCTACAAAATCTTTCCTACTAAAAAAAATTCAATAAAATAAATTTAGTAGGTATACGGTCGTTTTGAGGGGTGGTGAATCCAGTGCCGTAAAAAAATCGCTAATATGAATTATTTTGTAAAAATATGGTGTTTTTTCTCTAAAAATACAGTTTATCGAGATCTACACTTTATAACAAATCCGGTTAAAATAGCACAATAAATAAAGATTTTACAGGGGTGAGTCACAAATAAATGGGTCGCCCTGTATATCGCCTTTTTATTTATAAGTATAGCACATCTGTTTAAAATAACGTTCGAAGTTTATTTATTTGACCAAATGTGTTTCTAAAAGCCAATAAATAAAAAAGGTCTACCTCTCACTTTTTAAGTGTTATTTATTGGTTTTAAAAATGTCATGAGTACCTACAGGAATTAATTTGTGGGGCGTTTAGTAGGTACCTACTTAACCATTTTTAGTCGCAAAGATTTTTTATTTCTTTCAATATTCTTGTATTTTGTGTAATAAACTGTGTTTTTAAAAAATATTTTTTTTTTAGTTTTCCAAGATGGAAAAGCTACAAGAAGATGTGATATCCATGATACGAAGTTGTCTTATTTCTAATAAGTCAGAAATGACTTTAAAACATCTTGAAAGTAAGTATTACAATTATTTTGTTAAAAAAATAGTAATGGCAGCCACTTCTCATGTCATAATATTTTTGAAAGCCAAGGTTATATAGAGACAGGAAGTTTGACTTCCTATACTTGACCACGTATATTCTAAGCACACTTGATTTTTGACTGACCAATCACAATTCGTTTAATTTGATATTTGAGAATTACAAAAAACATAATGGCCGCCCTTAGAGTCTGCGCAGTAGGTTGCCTAACTTGCGAAACAAGATAGAACAGACTTTGTTGTGTGGATTGTGCTCTACTGTTTTTTATTTTTAAAATTAAAATGCTTTTTGTTTTTCCAGATGATTACAGAACTTTATGTGGGGAGCGAATACCGTACACTAAGTTTGGATTTAAAAGATTGGAAGACTTCATTTCATCAGTACCAACTTTGTACCTTAGAACTGCTGGGAATGAAACGTACGTCAAAGCTCAACTAAGCGAGAAATCTCAGCACATTCAGAGCATGGTTAATAAACAAAAATCGTCTAAGAAATCCTCGTAAGTAAACAAAAACCCTCACCGGAAACAAAACTATTGTGTTTTATGTTTATTTTTTTAGCCTGCAAAAGATAAGATTCAGCAACGCAGTGTACAGGCAACCGACGCAGCCCAACAGATGGCGCCCCAAGGAGGTGAACGTCAAATGGAAGTCGAAGTTCCAGAACTCGCCGCGATTGGCGGCAGTGTCGCACAACCAGTTCGTCAACAGACCCGTCAACAGGCAACCACCGCAGCAGCAATATCAACAGGGTTACCAACATCAAAATTACCACCAATCGGCTGCCAGACAAGATTTATCACAGCGGTAAGTAGGGTTGGGAAAATTTCACTTTTTGCTTGTACTTGAAATTTCACTTGAAATTTTCACATTTATGAAATTTAATAAAATTTCCTAAATGTCTGAAATTTCATGAAATTTATTGAAACTTTCAATAAATTTCAATCACTTTAAGTGTAATATATTAATATTGAAATAAGCCCACTTGGTGACCATGGCAAATTGCCTCTCTTACCTCCTACCCCTCTGTGGGCCCCTGCACCAATAAGATAAATAGTAAATACCTATATAGGTATTTACTATTTATCTTATTTATTTAGCTATGCTTACCACAAATTTCTTGAGATTTCCTTTTAAAATATTTTTAAAATTACTAAAACTAAGAGAGATATAGCACTTTTTGCCAAAAAGTTTTTGGTAACCTAATGAGATTGTGCCACTTTCATTGTTTTATATTTATATATATATATTTATTATTTTTATATATTTTACTGAAATTTTACAAAAATTGAAGAAACTTCATCAACATTTTATGAGCCAAAGGCATTTTTTATCCGTTTTTCGATGCAATTATAGCAAAAGTAAAAGTTTAAATTAATCATGACTTTTAAAAAAAATTTTAAAGTCTGATTTAATTTACAAATTAAATTGGTAACTGAATTAAATTATTTAAATTAATTTATGCATATAAGTAACAATAATTACTTATAGTGTATTCAAATCCAAGCCAAACTAAACAAAAACGCCCAGACGCTTGATAACTCGTTCTTATTGGTCGATTTGGAATCTGTTGTAAATTATTATTAAAGGTCCCAGAGGAGGCCGCATGTGAAATTTATGCGAAATATTCAGTAAATTGCGAAACTTTCAATGCAATTTCTAAAAGGTTCACAGGCAATGTTGAAATTTTCGAATTGAAAGTTTCATTTGAAATTTTTAAAAATTTCACTTTTCCAACTAAATGAAATATTTCAAGTTTGAAACGGAAGACCAAAATTCACCTTTTTGACGATTTTTAGTTTTTTTCTTTTATTTTTAAACTTAATAAGAGCATGATTGGATTTTTTTTACGTACTTTTTTCACCAAAATTTAAATTTGACATGACTCCGCAAACGTGAATTCTTTTGTTTCTTGTGTTGGCATAGTGATATTTTACTGCTATTTTTTGATATTTCAACAAGGTATTTTTATCATTGTTTTATTTAGTTCATAAAAAGTGTAAAATTAGTAAAAGAAGTAGAGTTCGAGTGCGTTAATAACCCGGACAATCTGGTATCACGGATTCTGGGCGGCATCCATGATGGGTGATTACATTTGGTCCCCCATACGAGAAAAGGAATATGAAAACAACAAAAAACAAAGAAGGAGCCAGAATTTTTTTAAACCTATCCTTATTACAACAAAATAAAACATTCAATATCTTTAATGTTCAATATTCAATATAAAATTTAAAATAAAAATCAATGTTCAATATTAAATTTTATATAATTCAATAAAATGAAGAAAAAACGTAAAAATTCTCGAAAAACTGAATTTTGGTCTTCCACTGAAAAATTTATGACTTCGCCATTTATCCATGGATTTTTATTAACAGCAGCTTATTTTTGTTCCTTTAAGTATAATCTATACGTAAAATAAATCAAACTGGACTTATCTTTTTGATTTCTATCTTTCCCAGAAAGATATGTAAATTTTCAACCTCGATTTTTGTAAAAAAAGGACTTTTTCAACTTAATAAAATCGCTAGTATCGAAACCAAAACTATACGAAAGTTGTAAAGGGCTCAATTACCTTTGATTTAAGTGCTTGTTTGGTCAAATCGATCAATTAGAACTCGAAGTATACTGTAAAACGTCAAAACACCTCAGAAAATTTAAAAAAACTCTAAATGCTTCCATTTTAAGTGTGATTTTCGCGTTTAGTGAGCCAAACTACACAAGAAAATCATAAGGAGACATGGGCAAAAAGGCTGTAAACACTAGTATTATACAAAAGTATTGAATAGTTTCTTGAAGCCAATATTTAAAAAGATTATATGAACGTTTGTACTACTTTTAGATTTTACTGTAGTAGTGCAGTTAACTAGATTTAACAGATAATGCGTTAAAAATTTTGCGTATAGTGCTCATTAAACATTCTATTCTCTTTTACTGTGAAAAATTGCTTCTATATCGATTGTTAGTCTATTTTCAAGGGATAAATTTTGATTTACACGGAAAAATTTAAGATTTTAACGCCGGTTAACATTCCCCGTATAAGAATTTTTAATACTTGTATTAATATTTTGCAATTATAGTAATAAAAAAATAAAGGGATAACGTATTTTCATTAAAGTAATAACGGGCAATGTTAATTGTGAAAAATTGGGATGGTTACTTTATTTTCGCTTTATACAAATATTTAATTTAAATCATTTCTTAAATAATTAAATATTTGTTGTAGTAAAAGTATAGTATGCAACTCATTTATAAACTTTTCTAGGCACTCATTTAATTAGATTCTCAAGTTGGTTACTCTATTGTTTTATAGATTTATAGATCCCATACAAATATTTAATTTAATTCATTTTTATAAAATATTAGGTATTTGTTGTGGAAAAAGTATAGTATGCAACTCGTATATAAACTTTTCTAGGCACTCATTTAATTAAGCACTCGCTCGCAGGCTCGCTCGTGCCTAAATTAAACTCGTGACTAAAATGATGTTTATCTACTCCAATTGCATAATATTGTTGTTTTTTGTGAATAATGATATACATTATAAAATCTCTGCCTAACAACGGGAATAATGAACTCATTATTCAAGTTGTTAAGCAACACTGTTGCTGCAACAGTGATTGGCCGATTTCAATATTCACTGTGATTTGAACCAATCGGGTTTTAAATTGGAAGACGGCGACTATAATAACATTAAGGGTATGTTCCGTAAATCAACTTGGTTGGTTTGGTTTCGGTTAAGGTGTCCCGTAAATGAAAAATTCGACTTCGCATACAAAATACTAGTGTTCGCGATAGTGGGAAAAAATCAATATCGATAGTTTCGATGTTGATAGTTTCAAATATCGAAACTATCGATAGTTTATCGATAGTCTTTTATATACCTACTTAGGGATGCACCGGAATTCCGGCGGTACCACTAAATCCGGCCGATCCGGCCAGTTGGCCGGAACTACCGTTCCGGCCGGATCGGTATTTTCTTTTACCAAAAAATTAATCTATTCTCTGGAACTTTAAATAGAGATACTTTCTCTAAACAACTTTTTTACCCACCATTACACGTAGGCATTAAAATACGTTTTGTGCAAAAATAATTGAATTCAGTATGTAGGGTGTTTTAGGTTTGTTTATGTAACTATAGAAATATTATTAAAAATATATGCAAGTTGTAGTTTTTGACACAAATAAAAGTTTCAATAAAAAATCTTAAGTTGGGTTATGTTTTTTCAAATAAAGGTGTCCCGTAAATATGAACTAACCGAGAAAACCAGGAATTTATTTCAGTAACCAGACCGGTAACTCGTGTGTATTTACGGAACATATCCTTAAGATTGGTAAAAAGTGAGGTTAACCATTTGGCAGATGTCAGATTTAATTATTTTTGAAAATCATTTAATTATCTACTTATTGGAGGAGATAAAGTATAGTATTACACACGAGATTATGCGCATTATCTCTCGTATATTAATATACTATTATCAAACTTGATACTTAATATACTATTTTAATCCTTCTATCCTTCATCAAGGTATAATACCCTTAAAAACCGAATTTCGGAAAAAAATATTCAGTTTAATTTTGTGCTTTAACAAATATTTAAACAGTTCACGAAATTTTCGAAATTAACCTACGATTTTTGACGTTGACTGGAAAATTTAAAGTATTTTAAAATAATCTACTTATTAATATCAAGTTATGAAAAAAAATAATTATTATTATTATTTATTATTATTTTTCATAGATTACATTTACCACCTGCTGACAAAAAATTGACTTCGACAACGTCTAGCAACAACGGCAACGCTGCACCTCCAGTGGTGACCAATCACGTTCACGCAATTTCGACCAGCGGTCAAAATGGCGCTACCGGTGTACAGGGAAATGTGGCAACGCTGCGGTACAAACGAACTACCTCGGTGCCACTGGACTCCGAACCGTCGAATCCGTGTAATTCACTGATAAATGCTAAAAAAAGGATTACAAGGAAGATGTCTGAAATTACTCTCGACAGGGATAGCGGAAATAGCAGTCCCACCAGTGATACACAACCAAAGGTAATGTCATTTTTTCTCTATACTTTTAACTATACCATACTGTAACACAGTTATTCATATCTAAAGTTTAGATTTATGTCTAGGCCAAGACTTTAACTGTTGTATAGTGTTTTTTATTAAATACATAATACCAAGTTTCTAAATTTCTAAGTAAAAAATTTTGGACCAAGTTTTCAACTTGATTGTTATCCTCTCCCTGTATAAGGTGCTTTGCGGTCGTCTTCACTACTTCTTACTGGTTCATCAAAAATCAAAAAAGGTTTTTGTTTTTTATTTAAATTTTGCAAAATGGCGGCCTCTGTAGAAGGATTATTGTAAACCAAATTATCGACATATTTTTTGGGTGACTAGAGATATAAAATATCCGGAAAAATTGATTGCCCGAAAAAAACCGCCTTCCCCCAGATTATATAGGGTTTTAAAGTGTCGAAAAAATTGGGGAAAAACCCTGTTTTTTTAGTTTTTTCTCAGGTCTTGGAAAAATTGTCTTTTTGTGAAAATTTGTTTTTTTTTGTAAAATTTACGCATTTGAAAAAAGTAGCAATAAACCACCTAACATTATTTTAATTTAAAAAAAATACTTCATTACAGAAAAAAATAAAACAAAATATTGAATTAAATTAAATTGATTAAGAAAATAAACGTAAACGTTAAATATACTGTCGGTTGGGTCTTTTTTGCAAAAAGGAGTCCATTTAAAATATTCAAATACAAAATAATAAATGATTTATAAATTTAAATTACCAAATTATTATTTTATAAATCGAAGTGTCGAATAAAACGAAAGTTATATGCTTTATGCACCGAATATGTTTTTTTGCGGCCCGGTAGAATATTCTTACCCACAAGTTAAAATTTTGACAATATATTTCAAAAAATCAATTTTGGCTAATACTTCTCATAAATACTCGTAGAAAAAATAAGTAAACTTAAGGAAGTAACAAGAATATATTTAGACATGTTTCTGATGTGTCCTGTCCATGGGCTTGGAATGGTCGATAGGGTAGTTTTGAAGGGTGGTGAATCCAGTACCGTGCTTAGATTTTGTTTTAAGAAAATCGCTAATATGAATTCTTAAAAATTTACTCTTAAAAACTGACATAGTAGGCCTTGTATTTTGTAAACATATGGCGTTTTTTACTCCGAAAATACAGTTTATCAAGATCTTCACTTTAAAACAAATCCGGTTAAAATCGCACAATAAATAAAAATTTTACAGGGGTAAAGTCACAAACAAATGGGTCACACTGTATATATACCAAATTTCAAATTTATTGGCCAACTTTTTATTTTATTTTTATGAATTCATATTTTTTAAACAAAATCTAAGCACAGCACTGGATTCACCACCACTCAAAACGACCCTATACAAAATTTTATTAAAAATTAAAAAAAAAATGCACAATAATAACTACAAAAATTTATTTGGTCAAGTTATCCATGAAAAAAACATTGAAATAAAATTAAACTAATAGTAACATGGTACTATTACTATAAGTTCAATTTTATTTCAATGTGTTTTCATGGATAACATGATTAAATAAATTTTTTTCTACGACCACTATGTAAAAGTCACATTTCGTAATCGCATCGTTGCTTAGAAAATGAATCTTTTCATTGGCAAGGCAAAACACGAATGTAAAGTGACATTTCTGTGTGAAAAGTGACAGGTCTGTGTGAAAAGTGACAGGTCTGTCAAACACTTTTTAGGTTATTTTTTTGTATTTAAAAATAAAAAATAAAAGGGTCGTAGAAAAAACATTGTGTTTCACTTTTGAGAAAAGCTTCAAGCTCGTGTTAATGCCTAACGGCCTTGTGAGCAACTAATACACTCGCATGAAAAAGTCGCTTTTCAACACTTGTAAAACAAATAACTATTGTAGTTATTATGGTGGTTTTTTTTTTAATTTTGTATAGGGTCGTTTTGAGGGGTGGTGAATCCAGTGCTGTGCTTAGATTTTGTTTAAAAAAATCGCTAATATGAATTTTTAAAAATTTACTCTTAAAAACTGAGATAGTAGGCGGTGTTTTTTGTACTAATATGGCGTCTTTTGCTCCAAAAATACAGTTTATCAAGATCTACATTTTAAAACAAATTCGGTTAAAATCGCACAATAAATAAAGATTTTACAGGGGTGAGTCGCAAACAAATGGGTCACACTGTATGTTTGACTTTATAGACTACGTGAATGATTAACTGAATTCAAGCTAAATGGCATAGATGGAATCACTCTTATGTAATTCCAATGTATTTTTATTATTGTACTGCGGTGTATAATTATTAAACACAATTATTTCCTTTCCTTATTTCTCCAGGACAACCTTAAGGATGTCAATTTAAGCTAAAGATAGATAAAACTGTCTTATGAGTTACAGTTATTAAACTTAAAAAAAAAGTTGTTGCCGATTAAAAAAAAAAAGAAACTTTTGTAGAGTCCCAGTCCGGAGTTGCCAACTTTCGTTAGAACGGGAAATTCATCGGCGGATTTGAAAAAGTTTGCCGAAACTTTCGGATTGGGCGAAGTTGAAATTTCTTCCAACCAAGTTGCGGCTAAGAAAAAGGCAGAGAGGTTCTTCACCTGCAAAGTTAAGGTACAAGTTGTTAGTGTTTACCAGGGTAGTTTTTAACATTTTAACCCTCTTAGGTCGGCAAAAACACATACTACAGCTACCCAGAAGATTTCCGCGACCCCATCGAAGCCGAAAAGTACTGCTCCAATAAAGCTTTGGACGATTTGATCCCGAAACACTCACGCAGGAAGTCTCTCCTCACGGCAAACCACCTGGACATTCTGGAGCGCGTGCCTCCGATGTTGGAGAAGCACCAACACGGCATCTGGGCCTGGCAGCTGGAAATGGACTACGCCGACAAGTATAACGAAGCTTTGCCTGCGGATTGGTTGAAAATTATCGATACCAGTCAGTGTATACAGGTGGAGAAGGGGTTGGAGAGTCACGTGTTGAGGCACTGCAAACCTGGCGACGTAAGTAACCTGACATTTTAAACATCACATAAAGTTTGAAGTAGAAAAACTTTTTAAACATTTTTACAGTAGCACAAATATAAAAAATGGTAGGACAATTTTTTTTATTTTATTTGTATTTACAGCTTGACGCGTTTTGATTGGTTTACTACACTGCGCGTCAAAATTAACGCATAATAAGTAAAAAAATTCTAGCTATAAAACACCAATCTTTATGAAATTTTTTATAAAAATAATCTCAGTTTACGTGTTAGAGGGTTTTTCGAGAAAATATTTTTAACCCTTTATAGGGCGGAATCCATTAATTGTTATTTTTATTTTTTTATTATTATTTTGGATGTCTTAATTTATTTTAATGATTATTTTGAAAATCTCAACTGTTTTTTTTTAATTTATCATGGATAAAATGGAAACCACTGCCCAGATGGGCGGTGGTCTAAATGCAAACCGCATATTTAAATTAATCGTTTTTTTGCGTTTCTGAAAGGATTTTAGGTTTTTTTTTCAGGACCAGGTAATTACATGGTGTATGCTATAAAAAATCAAATATTTATTTGCAAATTGTTCACTGTGATTATTCTTATCGGAAAACGGTTTTAGTAAATTTCAATTTCTCAAAGTTTCTTCATTTTTTGATTCTACCTACTCTTGTGTTTGTGAGTAATTACAGTGGCATTTCTCTGATGCATATTTTTATTTTCACTGGTCAATTTTCAAAAATGACCTACTACTGGTAGTTTTCTATGAATCTGATGAGTAATCGCGATACTGAGTCATCTGAAAGAACATCTGCATCAGAGTCACTTTCACCCCCAAATCTATTCAAAATTTGTTTTCTGAAATTTGTACTGGATGTTCGCTCACTACGATTACGTAGGCTGGATTGTGCTGAAGTATTGGCAGAAGTTACTTGTAAACATGAAGATGTACTTGGTGAATTCAGACGAATAGTACTTGGAGACTCTTGATGGGCTATCGCCCTTAATCTCCGAATCCATAGCCTGATCTTCGGTTATACCAACAACTAGATAAAATAGTTTACTTGAATCCAAATTTTCAAAAAACCAAAAAATACTGGACTTTTATAAGCATGGATTCAATAGTCTCACGGTATGTGGGCTTGATAGAGGTTATGTTCCAAAACGATCTAAATATTTCGTTAGCGCTAACCTATTTTCCAAGTAGTATTATCACAAGTTGTAAAGCATTCAATTACCTTTTGAATTATGTGTGTTAGGTAAAACAAACATGGTTATGCTCGCTAGCAGCAACAATTACTGCAAATGTTACTTTTTCGCAATTTTGTGGGAACAGGCAATGGTTAACATAGAGACCACATTGGTTCTAACAATTGCCAAATTTAAATTGTGGCCAATATAATAGCCACTGCACATTAAAGAGAGTTCATTTATTTGTACTTTGGTCGAAGTTTGGGTTCTCTCTCATTTCTAAGTAAGCTGTAATGGCCCTTTTATTTAATAATAAAAAAACTTTTAATTTTTTTTAAGTAATTAAAAAATATGCTGTTAAAGACCGTATTTTTTTAGTATATCCTGAAAATTTTGTACAAATCAAACGATACAGCGCTTCAAAGTCGGTAAAAATGATCCCTTTTTGATTTTTTTTTTTAAGTATCCATTTTTGACGACCTTGAAACGCTGTATTTGCGTTTGATTTGTAAAAAATTTTCAGGGTATACTAACATAAATACGGTCTTTCACAGCATATTTTTTATTTACTTAAAAAAAATTCCCTAAAAGTTATTTTTCGAACGTTTTTTTATTATTTAATATAAGGGCTTCAAGGATGTTTTTTCTAAAAACCCTTGAACACGTAAACTAAGATATAAGTTAAAGTATATTTATCCAAAATTTTATAAAGATTGGTGAAGGCCTTTTTTTTACTTGTTATGCGTTAATTTTGACGCGCAGTGTATAAAAGCATTTTTTTTTAATTTTACAAAATTTTACAAAACATGAAAAAAGTTTTTTCTATTTCAGTATTTAGACACACATATTTTTGGTTTTATAGTGGTGTGGTGCTTTTTTGTATAATATCATCAAAATAATATTTACTTAAATTTGCTTACTGTACAATAATAGCATTATTAGAAGTAAAGAATATATATTTTCATTATACCTTAATTTAAATTATCAACATTTCATTTTTTATTCTTTTTATTAACGCCATTTTAGTTACGAGTTTTATTAGGCACGAGCAAAGCTTGCGATCGAGTGTTAAATAAAAACGAATGTCTTCAGAAGTTTATAAAACGAGTTGCATACTATACTTTATCTCGACGAACAGAAATAAGACAATTTTAATTCATAAATATTTGACATCTGACGAAACTAACCTCACTTATTCGCAATTTATAATAAAGCCAACTTCAGCCTGTGACTAAAACGTCATAAAGTCACAGCTTGCCAATGTAGGAGTAGATAATAGTATATTATGTATTATTAATTCAGGCACTAGCGAGCTTGCGAGCGAATGCTTAAATATGAAAAGTTTGTGTGCATAGTATACTTTTTAATGATAATAATTTAATGTCAAATGTCAAATTGGTATGTGTTATAAATACAGATAATAAATCAAAATGTATCCTTTGAAAATTGATTAAACAACAGTTTTTCACAGTAAAAGTGAAGAAAATGTTTTATTAGCATTTCACGGTTTAGTCCAAGCCCGACTTTAAGTTATTTCTAGTTTACTGCAGGCAAAATTAAAAAGTCAATACAATGTTCATGTAAACTTTTCAAATATTGGCGTTGAAAAACTATTTAATGCTTTTGTATTTTTGTATTGAGATAATAAAATAATTTTCACATTTAGTATTATTTTAGAAGAAGGGCTGAAGTTTGCTTTATAAAAAATCGGGACATTTTGTATGAATTTACCTTAATTACAAAATTGACACAATGATACAATGCAAATTGTAAATTTGACGTTACTTAATTATTGTTGATTGTGACATTTTTGTATTTAAGGTTAGTTTACACAAAATGTCCCGTTTTTTTTTTGACAGAATCTGGTCACTTTAGCTTTATTATAAATTGGAAAAAAGCTACGTTAAATTCGAGTGACAGTTGACAGATGTCAAATTTTTAACAAATAAAATTGACTTTAAATTCTGTTTTGCGTTCGTCGTAGATAAAGTATAATATCTCGTTTACAAACTTCTGTAGTCACTCGTTTTTATTATATCACAAGCTTAGATCGTGCCTAATAAAACTGGCGTGATATGGCACCGCTATTTTGTTTTTTAGAGTTTATAAATATGGAATTTTTCCACTTTATGTTTAGGTGTCCTTTTTCTAGTTTTTATCGAGCATTTGTAAAGTTATAAGAGTTACTTATTTTATAGTTTTAAACATAGAGGCAAAGATTAAATATACTCTTTCTAAGAATATATTTAATCTTTGATAGAGGGTAAAAAAAAGTTTTACTTAGTTTCCATATTATATTGTTGTTCTGACATTAAACACGTTTTAAAAAAGCAATAGTTCTTTAATCGCTTAACTAAAAACAGTACATAATATAGATAATATACTATTAAAGTAACTCTATCTTTTCGAAAATGGCCATTTTAATAGTATGTTATATCTAATTTAAATTTATAACGGTTTAAACTTAAGACACATTGGTTAATATAAAAAAAATATTTTTTAAGATGGAAAAGTTATGAATATTAATTTATCGCGCAGCATGGCTTAATCACGGTAGCTCGTACTAGGCTAAATATTTACGATAAATCTAAAACCGCATTAAAAAAATAAAAGCCCTTTAAATACAATAATACCCATAGAAGAATACCTGTGTATTAGGGTGGTTGTTAAAAATCAAGTTTTTGTAAAAAAAAAATATTTTGTGTTCTTGAATATGTGCCGCATTTTTAATTTTAGTTTTTTTTAAATAATTCACGAAATATGCAATTTAAAAAAAGAAAGATGATTTATTTGAAAATTAAATTCTTTACAAAAGGTGAAATTTTTTTTATAAAATGTGTATTTATAAAGATATTTTAAAAAATGTTGCGTTAATTTTTAATTTATTTTTTAATGACCACCCTAATATATAGTGTGCCATCCTGCCCTGCTAAGGGCAAAATATCATTTTAATATAAATTATCTTTTGTCCTTTATTACTTAATATTGTACATAAAAAGGGTTTAGCTTATAAAAGATTATTATAAAGAGCCAGAAGGTTGGTTAAATTAGAGAAAACTTGCGTAATTATAGGCCTGTTAAAATTAAATTTTTAAATTGAAAAAAAGACAGAGGTTCTCAAAATATTAAAAAAAAACTAAAAACCTTTCAAAAGCAAAAATTTTATTCATGTGAATTTTAAAATAAGTAATTTTACATGTAAACATACACCTTAATCTACATTTTTATCCAATTTCTTTACTACTATATTTTGAGTTACCACCACCATCTTTTGTTTTTCCTATGGCCGCCATATTGAATTTAACAAATGGTGCTGGTAACTCATAATCTAGTAAGCAAAAAAAATCACAAATTGGATAAAAATGTGGATAAATGTGTATGTAAAACTTTTTTTTTCAAAATTCTCAGGAATAACAAAGTTATAACGTATTTTGATTTTGACACGTTTTCAGTTTTAATAGAATTTTTCTCTAATTTAACCGACCTTGTAGCTCTTCAACCTGTACATTTATATTATCCTTTTATATTTTAAATTATTGATCACTGTGTATACCTACATACAATTTGTGTTTTTTTTCGTATAGTTATAATGAAAAAATATTCATTGCATCACCATTACCATATTAATCTGCTTTGGGTTTAGTGTGCGACTAACATCGTTTGTTTTTTCTGCTTTTTTCGGTTTGTTCCGTGACTTAATCACGTAGGTATTGCAGAAGGGGCAAAAGTGGTCGACGACGCCAATGAAAATGAGCGACGTTTCCGTACCAAGCAACACCGTGCAGTTTAACGACGATGCCAGATTGTCTGCGCAAGTGACTTACGTCGTTTCAGCCAGCGAGGTGTGGTGTCGTCAGTGCGACAATGTCGAATTCGTAAGTCATTTTTCTTTATTTAGTTGGTTTTGTTTTGTTTCAGCATGTCAAGAAATTATTTAATAAAGGCCGTATTACAGCCGGCAATTCTTTCGGCAATTGCAATGAAAATTGCCGTAGGCATGCGCGGTAGATACATTTCGACGAATCTCTTGCAATTGCCGAAAATCGGTCCGGATGGATTTTTATTGCCGTTTTATGTTACCAACCCTACTACAAATTCCCTAGAGAGACGCTGTTAGACTTAAACAGTTTAAGGTTATTTGTTTTATGATTGGCATTGTGTTCAAAGTTCTAGTATCCATTTCACTCATTAATTTTTAAATATCTCCACTAAATAACAAATAAACTTAGTGTTTACAAAATCGTATATTTTTCTTCCGTTGGTAGCACGGTAATAAACAGCAAGTTTTCTTGCCATTGCCGGCTGTAAAACAACATGCAAGACGGCCTTGAAAACTAGATGGCAAGAAAAATTGCTGCAAGAAAAATTGCTGCAAGAAGAATTGCCGGCTGTAATACGGCTTTAATACACGTATCTTTAAAATGTCATAGTTAAAGTCAATTAAAAAAATACTGTTTAGAATGTTTTAAACAACAATCTTAACTTTAAGAATATTAAAAAGGATTAAATATTTTTAAATGATACTTAAGACTTTTACGAATCATTTTAGAATATCAATTAAAATTAAGAATTTTTAAACTTAACTTAGAATGACAAATCCTATTTAAGAATGTTAAAACCAAAATTTTGGAATATATTAACAAAAATATGTTTTTATAAAAAAATTATTTATATAGAGTATATTTTAGAATGTTAAATCAATATTAAAAAAATAATCTCTTTGAGAATATTAAACAAACTTAAAAATGTTAAATATATTAAAAACAAATGTTATTCAAAACGTCGAAAACACCATTTTGAACTTTGACGCACATTTTAGAATGTTACAAACATATTTAAAAATGTTAAAAACACAATTCAAAATGTCAAAAACACATTTTAGAAAGTCTAAAATGTTTCTTGTTCAGCAAAATCGAAAAGTCATGACACAATGTAGAATTTAAAAAGCGTAAAACCCCATTTTAGGTTGTCAAAAACACGCGATAAAATGTGTTCCAAATATTCTTGTTCAAAATTAAACATCAAAGCATATTAAGGGCTCCCACACCTCCTAAAATTCATAAAATTCCTAAAATTTGTCATCAATCTCCTAAAACTCCTAAAAATTAAATATAAGTAGGCCAACTTGACTGCGTTTAATTAAGGTAGTTGTGCTAAAAAATTTCTTTTTTAAAAAGTAGGTAATTTAAAAAATAAATATTTTTGGGTTCTAGTTTATTAAATTCTTTTTAAAATGATATAGGTATTACAACCTACATTTTTCTTAAAAAAACAACAAAATATACCATAAAACAAAATCCATGTAGTAGCTTCTAGACTTGTACAAAATTGTCATTTTTAGCCATATTTCGTTAATTTTCGACAAAAATATACCGTGTTATATATCAAACAAAAGGATTTTTAATTTTCTTTTAAATGATAGCTAAAATAGTAAACAATCTAAAGAATGTTTTGCTGTATCATGCACTTTATATTTTTTCTATTATGAGATTTTTTAGTAACAATAACATTACAATTATTGTTATTTATTAACTAAACTGTTAAATTTTTTTTTTTAAATATAAATATAACTTTTTTAGCCATATCTATCGACGCTTTTTTTTAAATAAAATTAAAAGTGTGGTGAAATTTCTACTTGTAGATATACAAAACTAGTAATTTTACCTCACTTTTCATTTTATTAAAAAAAAAACTCGTCGAGCGATTTGGCTAAAAAACTAGTCAATATAACCTATTTGTACAAAAGAAGTGATATTTATTTATATTTTTGTTAAAAAGAATTACTTATTTTTTTCCTATTTTTTAAGTATAGTGTAGTTGTTTTTATTTAATTGAATAAATTCATTTGCATACTTTTTTCTCCTAAAATTCTCCAAAAAACCTCCTAAATTCCTAAATAAAATTTGTAATTTAACCGTGGGAGCCCTGATTAAGACAAATTTAAGAATGGCAAAGACACTTTTTAAACACTTTTTAAACAAATTTAAAATGTTAAATAAAAAAACATTTAAAATTATCTAAAGTTTTCTTTTTTGTCCACAAGAAACAAAATGTATTCATTTAAATATATTAAAAATATAATTTAGATCGTTGAAAACACAATTTTGAACTTTGAACTGAATGTTGCAAACATATTTGGAAATTTTAAAACACAATTCTGAATGTCAAAAACACATTTTAATTGTCAAAAGCACATTTTAGGACCTTTTTATCAAAATTAAATGTCATAACACAATTTAGAATTTTTAAAAAACAATTTAAAACATCTAAACCCCATTTTAGATTGTCAAAAACACCTTCTAAAATATGTTCTTGTTAAAAATTAAACGTTAAAGCATATTTAAGAATGTCAAAGTCACTTTTTAGAAAATATTGAACAAAATATTCCAATGTGTTTATTTGTGTTTGTCAGTATGTACTCCTGTAATTAGAGCAGATGCCTGTTGGAAGCACATTAAAATAATAAAATAAAATAAAAATATGTTTCATAAAAAATGATTTCTACTTTTAGAGTATGTTTGAGAATGTCAAATTAAAATTTGTTAAACTTACTTAAAAATGTCAAGACATCAATTACATGTTTCAAACATTTATTATTGTACCTACATTAAAACGTTATAACACAATTTAACATATCAAAAAAACATTTGTAATTTTAAAATTTCATTTAAGAGTGCTAAAAACACATTTTAGAATGTTAAAAACACATTTTAAAATGGTGGCATATTAAAGAATCTATGATTGCGATTTAGACATTTCTTCTTGTTCCTTGAAATTAAACGTCATAGCACAATTTAGAATGTCAAAAACACAACTTGGTATTTTGAAATTATATTTTAGAGTGCTAAAAACGTATTATTGAATATCAAAAACTCATTTTAGAATGTAAAAAACACAATAAAGAATTTTAAAGTTACGTTTTAGAATGGTACAAGCATATTCAAGAATTTCAAAAAACGTATAATGTCAATTACTTCTTTCAAACATTTCTTTTTGTCTCTTAAATCGTCATAACACAATTTAACATCTCAAAAACACCATCTGGGATTTTAAAATTACGTAATTACTGTAATTAGGCCAGGTGTCTTTAGGAAGTACCTACATTAAAATAATAAAATAAAATTAAAATACGTTTCATAAAAAACGATTGATACCTACTTTTAGAGTATATTTTAAAATGTCAAATCAATATTTAAAAATGTTAAAATTACTTAAATATGTCAAGACACATTTTAGAATATTAAATAAATTAAAAACACATTTAAAATTGTCTAAAGTGTTTTTTTTATCCACGAAAAACATTTATTTATTTAAACATGTTAAAAACATAATTCATAACGTCGAAAACACAATTTTTAACTTTTAAACACATTAACTATTTTAAACACATTTTGGAATGTTACTAAACTAATTAAAAATGTTGAAAACACAATTAGAATGTCAAAAACACATTTAAGACTGTCAAAAGCACATTTTAGGATGTCTAAAATGTTTCTTCTTAATTATTAAACTCGAATGTCATGACACAATTTGGAATTTTAAAAACAATTAAAAATGTCCAAACCCCATTTTAGATTGTCAAAACTCTAAAATGTTTTTCAAATATTCTTGTTCAAAATTAAACGTCAAAAAGACATTTAGAATTTTTAGAATACATCATAAAAAACAAATTTTGCAAAACCTTCAATGAAAACATTCGTACTGTTTTTTTTAACATTTTTTTTCCTCCATTTTATTCCTTACAGCAAGCGTACAATGAAATGTCAATCCGCATGGAGAAATTCTACAATGCGCACGCGCAATCGCACAAAGTGACGGAAGTAGACGCGGGTCGCTACTACGTCGCCAACTTCGATGGCGGTTGGTACCGCGTACGAGCTGTCAACGTTGACAGTTCCGACGTCACATGCTTTTTTATCGATTATGGAGACGAGACTTTATTGCAAAAAGACAACCTGTACCAGCTGAAGAGAGAGTTCGCCACTTGCCAGGCGCAAGTAAGTCATGTTTTTACTGATTTTATTTTTCACGGATTTTTTAATCACATCTTTTCAGGCATTTGTATGTAGACTGGCAGGATTAGAAGAACTTTATGAAGCTTCCGCAAATTCAGAAAAGTTGATGTCCATAATGAGCAAACAGGTTCTTTTGGAACTGGCGTCGGACTCTATCGGTAAGTAATTAAAAATAAAATAAAAGACAACAACAAAATTTAACCTTTTTTATTACACCTTTAGACGAAAATTTGGACGAACTAAGCTTCCCTGTATTCATGTACGACGCAGATACGGGTAATTCCCTAAATCAAGACCTCATACCACTTTTGACAATCGAGTCCGCCTCGCCAGTGATAACCAAGGTAAGATGTAATACAGTGTTGTCAAATCAACTTACTATTTAGAAAAAATGCTCTGGTCTTTTTAGTGGTAGTCAAGGTTAAAAACATAATTTGAATGTCAAAAACACATTTTAGAATTTTAAAACCCATTTAAGAATTTTAAATTTACGTTTTAGCATAATAAGAATCTAAAACAACATTTTAGAATGTCAATCACATGTTTCAAACATTCAAACTCAATTTAGGATGTCAAAAACAATTTGAGATTTTAAAATTACATTTTAGAGTGCTAAAAACACATTATAGAATGTCAAAAGCACATTTTAGAATGTTAAAAACATAATTAAGAATTTAAAAATAACGTTTTAAATCGGTCATAACACATTATAGAATGTCAAAAACACATTTAAAAACTCAACTAAGAATTTTAAAATTACGTTTTAGAATGGAACAAGCATATTTAAGAAAAAAAATTTAAACGTCATAACACAATTTAGAATCTCAAAAACACAATTTAAGATTTTAAAATAGCATTTTAGTTCTAAAAACACATTATAGAATGTCAAAAACACATGTTAGGATGTTAAAAATAATTAAAATTTTTAAAAATTACGTTTTAAATCGGTTAGAACACAATTTAGAATGTCAAAAACACAATTTGAGATTTTAAAATCACATTTTAGGATGTTAAAAATAATTTAGAATTTAAAATTACGTTTTAAATCGGTCATAACACATTATAGAATGTCAAAAACACATTTTAGAATGTTAAAAACATAATTAAGAATTTTAAAATTACGTTTTAGAATGGAACAAGCATATTTATGAATCTAAAGACTACATTTTAGAATGTCAATCACGTGTTTCAAACATTTCTTGTTTCTTAAAATTAAACGTCATAACATAATTTAGAATGTCAAAAACACAATTTGAGATTTTAAAAATTCATTTTAGAGTGCTAAAAAACACAATAGAATGTCAAAATAGTTATTTACGATATAAGTGGGATAAGAGCTTTATTAACGTACGCATGCGAAATTTGCCCAACGAGTGCGTAGCACGAGTTGGGCAATCGCAAAAGTACGTTAATAAAGCGTTATCACACGTATATTGTACAAATTTTTATCTACACCTCTAAATGAAAAAATAAACGGTAATTATTTTTGTCTAAGACTTAATTTAGGGTTATTTTGACATTTTGACTTTTTTATTTGATTGGTTAAAAGCAGAGAAAAACGCGTGAGTTAATGAACTTCTTATCTCACTCAAAATGAGTGGGATAAGAAGTTCTTATCTCACTGGCGTAGATAAACACATTTTATGATGCTTAAAATAATTAATGTCAATCACGTGTTTCAAACATTTATTCTTGCCCCTTAAAATTAATCGCCATAACATAATTTAACATCTCAAAAATACCATTTGAGATTTTAAAATTACATTTTAGAGTGATAAAAACATATTACAAACACATTTTATGATGCTTAAAATAATTAAGAATTTTAAAATTACGTTTTAAATCGGTCATAACACATTATAGAATGTAAAAAACCCATTTTAGAATGTTAAAATTGCGTTTTAGAATGGAGCAAGCATATTTAAGAATCAAAGACTAAATTTTAGAATGTCAATCATGTTTTCAAGCATTTCTTGTCCCTTAAACGTCATAACACAATTTAGAATGTCAAAACGCAATTTGGCACTATAAGGTGCTAAAACACATTATAGAATGTTAAAAACAAATTTTAGAATGTTAAAAACACAATTAGGAATTTTAAAATTACGTTTTATAATGGTATAGGCGTATTTAAGATTCTAAAGAGTAAGTTTAGAATGTCATAACACAATCAAGAATGTTAAAAAAAACATTATAGGATTTTAAAATTACATTTTAGAATATTAAAAACACATTATAGAATGCCAAAAACACATATTAGAAAGTTAAAAACACAATTAAGAATTTTAAAATTACATTTTAGAATTATACCAAAATCTTAAGAGTACCTTTTAGTATGTAAGAAACACGCGTTTTAAATAATTCTTCCTGTTCCTTAAGTAGAATTTTAAAATTGCGTTTTATGGTGTTGGAATAATTGAATAGTTGAAAAAAATTAAAAATTTAAATTGCATTTTAATTTTTTCAAATATTTAAAACACAACTCGGAATGTTAAGAAACAAAATTGAGAATTGTCAACATGGTTTTCTACTAAAGAGTAGTGTGGACAATATTAGAAAATGACATCACCGATCTTTTCAGTACCGGGTAGCTAAGACTAATATCGGTGGCAGCACGGTAGATGGCGCTGAGATTTTCAAAAGCAATTTTTCGAACTTGTCACAATGAGCCTTTTTTCTTAATATCACGTGAATGGTAAATTCAATTGAATATTAAATATTTTAAATTGAATTTAAATTTTAGGGCAGCATTACCGAAGTGTACATAACAAACATAGAATCCAACGGAGACGTGTATTTCCACTTGCACTCTCGGGGGTACGAAAGCCTCCAAGAGTTACTCCTAAATTTGGAGACGCAAATCTTGCAAAACCCCCCCAACAATCTCATCGAACCGATAACGAAAACCAACAGCGAAAACAAGTTGTATTTCGCTCAATACAAAGTCGACGGCCACTGGTACAGGGTCCAAATCATAGATTGGGCCCCGCAGGGTAATTTCGCTCAAATTTATTTCGTCGATTACGGCAACACCGACGTCATCAACGTCAACAGCGAGGTTCTGTACCCGCTCGACAAATTGAGCGACGTCTTGAGCCAGTACCCCTTCCAAGCTGTCAAGGTGAGATGTTTGCCGCATCTGGCAACATTGTTCTGCAGTAATAGACCAGGGTCGATAATTTTTGAAACAAAAAATAACAGTAGGATGAAACCCATTGGAAAAGGAGAAGAATATAATAAAAATGAAAGGAAAAATAAATTACGGGCGATCTGACTTCGGGAAGTGGGAGGGGGGGGTTTAAGGGTAAAAAATGGTTTATCTCGATTTCCGGCAAAACTACAAGTCCTATGGAAAAAAGTTAAATGGCAAAGTTGTAGGTAATAAAAAGATCTACAACTTTTGTAATTACAATTTTTTTACATAACCTCAAAATTTATGTGAAAAATTCAAAAAACTAAGTTTTTGGTTTTTTATTTTTATCTTTTTAAAAAAAAAAATTTTTTTCCACGAAATTTGGTGAAAACTTACCTTTTTATGTCCCAAATACACTGTAATTTATTTGATTTGAAATATTTATTATTTCGCCTTATTTTGACTTAATATCAAAAAAGCACCATAATTTTCAATCGAAAATTCTCGCGTCAAAATATCAGCTTTTTTCAAAAAGTCGGTGTGCTTTTTGTTCGTTGAAATCTCTACTTTCTGATGGTGTAAAAAATATATACATTACTATGGTAAATGTTCTCAGAAAATCCAAAAAATATTATAATGAATAACAAAAAAAACTCGAATTCGAAAATTTATTTTAATCATTATGTACAATTTCATCAAAAAAATGGGATTGTTGCAATTTTTTTTAGTTAAAAAGTTTATTTATTAAATTCTAATAACATTTATGTCAGAAAAAATATAAAAATACATGTAAATCATACTATTGAATTTAGATACTTCATTCTGATTATGTTATTCATTATAATATTTTTTGTATTTTCTGAGAACATTTACCATAGTAATGTATATATTTTTTTCACCATCAGAAAGTAGAGAGTTCATCGAACAAAAAGCACACCGACTTTTTGAAAAAAGCTGATATTTTGACGCGAGAATTTTCGATTGAAAATTATGGTGCTTTTTTGATATTAAGTCAAAATAAGGCGAAATAATAAATATTTCAAATCAAATAAATTACAGTGTATTTGGGACATAAAAAGGTAAGTTTTCACAAAATTTCGTGGAAAAAATTTTTTTTTTGAAAAAGATAAAAATAAAAAACCAAAAACTTGGTTTTTTGAATTTTTCACATAAATTTTGAGGTTATGTGAAAAAATTGTAAATACAAAAGTTGTAGATCTTTTTATTACCTACAACTTTGACATTTAACTTTTTTCCATAGGACTTGTAGTTTTGCCGGAAATCGAGAAACCATTTTTTACCCTTAAACCCCCCCCTCCCACTTCCCGAACTCAGATCGCCCGTAATTTATTTTTCCTTTCATTTTTATTATATTCCCCTCCTTTTCCAATGGGTTTCGTCCTACTGTTATTTTTTTTCTCTTTTTACCATTTTTAAAGGCTTCTGCACTGGTCTATAACAGTGTTGTCACGTGATAAAAACTAAATTTTGTTGATGTTCAAGGTTAAAATGGCTTTGGACGCGATACCGACGGATTTTATTGACATGGCAACTAAACTGATGCCAGCGGATGTCCCGGTTTTATTAAAAATAATAAAATACGACGAGGAAAGCTGTCCCCTGGTTGAGTTTTTCAAAAGGAGCCCAGAAGATATTTTATATTGCGTTAACAACTCCATTGGGATGGAGGCTGAATTAAAGTAAGTAAAAAATAAATTTTTTTATCGATATGTAGCGAGTTATTACGTATAATTTAATCGAAAATTTTAAAGGTTTTTATTTTTTAAATGCGTTTTTAGATCATAAAGCAGTGGCGGCTCGTCGTATAAAGCAACTGAGGCCGGGCCTCACATGTTAAAGTTATAATATAATTAGAAATGTTAGATACATAACTTATTTAAATATAAAACCTTTTTAAACTAATTTCCAGTCATTAAAAGTATTAAAACATCGAATAACCATCAAAGTTTAAAATATTCCCTTTAAATTTAGCGCGCATTCCTTCCAACTTTAATTCTAAACGCTTAAATCATTGCCCGACCGCATAATAGGGAAATAGTAAGCCCCGAAATTTGCGCTTCATATACGTCACACATTGCCGATACAACATCAGGCTCCCCACCGCTGCACGGTGACATTGAGGCCCACAAAGTTGGGCTTGTACCACAGTATATGGAAGGCAGCAGAGTCGGTCCCGAGATCTGTGCGGCTCGCTTATCAGCCGTTGTAAAAGACTGGGCGGGCGTGGAATGTTATAGTAAATTTTACAAATAATTTTACCAAGCCCAGAAAAAGTTTTTGGCGCTTGGTTCCTTTTCGATAAGCGTTATCCAATTATTTAAAAATAATTATATCGTCATAAAAAGTAAAATAAACGTCCTTCATAACCCGCTGAACTGTGACGGGAAATTCGCGTACAACTTCCCTTATGCTCTTCCTACCATTTGCATCAAAGGCATTGAAAATAACTTCTTTATTTTCCGCTGTTCTAATACGTTAAGGAGCACCTTCACACTCTTTATTGGTAGTGCCTCATGCATTAAATTTAATTTTTATTTTAGAAAAGGTGATGGAAATAATAATAAGTCGCCCAAAAGAAAGATTATTTCATTTTCCGACGAACTTTCAAGTAAGTTTGTTAAATTTTTTAAAAACTTTTGTTTTGTAATTTTGTGTTTTTTTTAACAACAGAAAATGTACCTTCAGGGGGTACCTTGGATAGACCAGACCTACCAAGCAAAGGTAACTAAAAAAACTGTACAAAATAACTAAATCATATCTCACAAAAAAACTTTTAGACTCATATTTTGAAGTGCGCATATCCTTTGCTGTGAACCCATGGAACTTTTTTGTACAACCTTTAAAATCTCAGGAAAAATTAAACACTTTAATGGAAAATCTTCAGAAAAGATATCAGAATGTACAGTACAGTCCCTTGCAAACTGAAGATATCACTCCGGGACAAATATTTGCTTCTAAACATGAAGATGGCTGTTGGTACAGGTAAATATATTTTTTTATCAAACGTTAGTAAAATGACATTTTGCGTAATGTTAAGTTTTTACTTCATTGCCATGGCAGTAAAAGTACTTTTACTGCTGCTCAAAGGTAACACCAAAAGTGCTTTTAAATTAATTAAATAAAAGCCCCATTTTCAGCATAGTAGGCAGCTATAAACTACGTAATTTTTGCTGCTTGTGGAGAATTAAAATAATTTTGTTCAGGAATTTTTGACAGTATTTTCATTGAACAATCATTCTTATTAGATATTATATGGATTTTTCAATGTAACCTTCTGCTACTGTAACACTACTAGATAATCTAAGATTTTCACCCACCATGACGTTTAAGGCAGGTGACGTCGGCCCCTTCATCTACAAGAGTGTAGCAGATGTCCTTCTTAAACATTTCCTTACAATTTGGTAATTTTAAAAATTGAGCCAAATCTTTAGGCACACGACCTATTGTATGGATTCCCATAACAGAATGGTGACATTTTGCTTTTTATATTTAAAAAAATCTTCGTTCAATAAAACGTTTTGGGCACAAAGAGGCATATTTTCTAAAAAAGTTTGAGAACCTTTTTTTGGCAATAGTTAATGATCGCTTCTTTTTTGTTTTTTTATCAGAAAGTTTAATATAAAATAGAGATCCTAAGTCTTTATATTTACGATTTCTTCACATCTACATTCCCCAGATATGCCAAGGGGGCGTCCATTAATTACGTGAGGCAATTTTGGCGATTTTTCGACCAATGTTTTTGTACAACTTTTTTTTAAATTTACCGATTTAAATCATGATGTCAGTGTCAGTTGAAAAATCGTTTTTTTTTTCTGCCTAGGCAAAACATGCAACTTCCGAATAGTTCTTGAATTACATTTACAATTTAAAACACAATAATTCATTATGATCACTTAAATAAAATATACATGGTGTTATGTAATTAATATATTAAAATGGGTAGTTCCTTAGGGTCCATAAAGAAGCACCTGAAACTTTTTTTTCTTAAATTTTAAAGACTAAAAATAATTTATAATAACCTTTATCCTAGTATGCCACTGATCGACCAGGAACTTTAGGCTAATCTGGTTGCCTAATTTAATTTATTATGTTATGGTGGATAACAAGTAGCGTTATCAGATTCTATTAAAAAGTGGCTAGATTTTGTTTAAATTTAGCTTAATTTAAAAAAATGACAAAATCAACAATGCAAAATGGTAATTTGGCGTTTTTATTAATTGTTGATTATGTCTTTTTGTAATGAAGGTAAATTCAAACAAAATCTGGCAACTACAATGACAGAATCTTGTGCATTTCTTTCAAATTTTGGGTTATGTGCTCAAATTGTAAATATCTTAACTAAGGGAAGTGCTTTTGGATTTATTTACACAAATTGAATGTTTAAAGTTTAACCTGTGAACTTGTCCTAATTGTATCTGAGTAAACAGAAAAAAAAGAACCGATGAAAAAATTTATTTTGTGGTTATGTTTTTAAAATAGGTATTAAATTTTCTAATCATTGCTTAAGCTAATTGCTGGATGAGTTAATAAATACCACAGACCACCAAAACAAATGGACGGCGCATTGCCATTCAATAACAATGATTTGTTTGCCGTCAACAAACGGTCACAGTCTAAGCGTCAAATTGGAGATAGAATTTTATGTTTTCTTCCAGTGACGTCATCAAACGGTCACAGTCTAAGCGTTAAATTGGCGATAGAATTTTATGTTTTCTTCCAGTGACATATTGGGATTAAAAAAATAAGTAGGTAGGTACTTACAAACGATATTTCCATGTATAGTTATTTTTAGTAAAAAATAATGTATTTAAACTCCATAATTAACTTAAACACGATAGAAATACACAAACGAAAACACAAAACAACAAGCTGTCAACCCACAGAACATAACCTTTTTCTATGCTGTCAAATATGACGAATTTACCAACGTTGTTAATATTTAATTTTAATAATTATTAAATGATTTACTTTCTTTAAATAGAGAAAAATATCTAAAGAAAATGATGAACAAATCCTTTTTACAATTTTTTTATTATTCAAACGAATTACTGGTAATTATTAATATTCATTATGTTTTCTTACTACCTCGACTCAAAATACGTTGTTTCGTCCCCGATTTCACGGCAGAAAGTTTACGTTTCTTGCATTGGTCAAGCTATACGCGCACACTCTAATAGCGGGAGTAAAAATTTTTTAGTCGTGTGCTTAACATTCAAATTTCGTACTGCCAACATGAGAAACACAAAAATATGACAGTTTTAAACCATAATTTTGCAATTATAACAACAAATAAACAATTTATGTTTTTACTTTTTTACTTTTTATGTTGTTTTAAGTGTTTAATGGTACTTTTATTTGTTATAAAGTAGTAATTTGTTAATTAAAATACAACCTTTTATTTTTACTGCATTGGCACCGCTGAATTACCATGACAACGCTACAGTTTGATTGATTTTGAATGTAAACGTCAGAATTAAATTAAACGTCAGATTTTAATTTTGACACAAGTTTTTTTATATACATTTAATTTTTTCCCGTATTTTCTGCGGGGTAGCAAGAAAAATAGTATACACTACACGGGCAGAAAGTGTGAGAGCCCTGAACTGCGCGCCATGATGCCCTCGGCTTCGCCTCGGGCATCATGGCGCGCAGTGCAGGAATCTCACACTTTCTGCCCTTGTAGTGTAATATACTATTGATGAATCTATACTTCTGACAACGTTGGAAGCCGTGTTTCTTTCGACGGTGTTTAGAATGTGAAACTATGCTTTACTCGCTTTTTAAACGTAAACAAATCCGTCCATTTGTTTTGGTGGTCTGTGAAAAATACAGAAGGGTATTAGAGCATTAAGGGCATAAAACTTGTATTTATTGAGTTTTTATTTATTTTTTGAAAGAAAAACCTTTAGTAACAATTTTTTACAACTGGCTACGCGCAGCTACTTTGTTGGTTGGTATCTATGTACTCACAGAACACAAGTGTGTAACCAGTGGCGTATCAAAAAAATATATAAAAGACTTTTAATGCATATCTTTGGGTAATAAATATTTTTTAAATATTTTTTCTGTTACACCTTATGTCAAAAAGTATTTTAATATATTACATTTATTACATAACACCCTGTACACACAAACGTAACTATATCAGCATATAAAGAATAACAAATCGAAATCGAGTACTTAAACCAAGCGAATTTTTTCAGTTTTTACTTGCAACGCGAAACACAAATAACGTGCGTATGGTAACATTACACCTACTTATTTTTTATCTGTGGTCCAGATCATTTAAAAATTGATTTTATTACGGAAAAATTATTAAAATTTTATGTATTCGACGTTTAAAAAAAATAGTATATTTTATACGGAGTAAAGTGACTTTGTGGCTTGTCTGATTTGTTTTACTTTCTCTATGATACATACCCGTCACAATAAGCGACACTTTAGCTTCTTATAAATTAATGTACTAATTTTATAAATGTTTGTATTGATATTTTTTAGGACCAGCGTCATCAAGGTCATTCATAAGGGATCCATATCCGTTTTTTATTGTGACTTTGGATATTACTCCAATTTGACTGTCCAACAATTAATTCCATTGGACCCTGAATTTTTGGAGTTGCCCTACCAGGCGTTAAAGGCGAAGTTAACGGGTAAGTTGAAAATCGCGTATTTTTATACTCAGGATTTTTATTGTTTTGTCTTTTATAAGATATTAAACCCAAACAAAATAAATGGACGATGGAGGACTGCGAGTTTTTCAAACAAAGAGTGGAAAAGAAGAATTTTTACTCGATTCTACGAGACATTGAAAAGGACGAGCTTTACGAATCAGACATAGTTTTGAAGTTAATTTTAATTGATACGTCTGATGTAGATGATGTCTACATCGGAAAAGAATTAATATCGCGGAAAATAGCCGTTGAATGTTAATTTTATGTTGATTTTTCCATAAAAATTGATTTTTTATATATCCTAGCTATATATTTTAATATAGTGACTTATATCCTTAAATTTAGACAACCAACTTCACAAGTAAGCAATACTTACTAAATCTACTTATACTTATAATAACCCATACCCACACATGTGGTAGTGAATAAAAAATAAGCCCCAAGTTTTTTTTGGGTAAATTTTTGTTATAATAACATTTTGGTAAATTATTTATAAAAAATTACTAAATGTTTTCAATTTTTCTTAGTTATTTGTATGTTTGCATTCCTTATTAAATCGTATTAGATTTGTGTTTTTTTGTTACTATTGGAGTTTATTTTTTAATTTTTAAACTTAAAACTGAGTTGTTATGTTCTACCTATTTTATAATAAAATGTTCAAAAAATAATCATGTTTTATTTTAAAAATACCCTCTGAAACCTTTAAAACGCCGCTTGGGTAAGTACATTTGACAATGCTGTAGGCAAATAAAAAGTTTTCCTGAATCTGGGATTTTATTTACAATCTGACAACGTTGCATCATATGAATTTTTATTAATTTGACGAATTATGAAAATTTCCCTTAATCTAGAATTATTGTGCGGTCTGTCAACGTTGCATAGTATCCTTGGTATATAAAATGTTACCTCCTTCTATGTAATGTATATATATACAGTGTATATTAAAACGAATAGATACATAAAACAAGTGCCAAACCCCTCCCACTGTGGTAGGGATTGAATTTTAGAATTATTTTTGTTTGAGAATTTATAGGTTTTATTTTTATCGAATTCGTTTGTTTTGTTTTAATGCATTTCTGTAAATAAAAACTAAGTATTGTTTAAAATCCATTAAATTCCAGTTAATGGCGAAAATGTATTTCTTAAAAACTATAAACATTTCCCTACGACAGCGTCGAAGCTACTGAACAAACACAGTAGATCAAACTGCATGCCCTTGTATCTGGCTGCATGCCATATGCTATTATTGTTTCCTAAAAGGGTTGTTTTTCTTATTTTTTAATATTAAAAGTAAGAAAATTAACTAAATCAAATTATTTTTGACATATTATTAATTTTTTTGTTATTGTTAAGTTTCAAACAAATAAAATTGAACTATTTATTAAATAATTATAATCGTTCCCTTCTGATTTAAAACAACCTGGCAACTATGGTTCGTAATTACGAATGGCTTGGTTTAAACCACGGCCAATTAAAGTTTGTTTCTTTTTCTCTGATCAGAATATAATTTGTCATCCTTGTCTCCAGCCTTCTATACTTATATACAGTCTGTTCACAACATCAAGGAAATTTTATATTTGGCATCAGGTTTGTTCTGTGATCAGGAATATAGAAACTTGAGGAGGTATTATTTTTACGTCAAGTACTTTGCAACGTTGTCATAATGTGCAAAAAATCCCAAACAAGGGAATTGTTTAAAAATTATATTTAAGAGACGCTGTCAGCAACTTAAAAGTTTCCTGGGATTTTATTCACAATCTGACAACGTTGCATCAAATTAATTAACAATATACCAACGTACTGTTTATTTTTATAAATTTGTTGAATTTTTGACGGATTTTAAAAATTTCCCTTAATCTAGAATTTGTGGGCGATCTAGCAACGTTGTATAGTATCCGGAGTATAAAATATTACCTCCTCGCTTTTATTTTATCCTGATACAAAATTTTGGTGCCCTTATCAGGGAAATTTTATATTTGGTATTAGGAGTACAGACAATTGTGGAGGTATTATTAGGGCGCCGGATACTTTGCAACCTTGTCATAATGTACCGAAAATCCCAGACAACGGAATTTTTTTAAAGAAAAACAAAAATCATTGTGGATTTTTATTTGTACTTTGTATCAGAAAAGTATAAATACAAATAAATTACAGATTGAGAAAATTTTCCAAAAACTCGTTCTTAAATATAAAAAGAAGTTTTTTTTTATCAAAATAGATGTTAAAATATTTATTTTTCAATTAAAAATTATGTAAATAATCATCTTTTGTAAAAAAATACTCTTGGATGAGTACGTTTGAGAACGCTTTAGGCAAATATAAAGTTTCCCTGATTCTAGGATTTGTTTCTCAATCTGACAACGTTGCATCGAAATAATTAACAACGTATTATCTTGTTGAATATTTTACGAATTTAAAAAAATTTCCTCAATCTGGAGTTTTCGTGCGATCTGGCAACATTGTATTATATTATTCGGAGTAAACAATATTATCTCCTCGCCTTTATGTGATCCTAATATCATTTGTTCACAATAATCGAGTAAATTTTATAACAGGAGTATAGAAACTGGAGAAGGTATTATTTTTGCCACTTTGTCGGATTGTGCTAAAAATTCCAGAAAAAGGTAATTTTTTAAAGTATGGGAAAGAAATGCAATAATTATTGTACAATCTGTTTATAAAATATCCATTGAAACCTTTAAAACGCCTCTTGGGTAAGTACGATTGACAACGCTGTCAGCAAATTCAAATTTTCCTCGATTCTGGGATGTAATTCAAAATCTGAACGTTGAATCATATTAATTAACAACATGGCAACGTTATAAATTTGTTGAATTTTAAATTTTCCCTAAGCTGGATTTGTTATGCGATCTGGCAACGTTGCATATTATCCGGAGTATAAAATATTACCTCCTTGCCTTTATATGGTTCCGATACAAAATTGAGGAATTTTTATATTTGGTATCAGGAGTACAGAAAGTCGTGAAGGTATTATTATTGCGCCGGATACTTTGCAACGTCAGAATATGCTAAAGAGTCAAATGAAGGAAATTGTTTCAAAAGAATATTAAGAAAAAGGCTCTCAGCAAATTAAAAGTTTCCCTGACTGTTATATTATTTACAAACTGACAACGTTGCATCAAATTAATTAATATTATGGGTATTTTATAGATTTGTTAATTTTTTTGCAATCTGGAAAAATATCCAGAACAATTCCGGACATCCTAGCAGAGCTGTCAGACAGCAGAAAGCTTAAGTCTTTTTTTTAACTTAAGTCATTTTTGTGACTTAAGTCATTTGATTTAAGTCTCTTTTTTTTGGACGACTTGAGACTTAAGACTTAAGTCATTTTCAAAATGATTTGTATTATTAAGCTTTTTCTACATTTGCGTAAGGACTTAAGTCTTTTTAAAATGACTTAAAACAAAAAAATGACTTAAGTCTGTTTAAAATGACTTAAGTCTAAAAATGATTTAAATCTTTTTAAAATGACTTAAGTCTAAAAATGATTTAAATCTTTTTAAAATGACTTAAGTCAAAATAATGATTTAATTCTTTTTAAAATGACAAAATAGGTAGGAATTAAATTCTTAAAAAAATAAATAAATAATGATTTAATAATTTTTAAATATATTAATGTGGATTTTATAGGATTTGGCCAGCTTTTTGGGCATTTCCAACACTGTGTGCCAGTACATTATTATATACAATACAATAATTGACTAATTAAGTGATCAACTTTTTGTTATGCACCTATTTTAAAAATAAATTTCATTAAAAGTCTTGTCAAAGAGTATCTATTAGATATATACTCTTTGATCTTGTTTTGAATCTCTCAAAATGAGTAAGGTATTTGTTTTTTTTTTACTTCAATTTTTTTTTCGACTTAAACCTATAAAACGACTTAAGTATTTTTAGGGACTTAAGTCCCTAAAAATGACTTAAGTCTTTTTCTAGATTTAAGTCGTTATATATTTGATTTAAGTCATTTTTAATAAGACTTAAGGCTTAAAAAAAAAGACTTAAGTCTTTTTGAAAGGCTTAAGACTTAAATCTTTTCTGTTTTATAGAAAAAATGACTTAAGACTTAAGTCATTTTTATTTCAAAAAAGACTTACGACTTATGACTTAAGTCTTTTTAGAAGTGACTTGTGACAGCTCTGCATCCTAGGCATGCGCTTTTTAAATTTTGGGGTTAAAAATGTAAAGTGCGCATGACAAATATTAAAATGGATGTCCGAACTAGTTCGGAATTAGCACCGCGAAAATATCTATTGGCATAATTTGTTTTCTAATCTAGAAAATTTTGGATTTGGTATCAGGAGTACAAAAACTTGGGGAAGTATGCTTTTTTGCGCCGGATACTTTGCAACGTTGTCAGAATGTCCTAGAAATCTTAGACAAGGAGAATTGTTCAAAAACTATATTTATGAAACGCTCGCAACAAATAAAAACTTTCCCTGATTTTGGGATTTTGTTCACACTCTGACAACGTTGCATCATATAGATTTTGTTGTATTTTTGACGAATTTAAAACATTTTCCTTAATTTGGAATGTTTTGTGAGATCTGGCAACGAGTACAAATACCAAAAATTTGTTCACTAAAATCGAGTGTCGGGAATAAAGAAACCTGAGGTACTTCACAATCCACACAACATTGTGAGGTACTTATTATTTTTACATTGCAACGTTGTCATAATATGCGTAAAATCCCAGGCAAAGGGAATTTTGTAAATATTAATTAGAGAAAGAAAGAGCATTTATTGGGGACTTTCATTTATATTGAGAATTGGTCCTTGATTCGTGCAATAGTTTAAAAAGGACCGAAATCGTGTAATCTGGCAACACTGATTCAAAAGGTGCCAAATCACGGTCTTATATACAGGTCTTGCAACTTTAAGCTTCGAGGTGGCTTCCTTAACGTGCCAAGCCGCTAGGTGGCGCTAAGATCGAAGGGGTAAAGTCAATTAAACTACTACTTAGTTAAATGTGGAACTACTGCATAACCATAACCTAACTTTTTAAATTCTTTTTCTATGTTTTGTTTACATTTTCAAAAATTTAATATTTGTGAGTTTGTTTCGGATAATTTACGTTAACAAAATAGGACAACAAAGTCTATACTCTATGCACAAAGTCCTCGGCCGTCACATGCCCAGACCAAACATGTTAATGTATAAAATACAAACTTATATCATATATATGTTACGGCTAATGTGTAAACCATAGAAAAAGAATATAAGAAGGGCGACCACTGTGTTAAACTTAAGAAACACAAACGTCATAAACGCCTGCCAATTAGGGCCGTACTCCAAATATTTTATTAACTTTTATAATACAGGGCCGGCTTTATCTATTTTGTATATATTAATAATTATAATATTAATTTATTTAAATTTGACCAATAAAATAAAATAGTTGCAAAGATTTATTTATTTTAAAAAGTAAATGGTTATAATACACTAATTTTAACAATAAAATAAATTAAAGAATATACAAACAGTGCATCTGTATTTGAATGGGTTCAGAAGTGAAAGAAGGTACCCACACGGAACAATTACATCCAATGGATATCCAATGGATTTCTTTTATGGATATCCAGGATATACATAGGATATCCGGGATATCCAATGGATAACCATTGGATATATAAATGTCCGACCCTCC